ATCACTACTCCCGTGCTGATAGTCATTGAGGCATTGGACGAGAGTGGCACAAAGGCCTCCCGAGAACAAATCCTTCGTCTGCTCGCTGGCAAACTGAACACCTCTTCCAAACTCCCTGAAAACTTCCGTATTCTCTTCACGTCCCGCCCACTCGAAGATATCAATAATGTCCTCCACACCGCATCGCATGTTCGTCATGTCTCCTTGGATGATATCTCGCCCGTGACGACAGAGCAAGACATCCAGTTGTATATCTCAAACAGACTGGAAGATCTGCGTCATATATTCAATGATGCGCACTTCAAGATGCTCGCCGAGAAATCTGATGGCCTGTTTGAATGGGCTCGTCTTGCCTGCGAGTATATAAGTGACACGAACACGGTGGGCCCAGATCTGATGGACCTTTTCGAAGCTGTAATCGGAACTGCATCTGAAAAAGGAACACCTCTGTTGGATGCCATGTATAAACTGATCTTAGCAGACACCATGCCCGAGGGTCAGCGCGAGAAAGCCATCCCCATATTTCGCTCTGTTATGGGGCAAATCCTGGCATCATTGGAACCGCTTCCCGTCGCTGCGTTGAACGCGATTCGTCGGGATTTCCTGATGGGCGCGGCCGTTACAAATTGGAGCGGGTCATTCGGCCGCTGAGCTCGCTTCTCACCGGAACCACGGATTCTCAAACTTCCATACGCCCCCTCCACGCATCTTTCTACGACTTCCTCACAGATGAGTCACGGAGCCAAGAGTTCTTCGTCGACATCTCATCGGTGCAGGGTGATCTTGCCTTGGCCTCGCTCCGGGTCATGGAGCGTGGGCTTCGATTCAATATATGCTCCTTGGAAAGTTCCTACCTGGCCAATTCTGCTGTCGCTGACTTGGAGAGACGAGTGAAGGTGTCCATACCGGCCGAGCTATCATACTCGTGTCGATTCTGGGGGACGCATGTGGCAGTCACATCTTTTGAACCATCACTCGCTAAGGAAATCGAAGCTTTCTTCGACGGAGAGCGCCTCCTTTGGTGGTTAGAAGCACTGTCTCTGATGAAAAGCGTCAGCGGCTCGGTGGTGTGCCTCTTGTCCATCGCAGACTGGTTTGCGGTGCGTAGTTCGAGCTCATTTTTAGACTCACTAGATTCTTACGAGTAGTAATTATAGGGCCATGCCGAGTATGCCCATACCGGCGAGGCTGCCAGGGACGCCCTGCGCTTCGTTCGAACATCCGCAGCCACCATCTTACACAGCACTCCACATTTATATTTGTCCGCTCTGCCATTCGCTCCAACGCAGTCGATGATATTTCGCAAGTTCGCCGCAAAGTTCCCTTGCACGCCCCGCATTGTGTCGGGTCATGTTGTAAAGTGGCCTCAGATGGAAAAGATACTCCATGGGCGTGACGCGGTTTTGTCGATGGCAATGTCGCCAGACGGAAAACGCATTGTCGGTGGTTTAGAAGATGGAGCGATCCAGGTGTGGGACATGGAGACTGGGGAGGCATTCGGCGCCGCTCTCCAAGGCCATACTAAACGTGTTACGTCTGTTGCATTCTCGCCGGATGGTAATCGCATCGTGTCAGGTTCATGGGACATGACAGTCCGAGTGTGGGATGCGGCGACTGGCAAGGCATTGGGCGCCCCTCTCCGAGGGCATACTGGCTGGGTTTTGTCTGTCGCAGTCTCACGCGATGCGAAACACATTGTGTCTGGTTCATATGACAGGACGGTTCGGATGTGGGATGCGGAGGCTGGCGAGCCAATGGGTGTACCCCTGGAAGGGCACACTAAGTCTGTTCAGTGTGTCGCAATCTCGCTGGATGGGACGCGCATCGTGTCTGGCTCATCGGACACGACAATCCGGGTGTGGGATATGGGGACTCGCGAGGCGTTGGGTCCCCCTCTCCAAGGCCACACTGAGTTCGTTAGCTCTGTCGCAATCTCACCTGATGGTACTCGCATTATATCTGGCTCTCGTGATAAGACGATCCAAGTGTGGGATATGGAGACTGGCACGGCACTAGGTGCCCCTCTCCAAGGCCACACTGGCCTCATTTCATCTATCGCAATCTCGTCGGATGGCAATCGCATCGTGTCTGGTTCACATGACCTGACAATCCGCGTGTGGCATGCGGAGACCGGCGAGGCGTTAGGTGCCCCTCTCCAAGGCCACACTAACTCTGTTGTGTCCGTCGCAATCTCGCCGGATGGAAATCGCATAGTGTCCGGCTCATACGACAAGACAATTCGGGTGTGGGATGCGGACACAAGTAATGGTGGGGCATTGGGTGCTACTCTCCGAAGCCACACTGACTCCATCAACTCTGTTGCAATCTCACCGGATGGACATCGAATTGTGTCCGGCTCATCCGACAAGAGTGTCCGGGTGTGGGATTTGCAGACTGGCGAATCATTAGGTGCCCCTCTCCAAGGGCACACTGGCTCTGTTCAGTCGGTCGCAATCTCGCCCAATGGACATCGTGTCATATCTGGTTCATCTGACACGACAATCCGGGTGTGGAGTTTAGAAACTGGAGAGGCATCATGTGCACCTCTCCAAGGCCACACTAACTTTGTTCGGTCCGTCGCGATCTCGCGGGATGGGAAACACATCATGTCTGGTTCAGAAGATCGGACAATTCGGGTGTGGAATATAGAAACTGGAGAGGCGTCAGGTGCCCCTCTCCGAGGTCACACTTCCATTATCACGTCCATCGCAATCTCACCCAGTGGAAATTGTATCGTGTCTAGTTCACTCGACAGCACAATCCGGGTATGGGATATGGAGACTGGCGAGGCATCCGGTGCCCCTCTCAAAGAGGTTGGCTATGTTTCGTCTGTTGCAATCTCGCTGGATGGGCAACGCATTGTGTCTGGGTCAAGTGACACGACCATCCGAGTCTGGGATATCAACACTCGCGAAACATTGGGTGACTCGCTCCGAGGCCACACTGGAGCTATTTCGTCTGTCGCAATCTCGCAGGATGGGAAACACATTGTCTCTGGTTCATATGACAAGACCATCCGAGTCTGGGATATGGAGACCGGCAAGTCATTGAGTGCCCCTCTTGGAGGACACACTGGCTCTGTTCGGTCTGTTGCGATTTCTTCCGATGGCAACTGCATTGTGTCTGGTTCATATGACCGGACCATTCGGGTGTGGGACCTAGAATTTCTCAACCGGGACCAACCCTTGAAAGTGCCGCCAATTCGTTTTTCATCCAACCCAACACATGCTCTTCATTCCGCCTCATCCTTCCTCCCACATTCCTCCACCCCACTAGTAGCCTCTCTTACTCCAAACGAGGAGGGATGGGTTGTAGGTCCCGACGGACGGCTTCTCCTCTGGATCCCACTCAACTTTCACCCGCTCATGTATGTCCCGGGCAATACGCTGGTGATACCCAATCATGCCTCGCAGTTTGATCTAAGTAGTCTCGCGCACGGCACGTCATGGCACAAGTGCCGGGAACCGCAGGCTGTGCTGTCTTCATGATAATCCTCTCTTAGGGCGTGCCTTGGAAACATCTACGGACATTCTACACAGAACTCATACAATACGTGTTCGCTATTTTCACGACCTTCACTTCCACTATCTTCTACCACAACGAATGCCCCGGTCTTATTACCATAGTGCAATCCAATTGTTGCTATACTGTCTATAGACTGTCTACATTGCAGGTTAGAATTCAAACAAGCTTCACGCCATCGTGCGGTTGGGGGCACAGGGTCTCAGTGGGTGTTGAGGGGCGTCGATGAGTGCACTGGTAACACCAGAATGTCAACCGGACTTGATGCGGACGGCAACACATTGGTATGATATGGTCGAGATGATTTGAACCTGAATCCGTCGCTGTCATCCACATCAACATTCTTCTGGCTGGGGCTTGATCACCGGATATGATGAACACCTTCGGCGGGACCCCTATCAACATGCTGTTGCTAGACACTCATGTAGATGGTCAAAAATTGTGCGATTGTGTACATGTCATGCTCGCGCGTCGCGCGTATGAGGACTACCAGAATCTATACAAAGGTCATCCCTAGGCTGTTACTATACTAGCCGCGGTCCAAGAGCGATGATACACTCAGAAAATCGGTAACGTTTAAGTGCCTTTGTAATATCTACTAAACCAACGAAATAATAGCCAAGGTGTTCGAACGATGCCACTCACCATGCACGACATCTCTCGCAGTACAAACGAACATCCCTATCTCACAAGCTTTGTTCGATTCCTACCGACGTATGAGAACCCATCTCTGATGCGGCTGAGGTGGGCGGAGTTGCAGCATTTTCATCGGGTATTACTCTGTGCATTGTATGAGTTGACATTCCGCGGCTACTCATTCAAAATGCCTGCGAGAAAAGAAACTGCTAACAAGACTGTAGTTTCTTCGACGGACGAACCCCAACACGCGTTCTTCCCATACGCCCGATACACGTCCGTCATAGGTGTGCACGGCAGCATCAGGAAAACAACAGATTACTTGTCATGACTTAATAGTGACTTATGACAGATTTAAGAGACGGAAAATGAAAATTCAGAGCGATGTAGAAAAAGTCACAAAAAGGCCACTCGTCCTCTGATTTTGACTTAAAATGTCCTTAATTCTCAGTGCGCCATCATGAACTTCGATTCTCTTCATGCGATAGGTACGAGAATCCTTACATTGGCCAACACCATGAATAACCCAAGGTGACCAGCTCAGATGCGTGATCCAGTGGTCACTCAAAGGTTCTGTATGGATGTACGAGACGGAACCCCCAGAGTCGCTGTTTCTGTTGAACCTGCAGCCAATTAGATATCTTGCCCCAAAAAGACCTACAAAAACGCGCCTCAGAAACATAATAGAACCCGCCCTGTTTCCCAGGGCAAGCATCGAGGAATCGAGGATCGGGGTGGGTGCGATCCCATAGTCCGGTTGTTTCGACCAGGCAAGACCTTGTCCAGGATGTCAGAGAATGTTATTGCGCATTACAGAGCCACAGACTAATCACTTGTGCTCGAAGGGTGCTACGAACGATATCTGATGAGGCTGTGTTGAGTAGCAGACCTGTAACGTCTTGAATCTCCACAAAATTCAAGACTCGGATGAAGCAATGTGTATTACAGCTCTCACATTAGTCCATTCTCCCTTCAAGTGATTGTTAGCTGCCGCCCAAAGTGATACTTCTGCGTTCGAGTTAAGAACAGCTATGACGCATCTTCAATGTGCATCTCAGCTGCATGCCAGACGGACGGGTGAGAGATACAAACCTTCCCCTCTGCGTGAGATTACTGGGGGAGCATGCAATATCGCAAAGAGAAACATCGAGGGATCCGAGAGTAATAGCGCCCCAATCTTACCATCATACAAAGCCTGAACATCAATGCCAAGGAACGACGACCTTATGCTGACCTTGACATATACTCGGCCACATATGCGTCTGTCCACGCACCGGCTCGATCATCGTCCTGAACCACCCGAGCGGTTGCTCCCCTTGCCCATCTCCTCGGGGTGCCTTGATATCGGGTGGTGTGCTAAAGGTTAATTCCTGGGTCTGGGGTTTGGATGCAAATATGAGGTACGTCATTCGACAAAGTGTTACAAGGATTCTTACCATGATATGGACAGCTGCCTTTGTGGTGATGCAGGCCTGCCCATCGTCTGACCACTACAGACATTTCTCCGAGGGGTGTAAAATGACAGTGGGCACTGCCAACGACGTGTAAATCGCCATAGTTAACACAGGACAAGCCGGCGATGTGCCGGATGGTCGTCAGACTCGTCAACGACGTGATTAAAACTCGCGAACTTATGTCAGGAATGATTGAACAAATGACATTCGGAACTCCTTGCAAAACTCTCCAGTTCAGATCATGTTCCTTACTGCAGGTATTTGTTTGTGTCTGTTTTGTGCGGCATGAAAACTCTATTTGATACCCGTTGACTATTACTTGAGGGAGGGCTGAGCTTCGTTGGCAGGTACCTTGTTCACCGCCGTGTCCAAAACATAGCTAGGAGTATATCATGAAATAAAATAACGCGGAGGGCCGCGGTGCTCTACGAGAGTTACATTTTACAATGTCATATTTCACAGGGAAATTGGACGAAGGCTGCACATCATCATGCTAAGAGCGCTAGGACAAATTCTTAGTGTCTTTAACACAACGAGGGTATATATAAAGTGAACCTCGGTGCCTCGCAAAGCTTACGCTAGGCTCAGTTCCTCAACTACTCGACACAGCTTTTCCTGCTGGGGCAGCAGTCCGACCGTGATGATGATCCATCTGCCAGACGGCGCTTGATGGGACTGCGAGGACCACTTGATGGCTTGCGCAGTACTATGAGCTCTTGAAGTACAGCATTGAAGACCGACTTCTTCGACCTCCTAATTCCGAGATGCACAAGCGTGAAGTGCACTTCAACAATCGCACCAGCCAGCTTGCGATCGTAATCCTCCGCTGCAATGAGCTGGTAGCCCCTTTCATATACGGGGAGTGGTAAAACACGACGGGTAGACGCGAGCTCTTCCTTGCACGACTTTTTCCGCAAAAGCGGAACACAAAAAAACTAAAAGAAAAGTGAGGTACTCAACAGCAACAGCTCAGCGCTGAGTGCTGAGTACCCTACTATCATATTAACTTGAATAGTAATATAAGCAGCGGCAACGCCAGCCATATGGTTGAGGCTGGGTAAATGTCTAGTACAATGTATTAATATTATTCTGCAATGACCACCTGCCGAATCCACAGTACTTAAGAGGGCGCCCAAGGGTGCAATGCTAGAGCGAGTGCCGCTGTGATGGCCCGGATCAGCAAATCACTTTGCTTCTGTGGGTTCTGTACAGAACTGTACAGAACCCACGGAGTTCCACAGTGAAAAGTGTTTTTGCTGATCAGTGTGAGCAAACGGTGGCAGTCAGTGACGTGCCTGGCCCAGGGCCTGGACAGCGGATCGCCAATGCGCCGGCACGCTTCTGGCTTCTGGGAGATGCTTCATACCAGAAGAAGCCTGGTATGATCAAAGGAAGCCAGGAACCAGGTCTGGAGCAGTGCGGTCGGTGCTGGATGTTTTTGCTTCTTGGATCCTCAACTGATATATATAATATCACTCCTGTGAATTGTAGGCGCTTACGAATTATAGCAATTAATGTATCACAGTTTCCCTACAACTTGTAGGTAAACGATTCGAGAGATTAATCACTAATATCCAGCCTGGATATACCAAACTTGAGGGAGGACCGAGCTTCGCCAGTAGCATATCTACTATTGTAAGAACGGGGCGTTTGATCCCACGGAACCAATAAAATAACGCGAAGGGCCGTGGTGCACTATGAGAGAGTTATATTTTATAATAACATATTTCACAGGGAAATTGGACGAAGGCTGTACATGCTAAGCTTGGGCAAATTCTTAGTATCTTTGAAAAAAGTGAACCTCATTGCCTCACGAAGCTTACGCCAGGCTCAGTTCCTCGACTACTCGACACGGCTTTTAACTTGCTGCGGCGCGACGAGAATTACTTGATGATGTGGGTAGAACCAGGAATATGATGAAATGAATTTCAAGACTGCGCGTGCGTGACGATAAGCTATTAGACCGTCGCGGAGTTGTCGCGGAGTCATGTTGGAGTAAAGTCGGAGAGTTAAAATCAGGTCCGCACCGCCACAATCTCTGGGTGAACCGTGACCATGACCCTGATACTGCACGACGAGAGTTTAGGCAGAACCTATCCTAGCCATAGGCGGAGCCAGTGACTTGTGCAATGTTGCAGTTCATTTGAAAGTGAGTGACATTGTTCAACAGTTACCTTCGTGTTGATGAACAGTTGTCACTTTGTTCCGCTCAGGGCTTCTATTCATTTGTGGAGCCGGAAAAACAGAATGGTCCCTTGCCATTGGTGCTTTGCACTTTACTGCTCATCGCTAGCATGAACTCAACACCTGCAATGGCCAAGGGGTAACAACGGAAAATGAAGTGCACAAGGTACACGGTGTCCCAACATCGTGACTGTTCGTAATAGGTCTGCCTGTGCCAAAACCAATCGTTCGTGGACCAACAGTCTCATTTCAATGATCGCAGCGCTCATGACCATCATATGGGCTTTGGTGCTAAGAAATGCTAGAAGTGCTGGACGATATATGAAGACTCAACTCTAGAGAGTGTGACCGTACTCACGGAACTGATACACAGAGCCTCAGGCCTCAGCGATCAACTTATGTGCGGTACCGGGAGATATGAAATGTAATCGCAATGCATTATTGTTATAGACTTGGGTGGCTCGGACTTCGGTAATCCGTCTACGGCCAGTACAAATATCAGCCCTCGCAGCTTCTACAGACCCATCGAACAGCTCTTTTGTTGTACGACTACCAACTCACGATCTAACTTCAACTGACCAAGTTTCTCTGCAATACTCATCACAAGACTCATCATGATCTCATTCACGACTTTCCTCCTTACTCTCCTAGCTCTCTTCAACCTCTCCCTCTCTGCTCACGAAGACGTTTTCGTTCCTCCTGTCCTGTACCCGCGTTTTAACACGGTCTGGATCGTTGGTCAATATCACAATGTTACCTGGTTAGTGCTTCCTTCTCCTCCGATTCACTCATCGTCGATCTCATAACCACCGGATATAGGGACACCGATGATGCACCTGTACACATCAGCAACAAGATCGGCCAGGTATATCTAGCAGCCAACTACATCATTGATATGGGTAAGCTTCTGTCTTCCCGCTGGCAAATCATATCCGGCTCGGACTGAGCGAATGTCTCAGACCATCCTTTGGCAACGGGCTTCAACATTTTGGATGGTCGCGTTGTCATCCATGTACCGAAGGTGACTCCGGGTTCGCATTACTCAATTGTCCGTAAGTCCAGAATTTCATCCTACATTAGCGTTAAGAGGCTAATTTGTACCACTCGTAGTCATGGGTGACTCAGGCAATTACAGCCCACAATTTACCATCCGCAGTCATTGATTGGATGTCCTACCATAACCACGCGACGAACATCTAATTATAATGTTGCACGTGGAGGGCGTGCAGGTGCAATCGTGCTTCCTGTAGTGAAACTCACAGTTGTTTGCATTACCGAAGGCGCGAGTCCTGTTTCAAATTTTGAGAACAGATGACAGTACTTACAATATCTCGCTTAATTCTTGTCTGATTCTCTTAATTCTTAGAGATCCGGAATCGGCGTGAAAAACTGCAGGGGATGACACTCTTCGATGAAGAAATTAGTGGCGCTGAAAAACCCTCAGGATGTGACTGCGAATGTACAAGAACTTATGATCTGAATCACATGTGCGTTAATCTCTGACAGATGCTAGTTATATGTTCTCGTATGACACAACGAGTCTCGAGGGTAATACATAGCTTCATATGCTCTACACATGAATCAGAAAGGATAAATGGAGGGTCTGTTGAAATCACTGTAGGCAGAGGTGCAGGCCTTGTCAGTTTTAAGTGGCATGTTGCGCTCAGTGATGGTGCTACTTACTCGTGTTCGGGACCAACATCAGGAAGTTGCTCAGGAATATTACATAGTAACAGCGGCAACCACATGGTCTTGTTACAGTTGTGGTTAAGCTTTGCCTTGTTTACCAAGGTCACACCCAGAGGTTGTGGCGGTGCGGACCTCATTTCTATGAATCGTACTATATTACAACTATATTTCGAGTCTTGACTTTTCTTCCCTGGAACTGACCATGCCCTCGGGATAGCGCAACATACACATCAAATGGTGTGAGTTTTCCCCTGGGTGGAGTGCTAATATCAATTATCGAGTGGCTGGTAGTTTGTCCTTGCATCAGTGAATTCACGAGTCCGTGATATGGTAGTCATGAGACCTATAGACTAATACAATTATGCTTTTGCCATGTATCCCAAAAGAAATTTGCGTTGTTCATAAATGACTATTGATCCCTGCAAATCTACACTTAGAAGAGGCATTAATGACAAGGTTAAAGTAATGCAACATCATAGCAGACAAGCCACAGTAGTTCAGTGCCCTCAGCCTTCAGGCCCATTCTTATTTTGTCTTATATATATTTCAATTCCATGGCTATCCAAGGCTTTCCAATGGAAAGCCGCTGGCGATGTTCGCAATGACCAGCAAATCTTTAGATCACGTGACGAAGAGACAAAATTGAGGTATGTCGACATCACAACAGACAGCAGTGGTCCAGTGGCCTCAACTTGTAAGCCTATTCTCATTTTATATTATTTATGGTTTCAGTTCTATGGCTATCCAAGGCTTTCTAATGGAAAGCGGTGTTAGCAATGACTGGCAAATATAAGTGAACTTGTTATATATCGAACTGATCTGGGTGAGTGACCGGAGGCAAACTAATGCAAGTCAATCAAGGCGACCGCAAGGACTCCAGTCGTTCATTGGTACGCGCATATACCACTCGAGTCCGTTCGGGTCCTTCTTTCTTTCCCATCTTGCCACCACATCGGATGCCTTTTCTCACCCAGCACCACAGGCTCTCCAAATGCTCACGAGTGCTGAATGAGTATCACTATCAGTATGAGCATCAAAAAAAAGTTTGTAAATAAAGCGAGAGACAAAAAGAGCGACGAAATGACAGATTCGAAAAAAGCCATGTCCCCATAACCAAATTAGTTTGCAGCGACCATGGAATAACAGCAGCGAGCAAAAATAGTGGTAAATTATGGTACATGCAAATTCCAGATGATGGTTGGCATAGGCAAGACGAGGTCTAGGCAACTTGATGATCGTGATCTCGATAGTCGCAGTCTAAGCAACGACCGCTAATTATACGCACCAAACCGCTCTCCACCATGCCCCGCACCATTGGGAAAATCACGAAGTATTCTTTCCTCTATAAGGCCAAAGATTCCCCCATATGTAGCAGAATTATGTTGATTCTTGTTATTATGAACTATATATCGCTATATATACTCTTCTCAAAACTTCAACGGTTCACTGATGTGCGACCTGTAGTCTGTGAATGTGTATGCGGAATTCGACGGCAACTGGCTACGGCGGTCTTCTTTTCTCCCCCCGGTCTATGAATGCCTGTTCAAACAAAGCAAACTTGCTAAGCACATAGCTCATGCTGAAGAACTTTTGAGTAAGGCCCGGGGCGCTTCCGTGACGTAGAGACGGAATAGGCTCTTACCAAGATTCACGCTGGAATCTCCAATCTCAGCAAGAATGAAATATCCGCAGGCGGCGACTTCTTCGAGCTCGGCGGTACCTTCATCAATATCATCAAGTAGGCACGGAATATTCTTGGTGTTGGTTGTTTCTCACTTCTCTGCCTATCAGACTCAAGCGCAAGGGCGAGGCGCACTTTGGTTTGCCTGAGATACCATCTTCAGCCCATCAAGGCTCTGGTCTCAAAGGACAGCACTGCCGAAGATTATCATCCCATCACTCCCTCGCAGCTGAAGGGTAACAAAAGCCTATGTTTTTCGTTCATTCCAGTCTCGGGGAAGATCTCGTTTTTGGTCAACCTCGTCAAGTACTTCCAGAATGAGCGTCCCTTCTATGCTCTCCGTAAAGAGAACTCCACCACAGGTCCTTATGTCATCGCTGGTTACAGTTATGGTTGTGTCGTAGCTTTCGATATCACTAGTAAGCACCTCGAGATTAAGGCGACGAAGTCAAATTCGTCTGTCTCATCGACATCCCTCCTCACATCGCCGATCGCATGCACGAGATTGATGGCATGCTGAAGTTTCCGCGGTCTGGCGACGAAGCAAGATGCCAATAACCTTGCGCCCGCTTTAAAACCACTCTCACGAAAGGAACAACTGGATGTCGTTTGGAAGTAATCACCTCCCGAACGTCGCGGTCTTATCGAGCTCCAGCTGACGCAGGAAAACCTTGATCCTGGGTCGAGATTCCTGGTTCACGAATCGAATGCGGCAATGAGTACAACCCGCCTGGCTCAGTATGTGAGTGCCCTTATTCTTACAGTAGTGGTCTCTCACTCATGACTACGTTCAGCTGCTATCGATGTCTTCTACATCATTCCGTTGTGCGGAAGCAAGGTTGATTGACTGAATAAGCAAGTGAAGCTTTCAGCCGTGGCCAGGCCACGTATACTGACGACTTCCTAGTCTCATGGACTTCGACTTTCCGCATTCTCCACAGCCGTCTCGAGGGCTTTAACAATGCGGATGATTGGTACTATGATTTACTGTATGCATGCGCTATGTAGTCGACCCTGCGTTTGTATCGTACTCTTGTAGTGTCTTCTGTAAAAATCCCCGTTGTTGAATCGATGGATTATAGATCGTGATATTTATACTATCATCCAGAGATGAAACATCCTTATAATAAACTTAAACATGAGCGACATGAACGGGAATTGAGCATGGTAGAGTGCGAGGCTTGGAGCAGCGTGCTGACCATCGAGTCTCAAACTAGACACCAATATGAATGAATACAATCTGCTGTTCCAGTGGAACCTTCTCTCCCCGCAATGTCTTCACAGCCTTGTGCAACGCTACTGCAGCGCGTGTGCAGTCCAATCTCCCTGAACCGTCAACCAGGTTGCTGTAAAAGGCAGACGCCATCTGCCGTGCAACCTCGTCGTCGACAGACCACATCGAACCAATCACGCTGCAAAATCCGGAGAATTGCATAGCCGCAGCGAGATGGATGGACTCATCAGGACTCTGCTCATCGCCCACAGTAGTGTGGCAGGCGGATAAGAATGCGAATTGTGGATTCAGCCAGTCAGACCGGACGATGTCCTTGATCATCAAAGGTCCATCGCGCATCGCAAAAGAAGACTCGAATGCTTCTTGTTGATTCGGCATTCCGTGACAGGCCAGGTGAAGCCATTGATTCCGGCTCAATGCATTCAATGCTCCCTGAACCGTTGCATGGCTGTCCGCAAGGGATGTGAAAGAGACGACGGGCGCGACGTGCCGAGCGACGATGGCTAGCTCTGGAGCAACACATCGGAGTTCCTTCCCTCTTCCCAGGTCTGCTTGACCAATGGCGACAAAATGTTGAGGGGACACATCGCGGGAAACCTGCTGTCTCGCACGAATGAGAGCTGCCAGAGTCGGGGTGTAAGAGGAGACATAAATGTGAGATAAATTGTGTCTCTTCTTCTCGTAAAGTCCTGCTGCATGTAGAGGAAGTAGCGTGAACTCAGCAGTCGGACACCACCAGATACGCGAGCCAGGGGGAATTCTTGACTCCTTAAGAGCTTGGACCACGGGCTCAACAATATATTCCCAAAGCTTGCGGAGGATACTGACAAGCTTGTGTTGACGATCAGAGGAACCAAATTGCTCTGTGAGGGATTGAAATTCGGAGGACAACTCGGAGACTTCAGCCCACGGGATGTCAAGTGGAACGTGGACAGGATCTTGTGCGCTCAGTATAATCAAGGCGTCACAGCTGTACTGACTAGCATTGACAATAATGACTGGACCATCATCAGCCGCTTTCTGAAGGTCTGAAAACAGTGGCGGCAGGAGAAACCGAGAAAAGTCGGGGAGCATACGGATGCGTGAGACGACATCATCCCATTGCATCGTCAGTTGCCGGATTTGCGCGGACTGATCTTCAGTAGACTGATCAAACGCGTTACGGAGGCGAAAGCTAAGTCGCTTGAACTCTTCCGCCAAGGCTGCGCCAGTGTCATCTGAGACGGCAAGTTCATCGAGCGGTGTGCGGAAGCGTGCCAACTGGGTCCAAAATACTGCACGGCCTTGCTCCACCAGTTCCACAGCTGTCGTCAACGCACCATGATGAACACTGCACGAGAAAGCATCCATGGCGAGGGAAGAAGTGGCCTCCTTGACAACATTGAAATGGCGCAAAGAAGACGACAAAAGAGCAACATGCTGATGAAGAAATTTCAATGCAGTCTGATAAGCAATCAATGCAGAGCCATGCATCAGTTCTTCGGCAGAGGCCACCCATGACTTGGCAGCACTAAGATCTCCACGAGAGGCTGCATGTGATAGGTGGGAAAGTTGGAAGTACAGGCTAAATGCCTCATCTACGTCAGACGGGACTCCTCGCTGTTGGAATCTGTCCGCGAGGCTAGTAGCAAGATTATCGAGAGACATGGGTCGATCAGAATGCCCGGGGGGACGGAGGAGTAGTGCAGCCCGATGCAACTCAATGGCCTCATCGAGGTCGGTCGGGACACTGCGTTGCTCGAATCTATCTGCGAGGCTAGTTGCAAGATCGTTGAGAGACATAGATCGATCAAAATGACCGGGGGGACGGAGGAGTAGTGCAGCTCGATGCAGCTCAATAGCTTCATCAAGGTCAGATGGGTCATCCTGCTGCTTGAATCTGTCTGCAAGGCTAGTGGCAAGATTGTTGAGGGACATGGATCGATCAGAATGACCGGGGGGACGGAGGAGTAGTGCAGCCCGATACAGCTCAATGGCCTCGTCGAGGTCAGTCGGGGCGCCCCGCTGCTCGAATCTGTCTGCCAAGCTGGTGGCAAGATTGTTGAGAGACATGGACCGATGAGCATGACTGGGGGGACACAGGAGTAGTGCAGCTCGATGCAGCTCGATGGCCTCATCTAGGTCAGATGGGATACCCCGCTGCCCGAATCTGTCTGTAAGTCTGCTAGCAAGACTGTCAAGAGACATGGATCGACCAGAATGACCGGGGGGACAGAGGGATAGTGCAGCCCGACAGAGCTCAATGCTCTCATCAAGGTCAGTCGGCATACCTCGCTGCTGGAATCTATATGCAAGACTGGTGGCAAGATTGTTGAGAGACACGGAGCGATCAGGATGACCGAGGGGACGGAGGAGTAGTGCGGCCCGATGCAGCTCAATGGTTTCATCAAGGTCGGATTGGATGCCACGCTGCTCGAATCTGTCTCGAAGGCTGGTGGCAAGATTGTCGAGAGACATGGGTCGATCAAAATGACCGGGAGGACGAAGGCATAGTGCATCCCGATGGAGATCAATAGCCTCATCAAGGTCAGTCGGCACACCCCGTTGTTGGAATCTGTCTGCAAGGCTGGTGGCAAGATTGTCGAGGGACATGGATCGATCAAAATGACCAGGGGGACGGAGGAGTAGTGCAGCCCAATACATCTCAATGGCCTCGTCGAGGTCGGTCGGGGCGCCCCGCTGCTCGAATCGGTCTGCTAGGCTGGTGGCAAGATTGTTGAGAGATGTGGACCGATCAGGATGACCGGGAGGGCGGAGGAGTAGCCCAGCCCGATGCAGCTCAATGGCCTCATCAAGGTCGGATGGGACGCCCCGCTGCTGGAATCTGTCTGCAAGGTTGGTGGCAAGATTATCGAGAGACATGGATCGATCAGAATGATCAAGGGGACGGAGGAGTAGTGCAGCTCGATGCAGCTCAATGACCTCATCGAGGTCAGATTGGATGCCCTGCTGTTTGAACCTGTCTGAAAGGCTAGTGGCAAGATTGTTGAGGGACATGGATCGATCAGGATGACCGGGGGGACGGAGGAGTAGTGCAGCCTGATACAGCTCAATTGCCTCGTTGAGGTCGGATTGGATGCTCCGCTGCTTGAATCTGTCTGCAAGGCAGGTCGCAAGATTATCGAGAGACATAGATCGAAGCGAATGACTTGGGGGACAGAGCTCCAGCATGGTGCGATAAAGCTCAATGGCCTCATCCAAGTCAGACAGAGAGCCCATGTGCTCGAATCTGTCTGCAAGGCTGGTCGCAAGATTGTTGAGAGCCTCAGATCCAAGCGAATGTCTGGGGAGACGGAGCTCCAGCATGGCGCGATAAAGCGCAATGGCCTCATCCAAGTCAGACAGAGAGCCCTGGTGCTCGAATCTGTCTGCAAGACTGTCGGCAAGATCGCTGAGAGACTCGGATCGAAGAGAATGACTGGGAGGACGGAGCTCCAGTACCGCGCGATAAAGCTCAATGGCTTCATCCAAATCAGACAGCGAGCCCAGGTCCTCGAATCGGTCGTGAAGGTCTATGGCAAGATCATGGAGACGCGCGGATCGACGGGAATGGCCACGGGGACACCGACGCAGGGCCTCTCGAGACTTTTCCACGAAGTCTGCTGTGTCATTGAGGTAAGATAACAACTGCCCCATCTCGCTGTGAAAGGTCTCGCAATGAGTGCAAAATCGAGTGATATCAGAGTGGATACGCACGCAGGGAGCAGAAACTGAAGATCCGTGCCAAGGGTGATAATACGGTAACTCAGGGAGCCTGCTATCAATTCCAAAGTGAGCCGCTATTACTAGGGCAGGTGTTGAATCGCATGCCATACATGAGTTTCAAACACAAGCGAGCTAGCGGCAGTGAACGCCAGTCTCGGGCCCTAGTCAAACCATTAGAAGGAAAACAACGCATACGAATAGCGCTCACCTAATGAAGCTTGAGAACTCCAACGTGGTTCTCACTCAGCTGCAATGCGCGTCACTCGGACGAAACGCTCTAGCCGCGCTATGTCGTAATCATTATTCACTGGTAATGGGGAATCTTTCAACTTTCCAACTGCTATTTACCTAGCTCTAAGCTAGGGCTGCATCATGTTCGCTTATCTTCACTGTGACTAATTACGAATGTCTTTCACCATGCTCACCCGCCAACATCCATTCATACATTCGTCTCAAAGGCCCCAGACTGGAGGCAGCGTCAAGAAATACGCGACGATGGCAAGCACTTACAACTTAGTTGTAAGTGCTTGGCAGTGGTGCTGCCGCGGTCCGGTTTGTTCCGGTTCATAGAGGGTTGAGCAAGAACCGAGAACCGAACCTGGGTCCGGTTCTACTAGACTCACCAAACCTTGAACTGAACCTTTGCGAACGGTTCAAAACGGTCAGGTTCGGTTTTTTTTCGGTTCGAACGCGAACCGAACCCAAAAAAAATTCATAGTGAGTAAAAAACAGTGAACATAGGCGGGTACTTGTAATCGTAGCTCGATATCCAACAATGAAGCTGCATGTCCTTCTGCCTCTACTGCCACAGAAACATGGCCATTCCTAGTGATCCCCCCGCTCGAGAAAGCCTGTTCAGAGGGCACGGAGCTGCCTTGAATGGGTAAATAGTCTCGTGCGATGTGTGCAAGTGTGGGGAATTGTAACGAGTGAAGCTAGTAATAAATGATTTAAGTAGCGAACAGATGAATCAATGAAATTAAATTACTTACACCCCACCAGGCAATAATGTTGTCGGTTTCCTCTAGTGGCGAAGATAGGTATGCAGTAATTAATGCAACAGAATGATCAGAGAAAGTGACACCGCTTGTCAACATCTAATACTGTAGTAATTGACTCAATGCGACACCCCCGTGTGACTGTGACATGCCAGGTCAATTTGACATTCAGACACTCAGGCCTGTGATGTGTGACATGCCGAAAATTTTCGACATGTCATGATGATGAAAGCTAGATTTTGTAGTAAGTAGTAGAAACATTTGGTGTGTCGCCGCACAGATACAGTGCAAATCCGGAGTGTCGTGTAGCGCAAATCTGGGGTCGCCACAGAAGCAAAATTCGATGTTTGTTGTGACGTCAAATGATTTCGACACAAGCTGATGTTACGCGTGACAACTACCTAATTTTGACACCGACACCACCGACTGTGACGCGTGACCGTCGAATTGAGTCAATTACTACAGTACTGGTACCTCAAGCTTAGCCAGATATCAATAATCACCCTGAGTGCTCCGATTCCCAAGTGCTCTATTCCAACTTCAATGACATGATTGCAAGCCAAGCGCTCAAACGGCACCGTTTTTTCCAGAAGTAACCACTGCTTCGATTAACGCAACAACGAACTACTTGGTACGTATCGTGCATCAACACACTGCAGTGTGCGCAAACGCGAAAGCAGAAATATGACTCACTTTCGCGACTTGTCACTCAGGCTTGATTTATCGACATCGACAAGCATTTACGAATGTAACCTACCAGGCTGGTGAGTCAAAAATCGTGGATGCAAGGAAAATTAGTCATACTCACGCTTCAAATTCTACAGATTCCTCTCCAGTGCAACGTCTTCCATGCAATTGGCAGCAAATGGTGCAGCACCCTGGTAACATTGCGCATTGACAAACATAGATACAGTCAAAGCAATAAGAACGGCGAGGATCAAGGAGAAACGCATTGTGCGATGTGATAAGGAATCAATAACTCTGAGGGTAGGACGCCATGAAGGCTGCTGCTTTTATGCCCTCAAAATGGTGTTCTGGGCAGAACTTCAGCGAGAGCGTCATAGGCAGAACACATCCCCCTTCAAATGGACGTCGTTTACCATGACATTCTAGAAAAAAAAACTGACTTGTTCCATCACCGATAATGATGGAAGCAATTACGAAGATAATTTACCCGCTGCCGCATACAGGGGCTGAAATGCCCTCATACTGTAGAATGATGCTAGTTCCGAAGGCAGTGGACTACTTCCTAGTCGCCCGACGATTGCTCGAAGGAACGACGTGTAAGTATTCTCCCAATTCAACATGTCTTATGCTAACGACACGACTCGCAACTTGAACGCACTTCGCAAAATACAAATATTACTTCCAGCCATTCTGCCATTCGCCACTGCCAGAAGTCGCCCTTAACGTCAAAAATTCACATTCCGACACAACAGCATGGTGCAGACATGCGCAAGCAACACGCTCAGATGCGAGGTGCATGTCTCGATAGAATGTCAGTCCAATAACAGGATGTCCTGCTTATGGACAACCGGGAGCACAAAATGCGAGTCTCCGGACAGAATTGAAAGTTAACGCAGATGTCGAAGATCCCAGAAGTTGAAGTGCCCATGGCAGAAGAGAAGTGACCAGCCTCGCCGATATCTCGAGGAAGCTTCGGTTTGGGGTTCGGAACGGTTCAGGAAGGTCCGAACATTCTCATTGACAAATCTCGTATAACCTCGCACACACAATGTACCATGTCTGTCAGTGCATGCAGTGATCTCGAATCAGACTCTTACTGACCCTATCGAAGGTAATAAGGGGGTTTGGTAGTTAGTACTAGTAGTCCGCGAACCACGTTAAGGTCGGACTGTCCATATAACCGTGCGTCAACAAAGTTCACAAGATCTTAGGAAGATATGAGGAAGAATCGATTATGTTTTCCGTAAGATAGGATCTTCCTACATCGCCATGAAGTTCTGCCAGAACAATATTCAGCACATAAAAGCAAGCCGTCTTCCTCCTGTTCCCTTCAGATTTAGGTGATCCGATATCACATCCTTACAAACGATGCGTTTCTACTTCGTCCTCCCGGTCGTTGCTGCTTTGACAGCGTCAATATCTGCCAGTCCCATTGACAGCGGCAGCGACGCTGACACTGCTGATACTTGTCGCACCTATTGCACCTGGCTTCCCTGCTGCAAGGGAGAAACATGCATCTTGTCAAGCACTCCGGGTGCAAGGAAATTTGTGAGCACAAGTAGTTCACGTCCTGGATTTAACCGTGACTCACCGGCGTGGTAGGAAATCTGGATATGTGCGAAAAACTGGTGACTGACATGTCACAACAGTGAATTACAGTGAGTTGTGTTTCTGCTTTCGCATCAGTACAGTATTGTTGATAGCACGACGCGTGACTTACCAGTGGTTTCTTGCCGAGTTGATCAATGCGCGTGCTTCTGAACAAATTTCACTGCCGCTCGAGCAATGGATATCTTGGAATAGAGTGTATATCAAACAAGTACTTGAATACATAGCATATGACTGAAATACTTGCAATGCAGTTTTGTAGTCTCGTTGTAAGCTTGAACCTAGAAGCCCTCATGACAGTGTCAGGTGGGTACGATCATAGACAGCACGCTGAAACTGATACACTCATAGCCATACTGGCACTGAAGTCTGACGAATCTCCATAAGTCACTACGTTCCTTGTTTCTGTTTCAAGATACAAATTCCGGTCAGTGGCACCTGCCTCGAGGAATCAAAATGCTGCGTGACCTTCCCTGTCAAGGTCCAAGGAGATCTATCCCATTCCCAATATCATCAGCTGTATATCCACACATCCCAGACCACGAGGTGTAACCTTACCCGCCGCCCATGATGATCTCCGCCCAAGGAAACCTAATCACAATCTACTGCTCGACAAGCAGCTCCTCGACGACGCCCCCAAAGTAAGCATTCGAAAGAGAATAGCTTCATGGGAGGAGAGGAAAGTCGAAGGAATGTAGACGGATATAGATAGCGCCTTGGAAAAATGGATCTAGCTGTGAAACCAAGCATGAGGAGAAATGTGAGGACTGAGGAGGTGTGGTGGATAAGCGGAGACGACGGGGAGGTTCTTCCGAAAAGCGGAATAATAAGAGTCGTGGATGTATCGCATGCCTGGTCCCCGCTCCTCCATCATGCCTGTTCGTAGCTCAGCTATCTCCAGGAGGTACAGGGGAAAATTCAGAATACGGACCAGTGACAAAAGTAAATCAGAACAACACAGCGCACCTCGCGTTCTGGACATATCACTCCCAGGCTCCTTTTGAGACACCATAGACTTGTTCGTCACAGGTCGAGGGACCTGTGGTGCTGGATCAACGCGCTCCGTATCGCACAAACTTCCCCAAAACAAAGACAAATAGTGCAGATGCGTTTGGAGGTCAGCGCTCATCTACCAGCTAGGCAGTTCGGGGCACAATTTTCGCTGAAATGCGCATCCGCTCGAGAGATCAGAAACCCGCACCAACACCACCCGTTACCAAAATCGAGGCTTTCAGTAGGCAATCCCACTTCTAGTCTTTGCGCGCTGCATATATGGAGCATCATCGATGAGTATACGCAAGGAGGTTGATAGTGGAATCTGATATCGTGGGTGGTTACAGTTTGTTGATACTACGACGAAGGTTTGAGGTGCCTGGTAGCTTCCTGGCGAGACGTTCCGGTTTGGGATGCCTTTGGTGGATTTGGAGCTCGCGTTGGTGAGCAATGCGTCCTGTGTGCGAAGGGTGTCCGGGTGGAAATGCAAATCAGCGAACTCGGGTTCGTATTCATGCCGAAAGCCGATATCGAGCTGCGGTAATTGATCACCGAGAATGGGCCTCTGCGGCCAGTGTTCAGAACTAATTCTACTCGTCTCAATGCAGCGAAAGCGGACGATGTCGTTGGTGATGATCCCGGTGAATTTATCGTCCTGTCGAGGCTAATGGATTGTGCGACGAGGAAGCACTGGGTAAACGGCATTTCGGACGTATGTTCAATATGTTATGGCGGTGCGGGGGATGCAGGGTGAAAAGCTTGGCCATTGACTGTGGAGCGGAAGGATGTTGTATTTAGGTAGAAGGGGGTTGTTGCTGTCGGACGTAGTGAGAATCCTGTCAAATGAATCCAGATCTTGGTTGACCGTGAGTGCGAATTCATTTTGTTGAATGAAGAGGAACATGGAGAAAGATGCATGGATAGAGACGGATCCTACTTGCATTGTCTTCAGCGCCATTCTACAATAAATTTATATTTCTTCCACTGGAGGATGCGCCTATACCAAAGGAAATATCAGATAATTCCAAACTGTTCCCATACTTTTCAGGGGTGCTTGGAGCGATGGATTGTACCCACATTGCATATTGTCCATCTGCAGAAGAACGCCGACCGTCAATAGCATGTGACACAGCGCACGTCACTAGAGTGCTTGAATATCGCAATGGTTTGTCGATCTGAGCGACGCCAGAGACGGACATGGTTGTCAAATGATGCGGAAGCAACAAGTGCGCCAGCAGGATGAATTGCAAGGCGAGTAGGTCCTTTCCACAGATCAATGGGTTCGAACCGGGGTTCGGAACCGGACTGCGGCAGCACTAGAATTTCTGATGTTCTTCTCAGCACCGTGTCGGAGCTCAGCCAATTCTGAAATTTTTGTCTGACTGGGCCCTTCTAAAAATGCGAATCTGCAGAAATGGTCTTGTAACCCGCTCGCAAGACGCTTACAAGGGTTTTGTTCTGGTTAGCTCAGGTCTGCGTTCGTAAACGCTCAGTTTGGTTATGTTGAGACCAAGGAACAGTGTCTGGACTCTGTTACTAGCAGGCCATGCGATAGTGTTGTAGTAGTATATACTAATAGTACGAACAACTTGCTTTCTACGCTGTAACGATGTAGTCCTTTCTACGAGGAATATTGTGGTGCCTGCGACGGTCCAATGCGCAACACGTACTCTCACCATCGCCATTCTCATCAAAAGAATCCGACGCCGCGAACGCGGATTATTCTGGCTCCAGTATGGACAACGGCCCCTGCCATCGAGATAATGAGAAGGTATGTCTTGACCTTAATGCCGCATAACGGCTCTTTTCAGGGTATGTAATGATGCTGAACTTCTTGAAACATCTGGACCAGTGCCATGATTCCCAACAAACGGGCTCGCACAACTTCAGCTTTCTGACCGTTGCGTCAAAGTGCCTTGTTGCCAAGAACTCTTCTCTACTTAGAGTGAGCACGCAGATATGATGGGAGTCGGTATTTTTCATGCGGGTGATGGTGTTACAGCGTCCAGTTCTAATTACGGTCGGGATGTTGGCGGGATCGCTGGAATGACTGTCACGGCCGCTAGTGTTATCATGTCAGGAATCGTCGCAATAATTGGGTCTGGCGTTGGTCTAAGCGTATAGGAGTCGGTCGCGAAGCTCCTGGTATAGTCCCCATTCTACATTCTTGCGGATTGCTCTGAGGCCTCTTTCCTCACCAGCATCGATCATGTAGATACAGCTGACGCACCACGCATCCCCGAAGTATGTGTTTATCTTCTCGATGTGCTGTTCGACAGTCACGATGGCAAGGCTGTTGACTCGGATGCATACACTGACGTTCCTGGGCAACACATTCCCCAATTCTACAACATCTCCCGTAGCAATCTTGCACACCGTACTCGTAGCTTGAAGATTGTGCATGAAACAGGCGGAATTTTATGTCAGAAGACTGATTCGTACTATCACTTCCTGCTATATCATAAGTACAGAATGCTACAGAATAGCTATTATCAACAAGTGGTAGGACAGCGAGCGAATAAAAACAACAAGACATGCGAGCGTAGACGGACAACAAACAAATGAGACATGATAAGTGAGATCAAGCAGGAAAAGTCGACAACGACGACGACGTGCGGTGGGGGAGGTGTGAACGCTGTTCGGCGGCCGAGAATCCGTTATCTGGACCGTCACAAAGAGTGGTCGAACAATCTCTAGATGCAGTGTGAGTGCATAGTTCGCCGACAGGGATGGATGACTTACAGTAAACGTAACAATGATATTAGCGAATGCGGCCCAAACTAAACACCGATGTGAATGAACACTATCTGCTGTTCTAGTGGAATCTTCTTCTTCCGCAACGACTTCACAGCCTTGTGCAACGCAACCGCAGCCCGCGTGCAGTCCAGTCTCCCAGAACCATCAACCAGGTTGGCGTAAAAAGCAGACACCATCTGCCGTGCAACCTCGTCGTCGACAGACCACATCGAACCTATCACACTGCGAAATCCGGAGAATTGCATGGCCGCAGCGAGATGGATAGACTCGTCGGGACTCTTCTCATCGCCCACGGTAGTGTGGCAGGCCGATAAGAATGCGAACTCCGGATTGCCCCAGTCAGATCGGACGATGTCCTTGATCATCAACGGCCCGTCGCGCATCGCAAAGGAAGACTCGAATGCCTGTTCTCGATTCGGCATTCCGTGGCAGGCCAGATGAAGCCATTGATTCCCGCTCAATGCATCCAGTGCTCCCTGTACTGTTGCATCGTTGTCAGCAAGCGATGTGAAGGACGCGACGGGGGTGATGTGCTGAGCGACGACAACTAGCTCGGGAGCGACACATCGGAGTTCCCTCCCTCTGTCCGGGTTTGCTTGACCAACGGCAACAAAATGTTGCGGAGACGCATCTCGAGAAACATGCTGTCTCGCACGAATAAGAGTCGCCAAAGTCGGGGTGTAAGAGGAGATGTAAAGATGCGACAAATTGTCCTTCTTCTTCTCATAGGGTCCTGCTGCATGCAGAGGAAGCAGCGTGAACTCAGCGGTGGGACACCACCAGATATGCGAGCCAGGGGGAACTTTTGACTCCCTAAGAGCTTGGACTACGGGGTTAACAACAGAATCCCAAAGCTGGCGGAGGATATTGGCAAGCTCGTGTTGATGATCAGAAACACCAAATTCCTCCGCGAGGGACTGGAATTCGGAGGACAATTCAGAGGCTTCGGTCAGCGTGATATCGAGTGGAATGTGGACAGGATCTTGGGCACTCAAGATAATCAAGGCATCACAGCTGTGCTGACTAGCATTGACAATAATGACTGGACCATCATCAGCCGCTTTCTGAAGGTCAGGAAACAGTGGCGGCAGGAGAAACCGAGAAAAGTCAGGGAGCATGCGGATGCGTGAGACGACATCATCCCATTGCATCGTCAGTTGCCGGATTTGCGCGGATTGGTCTTCAGTAGACTGATCAAACACGTTACGGAGGCGAAAGCTCAGCCGCTTGAACTCTTCCTCCAAGGCTGCGCCTGTGTCACTTGATGCGGAAAGTTCATCGAGCGGCGTACGGAAGCGTGCCAACTGGGTCCAGAATACCGCACGGCCTTGCTCCACCAGTTCTACAGCAGTCATCATCGCACCGTGACGAACACTGCACGAGAAAGCATCTGTGGCGAGGGTAGAAGTGGCCTCCCTGACGATACTGAAATGCCGCGAAGAAGATGACAAAATTGCAACATGCTGATCTAGGAATTTCAATGCTGTCTGATAGGCAAGCAACGCAGATTCATGGTTCAGCTTCTCGGCGGAGGTTATCCATGACTTGGCAGCAATAAGATCTCCACGAGAGGCTGCATGTGATGAGTCGGAAAGTTGAAAATACAGCCTAAAAGCTTCATCCAGATCTGATGGGATGCCCCTCTGCTGGAATCTGTCTCGAAGGCTGATGGCAAGATTGTCAAGAGACGCGGATCGATCAGAATGATCAGGGGGACGGAGGAGTAGTGCAGCTCGGTGGAGTTCAATGGCCTCATCAAGGTCAGACAGGGCGCCATGCAGCTTGAATCTGTCTTGAAGACTGAGGGCAAGGTTGTTGAGAAACGCGGAACGATGAGAACGACCGTGGGTGTAAAGTGCAAGTGCAGCCCGATGGAGTTCAATAGCCTCATCAATGTCAGACAGGTCGGCCCGCCGCATGAATCTGTCTCGAAGACTGAGGGCAAGATTGTTGAGTGACGCGCATCGATCAGAATGATCGGGGGGATAGAGCGCAACTGCAGCCCGATGGAGTTCAATCACCTCATCAAGGTCAGACATGACACCCTGTTGCCGAAACCTGTCTTGAAGGCTTCCAGCAAGATTGTTGAGAGACATGGATCGATCAGAATGACCTGGGGCACGGATGAATAGTGCAGCCCGATGGAGCTCAATGGCCTCATCAAGGTCAGATAGAACACCCCGCTGCTCGAATCTGCAGTAAAGGCTGATGGCAAGATCATTGAGAGAATCAGATCGAAGAGAATGACCAGGGGGGCGGATGACTAGTGCGGCCCGATGAAGCTCAATAGCCTCATCAAGGTCAGACAGGCAGCCTTGCTGCTCGAATCTGTCTGCAAGGCTGTTGGCAAGATTCTGGAGAGAATCAGATCGAAGAGAATGACCGAGGGGACGGAGAATTAGTGCAGCCCGATGGTGCTCAATAGCCTCATCGAGGTCGGACGGGACACCCTGCTGCTCGAATCTGTCCGCAAGGCTGTTGGCCAGATTGCTGAGAGACGTGGAACGATGAGAATGACCAGGGGGACGGAGGATTAAAGCTGCCCGATGGAGGTCGATGGCCTCATCGAGGTCGGATAGGATTCCCCGCTGCTGGAATCTGTCGGTAAGGTTGCTGGCAAGATTGTTGAGAGACGCGGAACGACGAGAATGACAGGAGGACGGAGGAGTAGTGCAGCTCGATGGAGTTCAATGGCCTCATCAAGGTCAGACAGGCTGCCATGCAGCTTGAATCTGTCTCGTAGGCTGATGGCAAGATTGTTGAGAGAGAAGGATCGATCAGGATGACCAGGAGGGCGGAGGAGCAATTCATCCCGACGGAACTCGATAACCTTATCAAAGTCAGACTGCGCCGTCTCACTAGTATTGTGAAGGGTGTCCGAAGCAGGCATGAAGAGCAGAGCGAGTCTGTGTTGCCTACGCGAAGTGACAGAGTCGCAGCAAGTTGATCCCTGTCAGTACTAGTAGTACTACCTAGTACTTAGCGCTCACCGATGTCATAGCATGTAGCCGTGCTGGCAATTCCGAATATTATGGAGCACTGTACTATGGGCTGTACTGTTTTCTTGCTATGACCGGAGGGATCCCTTCAGCCTTCTGGGCAGGGTCGAGTTGTTTCGTAATGCTATTGTGTAAGTATATTCGTGAACGCCGAGGGTACGAATACGTGGTGTCATAAATATCAACGTCATGTCAATTATAAGTAGCACAAAAAAACCAAAGAAAAGAAAACAACAACAGACGAGATATCTACAGACATAACCATGCATGCAATGCGGTGCGATGATGATGATGATAGTGATGATGATGTCGATGTCAAAGTGTGTAAGTGTAATAATTCTGAATGAACTACGACGGCGGCGAGTTCGTAGAAGCGTCCAGCAGTGCACGTACTTCCCTGATACACTCGTTCAAACGCAGATGCACCTCCTTCGCGTTGTCCAGCAGCGGCTTAATATTCTCCGGCGTCATCGCCAATTTCAGATCAGCAAACAGCGAAGAGTCACCGTCCGGCGGCTGTGGAGGCGCGGAGCGCACAGACCCTGATTGTCCGAGCTTATAGTTCCTTGACGGCGGTCGCGAAGGGCTCGTTCGCGGTAGAGAGACGCGGTGCTGAGCTTTTGATTTCGAACGTGTTTGACGATCATCAACCACCTCTTCCACATTCGACAGTCTGGTAGACCGCATCGGTCTTATGGAGCGAGGGGACGGCTCGCACTTCAAAGACGTCTGAGAGGAACACATAGCCTGCTTGGGTGTGATCGGACGCATGTCATGAGGATGGTTCAGATAAGGCGAACGTCCTTTCCATCCCTTGATCGTAGCACTCGCATCGATCCCAAATGCCCTCACCGCTCCATCAAGATCTGTTACAGAGTCAATCTGGTCCCAATCTTCCTCCTCTGTCGTAGCACTGCCTCGGCTTGCACTGCGCGGGGCACTATCTATCGACTCCCCACCAGATGACGCATTCTTGTACTTCTGCCCCAAGCGGAAGATAGACGCGAGCGATGGTCTGCGTGGCGATGCCTTGTGTTTTAGAGACTGTCCACTGTACGGCGAGTTCGCCACTTCCCGAGTGTAACGCCCTGACTCTGGTCCCGTGCTCATCTTGGAACTTCGTTGGTGGTGTGTTTGAGGTAGATGCGCATGTGGATAGTGATGCTGACTCTGAGAGCCCATGGATGACTCGGTGCTTAGAGACGTGGTGGACGCAGGTAGCGGTGGTGGTGGTGGTGGTGGCGGTGGTGGCGGCGGCGGCTGGCCTGAATGGTTGCGCTTCAGCGACCGCAGCATATCTCTTAGTCCACTCATGCCCAGTCTGCTATACCGCCTTTTCTTGCCATCCTGCGAAGCTTGCACCGACTCTTCAGAGGGAAGCGTAACCGTGCTGCTCATCGCATCTCCCCACCGCCATTGTCGATTCACAAGCGGCTCTTCTTGGACCAACGCATCATCAGGAAGCGCGCCATCCGTACTATTAAGAATGTCGCGCAGGAGAAGGAGTTGGCGTTGACTGAGATCGTGACGCCCTGTTGACCACGAGAGATTGGACTGTCCTGCAGCTGCTGACGCAACGAATCCTGGGGGATGCTTCGACTCATCGCCTGATAGAGTCACTGCTCGCTCCCGGCTCTTCCGGGGGTCAAGATCAGTCTGCACAGGTGGTGCAGACATACTAGAAGACGGAGGGGAAGCAGGAGAAGGTGTTCCTCCTCCGAGTTCGATCAACAGCTCGGCACATTCCCATGGTATCTTGTACTTGGTCGTGATAGTATTCAGTGCTGTTGCTAACTGCTTGTGCTCTGAAAAGCTAGACTTCGGCTCGGTGTAAGAGCGCAGTCGAGAACGGGGGCGAGCAGAATTGATCATAGGTGGTGAAGCCGCTCGAGATAGAGGGAAATTCTCCAGCACGGTGCGTACCTCGGCGACTAAGTGATGGTGAATCGCCTGCAACTCTTTAAGTTCTAGGAAAATAGTTAGTTGGGGTAAATGTGGAAGCTACAATAGGACATACTATCAACGCTTGCTGCAAATTCCCTCACCATTCCGAGGTCGCGTTTCAGGCTAATCTGAGCTTGACTAATTCTTGCTGGGATCTTGAGGTCACCAAGAGAGTTTCTTCGGGGAACAGAGACACTAGATGATAATGGGGGAGGAACTTGCGTAGTCCGTCCTAGTGATGCGGACTGAGGAGATGATGCTTTTCCAGGAGAGGTACGGCTTGCAGATACGGGGCTGGCCTTGGGAGATAATGATGCAGGAGCGCTGCTCGAGGGCACAAATAACGACTCCACACCCTGGCTGATATTAATCGGCGCAGAGTGCGACGCGGACACCCCGTTGAGCGTCCTGGGCGGCGATGGTGGCTGTAGCTCTATCGGAGGAAGTAAATGATCTGGATGCTCGGGCTCGTCAGGTAGTGGAGGTGGTGGGCTCATAGGGACTGGAGGAAGGGGCGTGATCTCGGCAGTACTCTTCTTCCGTTTGTGCTTCTTGCCGCTGACGAGGCTAATTTTCCGCATGCCGCCCATGAAACCCCGACTACCCTCCCGAGGTAAATCTTCCACGCTCTCACTGGGATGGCTAAACGTCTTCGATGACGCACGACCCACTGATGAACCATATGAAGTGTGCCGTGTCCCTGTAGATGTCAATATGACCTTCCCCTGCGGGACTTGCATCGACGTGGGTCTCCTGGCCGCGGAGAGAAGCGACGGCTTCCCGGGCGTCTCCACGACCTCACTACTACTGCTTGGATCAAACATCTTGCTCGGCTTGCGCTTCGAGAGCTTGCTGGGCGTTGACAGCACGGGCGAGTGCACGCTGCTCATGCTCTTCTCGTGTTTAAGTTCAGCGGCGGGCGGTGGCGGTGGGGACCCAGACCCAGGGCCTCCGCCAGAGCGAAAAAACCAACTCGGTCGCGTGCTAGAGCTAGGGATAGAGGCGAGAGAGCTGGTCGGGCGAGGAGTGCGCTCGTGGTCATCATGCCCGAGCTCATGCATCATCACCTCTGCTGGCCCCGTGCTAGCTCGCTTCTTGCGCGTACCCCACTTCTTGACTGAACCGATTCGCGAAAGGAGAGGTGTCTTCTGTGGTCCGGTTGAACCCGTGTCTGATTGAGGAAGGGGTGAAGTAGATGGTCGCTCGGGAGTCGATGGTGGAAGTGGGGGAGGTGAGTCGCGCTGCTCTTCAATCAACTCAAACACATTGTTATCTATGTGTGGAGGGCGCGACTTTTTACGTAGTCTACGTCGTTCGCGGTGAATTGGGGGACTTGGTGGTAGCATGGCAAGAGAGCCACCAGAGACGCTTGGCCTGAGTGCCAGATGTGAAGTGGACGTATATCCTACTGAGTTACGTCCGCTCGTAGTCGGTATTGAGAACACAGACACGGTCGGAGAGCGTGGAAATGGTTCTATAGGTGTGAGGAGTGACTGGGGTAGTGCAGGCACAGGAGGCGGGGGAGACTGCCTAAGCATGAGCTGCGGTCGACTGCGAGCTGTCACAGTCCTGTCTTCCTCCTTATCCGTGAAACCGAGCTCAGCATCATCGTCCGAGGAGTCTACATACGCCTCCTGACGCGTCCGTTTTGTCATTGGGGTTGTATCGGTCTTGTCTGTTTCAAAATCGTCATCCCAAATCTCGGGGTCATGCAGGGGTTTGAGGCGAGGAGGAGTGTGATATGAATGACGTGTTTTTAAGGAGTAGGAGTGGGGGTGTCGCCTTGGAAGGAATTCAGTCCTGTCCTCGAAGTCGTCATCCCAGTTCTCTGCTTGGGTGGTAGAGCGCTTGGTGGGGGTTGAGGGCCCTGGCTCCGCCCATTCTTGGAGCTGGTGGCAGACTGTAGTCCCAGGGTAGTTCTTTCTATCTCCTAGTACCGAGGATGATGAATATTTAATATTCTGCTGGGTTGCTTCGGCATCCCAATCTTCAGCAAAAGCAGAACTCGCGACAGACAATCTAGGCTCTGGAGCCACCTGATGTTTGCCGAAGATATTCGGTTCGTTACTCGGCTGGAATTCGTAATCGTCATCCCAGTTCTCTGAGGACTCTGATTCAATGCATTGAGAGAAAAGCGAAGATATGAACATCAACACGCGTAATCCTGTAGCCACTTGGTAAACGCACCTATGATCTGGTTCTGATTTCTCGTGTTCATACAGAATTTGTCGCGTGGCGACGAGCAGCCACTGCGCTCTGAGTAAATTAGACGTGTTCGTCGCCGTTGTTGTCGTTGAACAAGAAGCAAATAATTCGGATTTGTTGTGCAGCAGCAGTAGTGCCAGTCCTTGTCAAGCTTTGTCGGCAAAACCCATTTTGGGTTCCTCAATTTAGCTAACCCCTTGCAACCGTTAACCGTGACTCTGCGAACACGCCTGTCTTGGTCGAGACTACAGTCATCTCGACATTTCTTGGTTTCCATGAACGATCAGGCTCGAGTTGACTCTCGTGGACATAATACTTATTAGGACCGCCGCCTACAACCACCTTGAAATTTGAAGCTTGAAATATCGATTTGGGATCAAACAATTTTCTATGTGGTAGTGGTGATACTATTGCAATCTGCACACTGTCTGTCCAGCTCGGGGTAGTGCTGTTTCTGTACGTTGGCGCTCTAGCCTCCAGAAGTTTACCAGGTGCTACATCTAGCATTATTCCTTGTCAAGCTTCATCCTTACGACGAGCCTCCCCATGCTACGTTAGGTTCATGTCGTTCCCATTCATGCCGGATTCACACCGTGTCAGCCTCCACCGAGGTCCGATACCGCGTCAATTTTACCTAAACCCTTGCAACCGACATGCGAACACACCTGTCTTCTTTCAAGGTCTGACCAGTTACGGGCGACTAGAAAACCCCAGCGATCTCGAGATTTTTCGGATTCACATGATATATAGTAATCATGAACGAACAGGTTAGACTCGAAGCTACTCTTCCGTGGACGTAGGGCCGCCGCTGTGATATACAAGGCTACCACGTTCACGCTTCGCCAGCGCTACTCGGAACTCGAGTGAATGTGGTTGAGGCAAGGCTTGGGCAGTGGGTCCATAAGACAGGCACGAGCGGTTAAGCGTAGAACTTCCATTCTGCTTCAAGCTGATCACTATCTACTAGATCAGGCATCAAACGTAAAATGCACCGCTGGCGAACTGTTGGCGTGTAGAAGTTTGTGTGGCTCCCTGCAAGTACCGGCCAGTGGGGCTATGGGTGCCCATTACTGGCAGCATGAACACGCAGGCTAGCTTGAGTGAAGAGCTGGAGGGCGCTTGAATGTCTTCGGATACACCAGGCTGTCCCAGGCACTAGCATGCCTCATGTTACTGTACCTCGCACTGCAAGTAACTTGGACTAGATTCTGTGATCTTTGAAGTTCCGTCCGTCGGGATAATGGAGACTTCAACAAACGCTTGCTCATTATATAAACCACTAAGCATCCGTCTGCTTGTTCTACGTCTCATCCTCAAACTCACTCAGACACCTCTTCAGACTCAGACCCATTCGTGCGTTCAAAGTTACCCAATGAACGAAGACAATCCTCCCTCGGATCCTCATATGCCAGAGAGGGGCAGGAGAGCGGCCAAGCAAGAAGTATGGAACGTTATCACCCTTGCGTTGATGTTATAATGATTATATCATTCCAGCCGTCCTCTCACCCACCTGCACCAACCGGATCTCGCAAAGGTTTTTTTCGCGATTTCTGGGGCAAGGTAACCAACCAGTGCCGTTGTGCTAAAAACACTGCACGCTCTCCGAGCCCTCCACCCGTGGGTGCTATCATACCTAGCGGACGGACTTTCAATCCCGCGCCGGCACGCCAGGTAGGTGCAATCCTGACACTACTTGCCTTTATTAAGGCCAATCTCACAGGTCGAACCACCCAACCCGACAGTTGTTAATGAGAGAATCAAGGATGTCACCAAAGGTATCACAGGCATCGACCCTGTATTGGCTATGGCCAAAAGTGCCGCCTTAGGAACCAACAACGTCCAATCGGTTCTCGATGGCATCGACACGTGGGCCGCGATTCTTGGGCCGCTGAAGGCCTTCAACTCTGTTGCTGACCACATTGCAGATGTACGTGTTTTTATCTCTGTCTCGTATGTGATTGATCGTCGTGTGTAGATTCATCCCTATTTGAAGGGAGCGATGTCTATCTTGACTTGCGCGTCCAAGGTGCGCTTGTTTATGTTTCCTCAGATTGGCAGGTTAAGATGAATGCCTTGGTGACAGATGATTCTCGATCAGGCAGATCGCGATACTGCTGTTTACCGTTTGCATTTGAAGGTCTCGGAAGTCTATGCTTTAATGACGGAAAAGACGGAATTGGCCGATATTGAATCCATGCAAGCGGTATACTTCAAGATTGCGCATCAGACGCTGGAGTGCGCTGATTTCATCGTCCATTACTCGGAGACCAAGAGTTTCTGTAAGTAGATTCAACTGTTTAGCCGCACAGGACTCAGTATCTTGGAACAGGGAAAAGACTTCGCAAGCACGTCGCCAATGAAACAACTGCCACAATTGAGACATACAGTCAGGTTTTCGACGATCTCATGCAGCAATTCCGAGACCGAGTGACTCGCGACACCGCTATCATCCTCCACCGTACAGGTAAGGATTGGCCTCAAGTTCACTCTGCACCTTCTGACGTTCGTTGACCCGTGACCTAGCTGAGGATCTGGACTTCAGCAGCTTGGAGTATGTGGCCCGTGCCGGACTGAATACCTCTAAGCGTTGCCTTCAAGGTACTCGGGAAGGTATTCTGACTGAGATTAAGTCATGGATCAGCGACACTGGGGAGGACGTGCCTCCCGTCTTCTGGTTGTCTGGCACGGCAGGGAAAGGAAAATCAGCCATTACTCATACAATCGCCAGCTGGTTTCAAGAATCTGGGGGTCTAGGCGCTTGCTTCTGCTTCGACCGCACGCGCAAAGCAGACCACCTCCATGAAAAGATGGTCACCACCATCGCACGCGACTTGGCCGATTGTAATCCTATCGTGCGGCGAGAGTTGGCGCATGCGGTTCACAACGATAACGAGGTCAGACATGCCACAGACATCACACGACAATGGCAGAAATTAGTCGTAGAGCCAATAGCCAAGGCCTCAGACACCATCACCACACCCATCCTAATTGTCATTGATGCGTTGGACGAGAGTGGCATAGTCGAATCCCGAGAACAAATTCTTCATCTTCTTGCTGGCACGACGGACCCTTCTTCCTCCCAGCCAATCAAATTTCCGTCAAATTTCCGTATTCTCGTCACTTCCCGTCTACTCCGTGACATTCACGATGCCCTGCACGCTGTGCCACATATTCATCATGTCTCCATGAACCATATTCCGGCTGCCTCCGCAGAACATGACGTACAGCTTTACATCTCCAGTAAGCTGTCCAGCCTGGGCACCAGTTTCAATGACAACCAGTTCAATGCGCTTGCGCAAAAATCTGATGGCTTGTTTGAATGGGCTCGTCTTGCCTGTGCGTATATCAAAAATATGAACAAGGTGGGTTGGAATCCGATAGACCGCTTCCGTGCCGTGGTCTCTGGAACATCCGCAAGAGGAGTACGGCTTTTGGATGAGATGTACATGCGCATCTTGGGAGAAATCATGCCAGAGGGTGAAGACGAGGACGAGGACGAGGACGAAGAAGCGATCCCCATGTTTCGCTCTGTGATGGGGCAAATCCTTGCATCGTCGGAACCACTTCCCATGACTGCCTTGAACGCCATGCGAAAGCATTTTCCAGACGAGCGTGACCGTTACGAAGTGGAGGCTGTCATGGGGCCCCTGGGCTCGCTTATCATCGGCACTGCGGATCCTGACACTCCCATACGTCCCCTCCACTCATCCTTCTACGACTTTCTCACAACTAAGAAACGAAGCGACAAGTTTTTCGTCGACGTGTCGTTGGTACAGAGGAATCTTGCCTTTGCCTCGCTGCGGGTCATGAAGCGTGGGCTTCGCTTCAACATCTGCTCTTTGGATAGCTCGTACTTGCCAAATTATGCTGTCCCTGATTTAGAGACATGAGTGAAAGACTCCATTCCAGCGGTGCTATCATACTCGTGTCGATTCTGGGGATACACGTGGGAGCTACCTCCTTCGAGCCATCGCTTGCTAAAGAAGTAGAAGCCTTTTTCGACGAAGAGCACTTCCTATTCTGGCTGGAAGCACTGGCTCTAGCGAAGGGCCTAAGCAGTACAGCACGTTCCCTTTCGTCTGTTGCAGATTGGTTTACGGTGCGTGACTGAAGCTCGTTCTTTGGGACCCACGGAATCTCACGGTGGCGTTTAGGATAATGCTGAGTATATGCATATCAGCGACGACGCCAGAGATGCCCAGCACTTCATTCAAACTTTCGGGGCCACCATCTCACACAGCACCCCGCATTTATACTTGTCCGCTCTGCCATTCGCTCCAACACAGTCAACGATATCTAGGAAATTCGTCGCAAAGTTTCCTCGTATTCCCCGGGTCGTTGCCGGTCATATCCTACGGTGGTCTACGAATGAACGTAGACACCATGAGCACGCCGGCGTTATGTCAGTCGCAATCTCACTAGATAGAAAACGTATCGTGTGTGGTTTATACGACGGAACAATCCAGGTGTGGGACATGGAGACTGGCGAGGCATTGGGAGCTCCTCTCCGAGGGCACACTGGCGCCGTTCGGTGTGTCGCAATTTCGTCGAATGGACAACGCATTGTGTCTGGTTCAAACGACCACACAATCCGCGTGTGGGATATGAAAACTGGTGTCGCGTTGGGTTCCCCTCTCCGAGGGCACACTGCCTATGTTCTGTCTGTCGCAATCTCGCCGAATGGACAACGCATTGTGTCTGGTTCCGGAGACAAGATCCTGGTTTGGGATGCGAAAAGTGGCGAGGTACTGTTTGCCCCTCTCCAAGGGCATGGTGCCTCCGTTCGGTCTGTCGCAATCTCACCTGATGGACAACGTATCGTGTCTGGTTCAGATGACAAGACCATCCGGACGTGGGATCTAGAGACCGGCGAAGCATTGGGCCCTCCTCTCCGAAAGCATACCGATGCAGTTCTATTTTTAACACTCTCTTCAGATGGAAGACGTATCGTGTTTGGTTCAAATGATGGGATGATCCAGGTCTTAGACGCGGATACCGGCGAGGCAATAAGTGCCCCTCTCCAAGGGCACACTCGCCGTGTCTGGTCAGTCGCGATCTCACCTGATGGAAGACGCATTGCGTCTGGTTCATCAGACAAGACGGTCCGGATGTGGGATGTGGAAACCGGCGATGCATTGGGTGCCCCACTCCAAGGGCACACTCAGGCCGTATACTCTGTTGCATTTTCGCCGGATGGAAAACGTGTCGTGTCCGGTTCATATGACACAACCACTCGGGTGTGGGATCTAGAATTTTTACACGAATACAATCTCCTCAAAGGACCTGAAATACGCTTTTCCTCCAACCCGACTCATGCACTTTGTTCTGCCTCTTCCTTTCTCCAAGGTTCTCCTACTCCAGTCTCTCTCGCACCCAACGAGGAGGGATGGGTTGAAGGTCCTGAAGGACAGCTTCTCCTCCGGATCCCGATCGATTTCCATCGGTCTGTGTAGTATACATGCCGGGCGACACGCTAGTGATTCCAAGTCAGACCTTGCAGCTGGATTTGAGTTGTGTCGCGCACGGCAGGTTATGGCACAAGTGTCGGGAACAGGAGCCTGCGTCATAGTATCGTTTATATTGGACTTTTGGACATAGTCAACGGATCCGACGCACGTAGTATGTATTATAATAGAAGAACTTAAGTTGTTGAGAAGAACATTCTAATTAGTAAGGCTTAAACCGTGACCTTATGCTGACTCGCAACCATGTCATTCGCACGAGTCAGCTATCGAGAGCATCACTAGTACTATACCCCCACGTCCAATTCACTACAACACCCCGTCGCACAATGGGCAAGAACAACAAGAAGTCAAAATTCAATAGTACACCTGCTGAGACCTACCTCCGCCTTCCACCACTCGCAAATTCCTCCCTTGCCTCCCAGCCCATCATCGACACGCACACTCACCTCGTGTCGACCTTCTCAACCTATCGGAGCAAGTACAAGGACGGGACAATTTACACCATCCATGACTTCGTGCGTGAGATGTACCGCGATCGGAACGTGAGGGCCATCGTAGACGTGTGGTGTGAGGCACCTGTCTTGCAGATGTGGAAGGAGCTCGCGGACTCTGCACTGACTGCAGAGGACCGGGAACAGAAGTGGGGAGGTGTAGATTATTGGTTTGTGATGGGTGAGCTTCCGATCGTCCGCTGTTCTCGATCCCTGCACTGAGATGGTTCTGACAGGCGTTCACCCGTGTGTATTGATTCATGCATCTCGTATGGCAGCCTTGAACTGATGTTCCGCCTAGGCATAATGCGAAGTCGTACAACGACTCAGTCGAGGCGTCAATGTACGTCGCCATTTTCCTTGTTATTCAACTGATTTCGATTGGAGAACTCTAGTCTTGAAGCAATGGCCCACCCACGATGCGTAGGCTGGGGAGAGATGGGTCTTGATTACCACTACGACAACTCCCCTCGCGAAATTCAGCAACAGGTCTTCATCCGGCAGCTGAAGCATGCCGTCAGGCTAGGCAAGCCGCTCACGATCCATACGCGTGAAGCAGAGGCGGACACGGAGAGGATTCTCAAGGAGCACGTCCCTGCCGATCACAAGGTGCTATTCTCTCTTGTTTTCATGCCCAAGGCTATGACTTAAGGAATCTTTTGTCAAAGATACATATACATTGCTTCACAGACTCGCCAGAGTTCGCACAGCGACTGCTGCAGCATTTTTCTCATTTGTACATCGGAATCACTGGTACGCCCGTCATTATTGATTTCAATGAATCTCTGAACCGATTCAATACATACAAGGTGTCATCACGTATTCGACGAATCTGAATACTTCAAATATTGTCAGGCTTATGGCCGCGAGCGATAGTGGGCCGCGCATACTACTGGAAACAGATGCGCCCTTCATGGTCCCATCTAACCTCTACAACTCTATACCAGAAATAAAGGGTAGCAGGTTGCCCTTGTGTCACACTGGTATGATCCCGTGGGTTGCAGAGTACACCGCAGGAAAAGCTGGGCATCCATGGAATGGCGCAGATATTATGAAGCGCGCTAATGAGAATGCAAAGACGGTATATGGTATCCAATAGAACCATTGTATATCTTGACTAGATTTCATCAGCCACGGAGCACTAATGCTACACATTGAACGTGAAGGTAACAAATAGCTCGAAAAATACAGATAACAGCATAGCAATGTCAGAACGGAAAGCCAATTGAAGAGGTAAGGTATAGTTTGTGGTATAGATACTACTTGTCCTCGAATTTATCCCAGGTAATTTGGTAAACCAAGCCCACAGTGAAGCAGCGCCAATTAAACTTTCTTGTCGATAGATGGTTCTAATTTTGATTCCCTGTGGTCGATTGCACGCTCAATGAAGGCCTCGCGTGACTCTGCACTGACCGAGCCGAAAATGATATCCATCTCTTCCAGACTGCGACCCTTGGTCTCGGGAAGGAGACTGTTAAGCACGGTGTAAGCATCAACCAACCAACCAGCACATGAAATTACTAACAGGGAGAAGACAGCCATTCCACCGATATTGATCGCAGCAAACATCATGAAAAGTTTGAACCCCAGATCATTCTCAAGCGTTGGGGTGACTTTGGCCACAACGAAGTCTAAAGGACGGGTTCAGCAGTGTTAAAACATTTTACACGAGCTAGTACGCACTCCATAGCCATTGCGAACCAGAACCCATGGCCAATCCGTAATGGCGAGTCCGTGTGGGGAAGATATCGGCGACGTAGACCCACGGAAGAGGACCCCATCCCATGGAATAGAAACAAACATAGATATAGAGCATCGCAGCCATGGCCTTCGAAGATGGTGCCGGAGGTGGTGCAGCCTGGCCCACCTGAGGTACGACAACAGGATGTGTTTTCAAAATAGCACCGATAATGAAGAACGTAATTCCCATTCCTATGGCGGATATGAACAACGAGATTTTACGACCGAGAGTCTCGACAAAGAAGAACACAAAGATTGTCGTCGCAACGACTTTTACGATGCCGTATATTCCAGAAGCCAAGAGAGAGTTGGTCGTGCCGGAGTACCCGATCTAGAATCTGTTGTGGAAGTGAGGGAAGATGTTATTGTACGGGAGACTCACGGAAGTGAAGATCTGAGGTGCATAGTAACCGACAGAGTTTTGTCCACTCCATTGTTGCAACAAGAAGATCACGAAGGCAATGACGAATCGAATAAAATTACCCTTCCCGAAGAAGGCTTCTTTTAATCCAAGACCTTTTCGAGCCTCCCGTTCCTCACGAATAGCAGCTTCGATTTCAGCAAATTCACGCCGTACTTCATCCGAATCGTAGGGCTCCCTTCGCAAATAAGCAAGATTGGCAATGCCTTCCGCAACATAACCTTTGGATGCAAGCCAACGGGGAGACTCCTGTAGTAGAGCGATCTATCTCTATAATGATCTGCACAAGTTTGGAATTGACAAACCTTAACTGTCAAAAGACCAAGACACATTATACCTGCAGGAACAAGCTGGAATCCAAATGGAATTCTCCAGACATTGGGGCTGTCCGCCATGTGAAGGCCGACACCAACTGTTGATTCACCGTGAGCTCGATCCACTTAAAATGAAAGAACGCGGACTGAACGGTTAATGAAATACGAGATCATGACACCAATGGCCACCATAATCTGGAAACACCCGGTAATGCGACCACGGACATTCTTAGGCGAGCATTCTGACACGTAAGCGGGCGCAACAGCAGAGATACCACCAATGCCAACGCCGGAGATAACTCGACCACCATAGATGTACGCAATACCCCGGCTACCACCAGCCACCGTGGTCAATATCTAGACGAGTGTGAGTATCTGATCAGTAGTTTAACAGAAACACCTACAGCGCCAATCACGAAAATGATCGTGAAACTAATCAATGTCAATTTCCGACCTATCCAAGCTACGCGATGGTCGGAATGTATAAGGTGCCAGCGAGCCGCGGACATGTACTAACCAGAGATGGGTGCACTGCCCAGAGCGCCAAAAAATGCTCCTGCCTGCAGCACAGAAACTACATTGGAAGAGACCGAAGTGTCCTTGCTTTTATTGATTGAGCCATCGGCGTTGACTAAACCGAAACTAGTCTCGAAGTAGGGTTGGGAGACGACGCCACCAGCTATACCACTAAGCCAAAATAAGATAGACGCTTGTGAGTTTTGGACGAAGTGGAACATACGCATCATATCCGAACAGAACAATGCCCCAGTAAGCCACGAATGCGAGCCCTGCAATGAAGTGTCGAGCAAAAACATAACCGTCAAACAGCGTTGCGACTGACAGTAAACACGAATGTTTTTGAAGGTATCGCCGCTGAACATGACGATGAACGACGCTAGGAAGGATATGACGCGTTATGGAGAGAGATAAAACCTCATTCTGTTGCGCCTGCGAGCATATGACTTTATAATAAGTAACGTACTTTACTCCCGCGGATCCTGATCGACTAATTTATTCTGGCGGCGCCAGCGGCCCGGCCGCTCCCCCAGCGCAATCCGGGATCCCACAGCAACGTCGGCTCTACACTGTCCCTCCACTGCTGAAAACAGAAGTCAAACCCTACGAAAGTTTCTTGTGTTGGAATGTGAACGAGTACTTGTACTCGAGTAAGTCTCCGAGTTAAAGCGCCTCAAGAGTGTTGATTACTAATATCCAGCCTGGAAAGAAACCAAACCATGGTCCACAATTGTAACAAAACCATGATTACCACCAGTATTCCTCAGCAAGCTGCCGATGCTTGGTCGTATACTAGTGAGTAGCACCATCGCTGAGCGCAACATGCGACTTAAACCTGACAAGGCCTGCACCTGCGCTTACAGTGATTACAACAGCCCCCCCAGGAGGTGCCCAACGATGATAGTCATGAGTCATTTCACTCGGAGGGCTGTGGTAGACTGATGCCCAATGCACCAGCCTGTTAATTGTCCTGGACCTGCCTCACCGTTCCATGTGCACTAAGTACGTCTGCGCACCCATCCTTTCCAGCTGCCCCATGCCAGACGCCAAGGCCTCCCACAAGTTCATCGATCTCATTCGCCAGACATCATTAAAATGGGCTACCTGGAACCCTCTTATAAGACCAAGGTTAGTTGAATCGTTCTCGTGAACGCTGCATTACTTCTGCTTCATCTTTGAGGCCCATAGGTGGGGACTATGGGATGATCGATGATAAAACCAGAGAGCTTCAACAAGTGGATGGAAAAATAATATCTACGATGAAGTGTTTTAAGTGTCATCGAACAAGCAAGGACTGATATGGTTAATTATCTGATTCATCGCATGAATGTACAAGCTTGGTAGGGCCAGCGGTCGCTGGCAAAGCCCGCTACATACTTACCTCCTAATACTTTGGCGCTGCACCGTAGGTTATTTAGTATTGTAGGTGTGATGGTGGGGGGGTCGCACCGAGTATTGAATATTGAACTTCAAAATCAGAGCTGAGAACAAATGCGGAACAATAAGATACTATAATCTTAACGAGTGGATGGTGGGAATAATCGCGTACAACGTGGCGTCGGTTGTCATACAAGACATAAATCGCCGAGCTATTGAGTACTAAGGCAGCTCAATGGGCTTTCTCTACCATTTTCCTTATATGCGGAGTATCAGGCTTCAAGTCGCCATCGAGAGGTGCTATCCATCGGCGAAATTTACCATCGTAATTGACACGCCAAAAAAGTCCGTCGCCATACCGCCAGTCACAAGACGCGCACAAGTCAGCAGGACAGTCCAGGAATTGTACCAAAATATTCACCTCTCTCGTCCTGCGAACCTTGGGCTGGCCAGAAACCGAAGTTCCTCTCAAAGTGCTTTTGAGCAGTTCGCTGTTGATTTAGTTCAGGTTTGCGTTTGTAAGCACATATTTTTGGTCACGTGTTCAGCATCTCCACCAATCGCATGAGTGCGCTACTGAAGTCGTAAGCGTTCATTTCAGCGGTTTTGCAGGTGAGGTGGATTGTGTTTTCAGCACAGCCACTGTCATTCTGGATCTGAGATCTGCAGGCTCGTCAGACCAGGCCTGATTCGCGACCACATTCCTTGACTGTGACCGTTTCTACTAAACACGAAAGCTTGATTGCGAGGTGTCACCTGAGCAAAGAAATCGAAACGCTATGTGCGCTAAGCTCAGAATAAGCATGGTGAAAATGACATGAGGAAATGCGGCTTCGCATCATACTATCAGTTCGCGGAAATGTGGTCAATATACGGTGATAATTTGGATAGAATCGAAGGTTCCCACCAGTTCATAATCTCTTTTTCCCTCAGTGTGTTGATTAAATATTGAGGTTTACGACGTCAGATGGCGCAAGCTTGGTTCCTGATACATAAGTAGACGAAGCGATTTTCAACACCTGATCCCAATTATTTTTGTGTGGGTTTTCTGTAGACTATAGTGGCTCAGCGACAATCTACCAAGTAATAATCAGCAACGATAATATCAAGCAGGACGTGTGATCATACCGCCATGATAAAGGTGAATCTACAATTCCAGTGCGAAGTGAGACGAAGGACAATGATCGATCTTAGCTGCAAAATCTACGTCAGTAATTTGCCGGAGTAGACTGTAAGAATTATAGCGAGTCCTGACGACTAATAAGAATCTGATGAGAATTGACTTCTCAAATCCAGATTCCGTCTCCATAGCAGTGTCAGGCAAGCGAATGAAAAGTGAAGGAAGAAATTTTTAAAAATTGGGAAAAAATGATCAGCTACTTAATATGAAGTTAATGTCTTCAATGAATGTGCAGTCTCAGAGGAGAGGGTCAGTCCAAAAGTTCCTGAGGGGACCTTTTCGTCATCGTCGACGATTGTACTTCCGACTCGGAAAGGGTCAGTACTCAGTGCTCGGTGCTCACGACCGGCAGAGCAAACTTTGCATGAGCCCGAATGTACTCTGCGTTCAGCAGATTCGCGACTAGCGCGAAATAGACAATCTGGATTGACAGTGAGGTCCTTGGCCCACTGAAGACGACAGAAGAGAGTTTTGATGCCGCACAAAACAGACACAAACAAATACCTGCCTTCAAGTTGGAGAGTTTTGGGAGGAGTTCTCTTGAGGAGTTCTAAATGATATTTTGTTCAGTCATCCTTGACATAAGTTCGCGAGTTTAAATCACATCGTTGACGAGTCTGACGACCATCCAGTACATACCCGTGTTAACCATGGCGATCTACACGTCCCTGACAGTGCCTACTGTTATTTTACACCCCTCGGAGAAATGTCTGCAGTGGTCAGACGATGGGCAGGCCTGCATCACCACCAAGGCAGCTGTCCATGTCATGGTAAGAATCTTTGTCACACTTCGTCGAACGACGTTCCTCATATTTGCATCCAGACCCCAGACCCAGGAATTAACTTTAGCACACCACCCGACATCAAGGCACCCCGAGGAGATGAGCAAGGGGAGCAACCGCTCGGGTGGTTCAGGACGATGATCGAGCCGGCGCGTGGACAGACACATATGTGGCCGAGTATATGTCAAGGTAAGCATAACGTTGTCGTTCCTTGGCATTGGTATTGAGGCTTTGTATGATGGTAAGATTGGGGCGCTATTACTCTCGGATCCCTCGATGTTTCTCTTTGCGATATTGCATGCTCCCCCAGTAATCTCACGCCGAGGGGAAGGTTTGTATCTCTCACCCGTCCGTCTGGCATGCAGCTGAGATGTACATTCAAGATGTGTCATAGCTGTTCTTAACTCAAACGCAGAAGTGTCACTTTGGGCAGCAGCTAAAAATCACTTGAAGGGAGAATGGACTAATGTGAGAGCTGTAATAGACATTGCATCATCCGAGTCTTGATTTTTGTGGAGATTCAAGACGTTACAGGTCTGCTACTCAACCCAGCCTCATTAGATATCGTTCGTAGCACCCTTCGGGCGCAAGTGACTAGTCTGTGGCTCTGTAATGCGCAATAACATTCTCTGACATCTTGGACAAGGTCTTGCCTGGTCGAAACAGCCGGACTATGGGATCGCACCCACCCCGATTCTCGATTCCTCGATGCTTGCCCTGGGAAACAGGGCGGGTTCTATTATGTTTCTCAGGCGCGTTTTTGTAGGTCTTTTTGGGGCAAGACATCTAATTGGCTGCAGGTTCAACAGAAACAGCGACTCAGGAGGTTCCGTCTCGTACATCCATACAGAACCTTTGAGTGACCACTGGATCACGCATCTGAGCTGGTCACCTTGGGTTATTCATGGTGTTGGCCAATGTAAGGATTCTCGTACCTATCGCATGAAGAGGATCGAAGTTCATGATGGCGCAGGCGAATCTCTACTGGCCTTCTCCACTGACCAAGGCAAAGTTGGACTGGTCAAAGTCATCCAAACTCTGCAGTCTAGCTCGAACGTTGGTTTTGTGCCCGAGTATACGACCAGTGTTATATTCGATGTTCAAGGTCCAATATGCGAGGCTGATAAACGAAGCGTGACCGCACTGACGTGGGTTCAACCACCAAGAAGAAACGTACTCTTTCTCCCTCTTTCTCCGACCTTACCTGACTTCTGGCCGGTTTTCCCAGCCTATCATCGTATATACAAAACCCGGCATTGTGCACCTGTGGTCCTGGCCCAGTTCAGAACCCACCTGGTACGGCACCCGCATACTCCCGCTCCAAACCCAAAAGCTATCCGTCGGATCCTCCGCCATCAGCCCTGTCTCCGGAGTGTCCTACGTCCTTCACCGCGACGCACTCATCCTCTCACTTTTCGACGGTTCCTTCCACGTTATCCATAATATGTCCGTGGAACCTACATGGAGTCTTCCGCTCCCAGACGACATCGTCACCTCCGCAGAGCTATCTCGTGCGTCACGAGCGTTGTTCGCCAAGGTTAATCCTGCGCGCATTTCACACATGGATGTCAACAGGATTAGTGGCATGGTGTCGTACGACTCGCAGTCGACCCTCGTTTGGATATACGAGCCAGTGTCCTCAATGATATCATTCACAATCCCTCATTGATGTGTTTGTTTTTCTAGGGCCCTTCGACCTGCTGATTTCAGCTACAAGCATGAAGCTCAGCACGAATGCATGCTGCTCACTGCACCATTATGGCAGCTCGACGACGAGACTGTCTTGCATACCGTTTCAGAGGCGTTCACTGACATCTCTTGCGGTGAGTCGCGCACTCAACAGCTTTCACTACTTGTTTGACATTTAGATTGTCAAGCTTCAGGGAGTGCCCCCATTCACCATTTGCGCGCTGCGATGCTTCATCTGCGCAGCAATACGCGCTTCGCGGCGCTGTGTCCTCGGGTACTGGAAATTTTATCTCAAGTTCCACCAGACCAAACGACAACCATAGTCTTGCCATCCTGGACGCAAGGATCGAACGACGACTTGCGATTCCAGCTTCGGAAAAGTCTCACCGTTCATTTGTTTGGCTGGCCCAACCTCCTATCACTGCGAATGAGGCTCTCCGTAGCTGACCTGTGTTGGGTGCGCGAATCAGGAACGTCTACCTCGGTATACTTACCAAACCCGGTTCATCACAGAAACTTTGCAAGGACCCAGAGATGCAAGCACAGTGTGGTCAAGTTGCACAGGGCCTCCTAGCCGCAATCTCGCACTGTGTGCTGCGGATCCTCGTTCGTCACTTGAGAGCCATCATTCCCGTCGTCACTGGTGCGCTGACGGTTCATATCCTTTCTCGTATCTTGCTGAGCCCTCGTCACAGCGCCTGATATCCCATTCGTCCTCCGTGAAGTGGTACAGTCATTACTTCCCGGTTCGCCACAAGATCTAGCAGACGAAGCTCAAGCCTTAAAAGACACTCTCACTACATCCTTCCCCATCGATCCAGCAATCGCCGCGTTGCACGAACACTGTCCCGCCTGCCACGCCGAAGTCCCACTCCACGACATCACTCGCGCAACTTGTCCAAGTGGTCATACCTGGGGTACGCCTCCCCTCTTTCGCGAAGCTGACAAAGTGCATCTCATCATCATACCATATCAGCTCGCTGTACGATCACCTCCTTCATACTCTCGACGTCGAAGGTACGCACATGCATCGGATGCAGTCGGAAGGCCTTGCTTCCGTTTGCAGCGTCAGATGAGAGCCTATTACCTGTTGCTGCACAGAGTTGGATTGTGAGTAATTTGCTGGAGGCTGTACAGCGGTGCGTATTTTGTGGGAATGGCTTTGTGGAAATCGTATAAGCAGGTGAAATGCATGACCGGACCGCCGGAAGCAGTTCAGCGAGCCTGATGGAATGTAACAGCGTCGAGGTTTTCAACATTTTCAGTTCTGGAAATCGTCAGTCGAAAGCAAATTTAGACCTGGCCAGGGCACTCCGCGTAGCGCTCTGGATTCCCTTTTAAATGCACCTTCAGAGGCTGAAAATTGCTGGTAAGTATCCCTGATATGCAAGTTGGGCTTGAAGCGAAGGAGAGACTCAAGAGTGGAAGAGACTTCTGCGCGTGGCTGTGCCAAACTAAGGCGGTCCTGATGCAGGATTACAGGCAGAGTGGCTAGTCGAGGAGCAAGACAGAGTCATTGCGATATGAAATGTCCGTACAGAGCGAGCTACTAACACATTAAGCTGATGCCGAGTCCCGACAGTGAGGGGGCGAGCGACAATAGTGTGACAATCCGAGCTTCTTCAGCTGACAGAAATCACTTAAGGACTCTCGATAGTTATATCACGGGTTGATACTGCAGGTGCGGCGATTGAACGAGCACCTAGCTTTACTCATGTCCAACGGTGCTCATAGCTTTCCTATTGGCCTGGATCACTGGGAAGGTTTAAACGCTATGCATCTGGATGTCCTTCTATGAAGCAGATGCTCAGACACTCGCGACACCCAGACACACCCCAGACTATCACAGATGTGTAGGCAGTGATATATCAATACCCCGGGTACAGGGGTAGCTTCATGGCATATGACTGGCTAGTAGATCCGTTCTTGAAGCAGATCAGCGGAAGTAACTTGGAGCTGATAGCTTGTGGTATACTAAGTTATGAGAGTCAATGGAACGATAATCAATAATCGAAGCTTACAAGATAAGTCATGCGGCATGATGTTCTAATGTTCATCTACAACTGATGTAAATCCATGAGAGAACACTCGAGAAGCTTCATACTATGTACACTTAGCGCCAGTGTCTCTCGACGACCATAGGATTTAATGTCGCGTCAACTCGATATTATCATTGCCGAAGCAGGCATCAGTGGGCTAAATGTACATCTGCATATCATTGGTGCAAGGTCACTTACGCAGGATTCGGGCCACAGCAGCCCTGTTCTTGTCTTACTTGAATGCAAATATCGTAGTACTTAAGAGTCGCCCTCGTACAGGATCTACCGAAACCGGTGTTGTGGTGCTGGGGCCGAATGGAATGCATGTTCTTCAAGGGCTTGGATTAGCGGAATCCCTTCATCACTGGCCCAGTGGCACCCAGGCTCCATGGGCGCATATGTATGAGTCATCCAGTGACCTGCTGGGTAAAATCCCAAGACGCCAAAGAGTTATCTGATGGAGTCATCGTTCGCTGGCGCAAAGGGAGCGTGGAGACAGAAATAAAGGTTGACCTTTTGGTCGGCGCTGATGGTAATTGGAGTATGGTCAGACTAAAGTACGCAAGACCGAAATTTAATTTGATTTTCGGATATATTTGACTGACCAATACGAAGGATGTATGCTAGTTTGAATATACCTGCGCCGCGAAAACCTAGGTACAGTGGTTTAGGCTAACCGACGCGGAGCCCAGAAACGGGAAACAAGTGCTTTCGAGATGTTCATAAAATGAGAATCGTGAAGGAGAGCGGGATGGACGGTTTGGGCACAAAGTGCTTAGAATCGAGGACTGGGTCAAGATACGCGAGAGTAGCCAATCTTCGTAGATCTTCCCTCTAGCGTCACGGTTGCCCGGACGTATCAGGATGCTTTAATTTATGGAACGGCCCTTATGTAATACTACCAAGAAGTAAGTACGATCTTTAAGTTGTTGGGTTCTAACACAATCATTAGAGCGAATCTTATTGAGGGTGATGCTTTGTGTAACGAGAGACTAACTACTACTAGTACTACGAAGTTCCACGAAAAAGAGATATTAAATATTTCCGTACTTTGGTACGCTGTTTCTCTATGAATTACCAATGCATGGCTACCATATGATCTAAGACGAAGAATAGGCATGAAGATCGTAACTGAAGTATGTGACACTCTGAGTCTATTGTACCGTTGGATAAGCGAGAGAGACCCTTATTCCCTTGATCACGGTCTCGTGATTAGTATATAAACAAGCATTGCAGGGGGTGGCATACCTCTCCGCCTTGAATTGACCAAGCCCATTAAATTCCCACCGGGTAGAAAGGACGCCCCGCTGCTCTATTTCATACCATCCATAGCGCTCAGGTTGCTCTGCACAGCACATTCCTGAGGAGAGAGCATTGTCATGTCAGAAGACGCTAGCGCAAAGCTATCCGCATTAAACGGGAAACAGTCGAGATCGAAGGGATTCGTAAAGTCCTGCCCGAGTGCCCCTGCCCTATCCACATTCATGGGGGACATAAGAGGAAGGCTATCAAACGCAGAATATGTGAACTCGGAATGCTGAGGATAAAGATCGGTGTTCTACTGAAGCATTAATAAGCGGTTCTAAAACCCATGAAGTTACTAACATGTTGCCCGAAAGGGGAGTGGAGTTGTGACGCAGGGTCGAAAGCCTGTGCATCGAACATAGGGTCGTCCTCTTGGTCTGGGAGAGGCCATGCATATGGCATTGGAGTACCAAACCAAGCATCTCCACCAGGCTGAAAATTGGGAAGGTCGCACGCTGGAAGCGGTGAAGCAATTGGCGCAGAGGTGACGGAGTGGTACATGGTTGTACGGCTCGGGCGGCGAGCCATATCATCATGAGTAACCAAGAACGGAGCCCAAGAGTCAAGATCTGTGGACGGAATCACTGGTTCTGCACCGACAGGGGGGCAAGAAGACGAGCGGCGTGGGCGCGAGGGAACGGGATAAGGAGTGGGACGAGCAGCAGCCTGCACACGTTGCTTGGAGCTACCGTTCATGTCGTGTCCGCGCTGTACCAAGACGGACGATAATTCCGCCCTGCGAGATTCCAGCTCTCTCGCTTCTTTAGCAATGCGATCACTCTTGACCTTCCTTGCCTTCAAAGCAGGCTTCGAAGCATGCTGCACGGGCATGTATTTGTACCCAGGGTACATCTTCGCGTGACGCTCTTTCTCTTTCAAGGCAAGGTCAATCCACGGTTTCTGTTGCTCTTTCTTCATCCCCCTCCATATTTTGCCTGCGATGCGCGATAGGTTTCGATGATCACTTTCTACATTACCAGGAATTTTCTTTTGCTGGACAAAGTCGCAGCGGAAGAGAATGAACGCATTGCGTGGACGGGGGATGTGTCCGGAAGGCTGCCGTCGGGCATGTGACGTCCGATTCGCCTTTGGGGCAAGGTCTGCAAGTCCAGGAATGGGCAGTTGAATGACGTCGGGATGCGCGTTCGGTGATGAAGTGGAATCTGAGGCACTTCTTGGTGACTCTGACAAAGATAACGATGGTATGGACATTGGTGTCCCGAGGTCTACTGGCGTGAAGGCAGGTGACGGGGAATGCTGGAATGCATGTTGGGTGAGTGCTGGTTGATGATAGCGTCGCGCACGCGAAATAAATACTCTACAAGTATCCTCCATGGAGTGTCTGTAGCTCATGGCGAGACGAGAGTAAGAAAGAAAGATATCGAGCCACAGTATAATACTCCGGCATTTTGAAGCGGCTGGAAAGAAAGGGAAAACGCACCCGAAGAACTGGCATATGAGGATAAAGGTCTCTTTGACAGGTTGGAGTGCAGTATTAGGACCTATTAGGGCACGTTGCAGGGACGGCGCTCCCTCTCATCGACGATTGTCCAGGATACCTGAAATTTCTACGTCGTAATTAGTAGTAACGCCTTTGTGCAGTACGTTAGTTCAGTCACCCTGAATTACCAGGTATTCTCGATTTCATCGTTGGGTCATGTACTAGATCTTCATCCGTGCCCAAATCCATTCTTGCAGTCCGCGATTGTCATTTCGTTTCCTACTCCGCCCATTATGGACCTAAAAGAAGGCTTATTAATACTCTGTCAGTGTCACTGTCATCGAGTTCAGGACAGCCTAAGGGTAAACCTGGTAAGTACACTCTCGGTATTTAGATCTAGCGTATGTCTAGTACATTCGCGAGCAACACCGAAATCAATAAAATTTATATTGACGGATGCATGGGAGGAACAGTGTGCCGACGCCGGCAGCACCCGGGCCGTCGACCTACTCCGGAGCCAGAGAGGGACCAACCTACCGCCGCATGGAAGACTGGGAGTGATCTCCGGTGCTAGCGACTTGCAGGACTTGAGCTTGCACAGTTAGTTCGAGTGTCCTGTAAGCTTCGATTTCGGTGGTCATGCGCTGCCTCCCGTACCATTTTACCCCGGCTTGGTTTTGCTCCAGGTACACAGAACCTGGTCGCCATCTCGGTTATCCACGACCGGTGACCTTCTGTGGCAGTGCGGACATAATTACTCGGGTGCGCAAGTATGAGCCCCGGAATTTGAAATATGATGTCTCGTCGATTGACTGTCCTTCACCACACAGTACTGCTGCCCGTCCGAAGGACAACTGTAAAATAATAGTATCACATTCAGCAGCTGCTCGATGGACTAATGCTAACTTACTCGCTCAAGAACCCGAACCTAAGCATCAAACTAAAAACTAAGTACTACTATCATGAACAACTCGAGGTTGAAGTGGAGATATAAATCAGCATCGGCTCCGCCGTCCCCCCAAAAGAGAACACATACTATGATATAGGACGATGGCCTTGAGTAGAAAGATGCCAGGATTCTGTCTAGGGCCCCGTTGCCCTCTACATACATTTTGCCCGGGACGACTGCAATTCGTTGCAATGACCTAGTGTGAGGGCAGGAAAGGCCGCAGGTTCGGCTGTGGCAGAAAGCGTGAAGCCTGGGTTGTCCCACTATGATTTCGTTGTTACTCAAGGAAACAGCAGATAGCCCCAGCAAGCACCTAGATCCTCGAGCGCCTTCTTCAAAAACTCTGCAGGAGTACTGTAGCCATTCACACCAAATGCAGCTTACCTAGGCTGGATCAAAGATGGGAGTATGATATTTTGGTTGAGCTCAAACACAGTGGCTGTACGGTAGTGAACTTTGTCGATCGGGTGGACGACGGGCCGGCATCTCGGCGACTGATCCGATAATCAGATTCAGAAAATTATCAAAAGTTGAAGATCAGCTTAAGCTTGATTGCCCTCGAGCTCGTTAGTAAAAAATGCCACCCTTCTCGCATCCTTCAATCCAAGGTAAGTATAATACGACAGTCAATTGATCTTTGAATGATTGGACTTGCTAGATGGTTGGTTCCGTGAAATCTCTTCTCAGTGGCCTGGTCAGGCCATGACCCTCAAGGTTAATAAGATCTTGCACATCGAAAAATCTCTCTATCAGGACGTTCTCGTCTTCGAATCTGAGACATACGGAAATGTATTGGTTCTCGATGGTGTCATCCAGTGCACCGAGCGAGACGAATTTTCGTATGTCATTCATATGTCGGCCCTTGCTCCGATCGCTTGACTCATACGATGTAATGTAGATACCAAGAGATGATTGCTCATCTGCCTCTCGCCAGCCACCCAAACCCAAAGAAGGTGCTTGTGATTGGGGGTGGCGATGGAGGCGTCGTTCGAGAGGTGCTCAAGCATGATACGGTTGAGGAAGTGGTCCTCTGCGACATCGATGAGGTTTGTATATGAATAGATGCAAGGTCCTCTCTGACGAAGGTACAGGCTGTGATCAGAGTCTCAAAGATCTACCTCCCGCACATGTCTGCACTACTCGACTCTCCTCGTGTCAAGGTCTTCGTCGGTGACGGGTTCAAGTTCCTTGCCGAGAACGAAGCCACGTACGACGTGATAATCACAGATTCCTCTGACCCGGTCGGGCCAGCAGAAGCTCTTTTCCAGAAGCCTTACTTCAAGCTTCTTCACGATGCGCTGGCTCCCGGGGGGCACATCTCGACACAGGGAGAATCTCAGTGGCTTCACATTCCCCTGATCTCCAACCTTCTTAAGTCGACACGCGAGCTGTTCGCCGTCTCGCGATACGCCTTTACTACGATCCCAACTTACCCATCTGGCCAGATCGGGTTCATGGTGTGCTCCAAAGAGCAGGGCCGGGACCTCACTACTCCCGTTCGCAAGGTGACCAACACTCGTTACTATAATGAGAACGTCCACCGAGCGGCGTTCGTTCTTCCACAATTTGTTCAATCGTATCTGGAGGACGGAATTGACATCACGCCCGTATTCGGACGTGCGGCTACGGCTGTGAAAGCTGCAGCAGAAGGCAAGAAAACGCGCAAAGTACTTCTCCTTGGCTCTGGCTTCGTTGCACGTCCATGTGCCGAGTACGTTGTACGCGACCCCTCCAATGCGCTAACGATTGGTAGGTCAATCATACCCGTACATTGTAGTAATCTTCATCCCTTACACAGCATGCCGCACGCTCCAGAGTGCACAAGCATTGGCAGAGGGTCTTCCTAATGCAAATGGCATTTCTCTTGACGTCAACAGCACCAGCGATCTCGAGGCTCAAGTTGCTGCGCATGATCTTGTCATCTCTCTGATCCCCTACACGTACCACGCGACTGTTATCAAGGCTGCGATAAAGGCCAAGGTTCACGTCGTCACAACCAGTTATGTCTCCCCTGCAATGCGTGAACTTGATGAGGAAGCCAAACGAGCAGGCATTGTTGTCATGAACGAAATTGGTCTTGACCCTGGCATCGACCATCTGTATGCGATCAAGACAATCGATGAGGTGCATGAAAAGGGTGGCAAGGTGAGCTACTGGTACTTTCGGTCTCTACAACAGCCTTACATGTCTCCCTAGATCAAGCAATTCCTATCTTACTGTGGCGGTCTCCCAGCACCAGAGTGCTCAGGTAATCCCCTCGGCTACAAATTCTCGTGGTCATCTCGTGGTGTCCTCCTAGCTCTGCTCAATTCAGCAGCCTATCTGTCTGAGAGTAAGCAGCTCAATATTTCCGGCACTGAGTTGATGGGCTATGCCAAACCCTACTTCATCTCCCCGGCATTTGCGTTCGTGGCTTATCCGAACCGTGACTCCGTGCCCTTCAGGGAGTGGTATAACATCCCAGAGGCAGAGACTGTGGTCCGCGGCACGCTCAGATACCAGGGCTTCCCTGAGTTCATCAAGGCGCTTGTTGAGTTGGGCTGGCTTGATGCATCTGAGAAGGACTGGTTGAAGGAGGGCTTGACCTGGGCCCAGGTCATGCAAAAGGCGATCGGTGCTAATGACGCTTCAGAAAGGCAAGCAGCTGATTGTCTGAATCTGCGCAGAATACGAAACTGAATCGACATATCCAGCACCCTCGTCGCGCACGTCAAGTCGGTCTGCAAATTCCCTAATGATGCCGAAGCTACCCGTATCGTTTCCGGACTCCGCTGGATTGGACTCTTCTCATCAGAGACCGTGAAACCCCGCGCAGGAAACCTCCTTGATACCCTCTGCGCACAACTCGAGACGCTGATGAAGTACGAGCAGGGCGAGCGAGACCTTGTCATGCTTCAGCACAAGTTCGTGGTCGAGTGGGCTGATGGCAGCGAGGTATGCGTCTGTTACAGGTCCTTCAGACAGATTCGCTAATAACCTTGCAGCAAACCCTCACCTCGACGCTCGAGCAATATGGCAGCCCGTCTGGACATTCCGCGATGGCACTCACTGTCGGCGTTCCTTGCGGTATCGCGACGCAACTTGTGCTGGATGGCGTCTTTAAAACTCCTGGAGTTCATGCGCCATACACAAAGGAGATTTGTGACCCCATCCGTCACCTCTTAGAGATCGAAGGATTGGGTCTGGTAGAGAGGGTGCTGTGATGTTACGCGTGCTGCAGAAATGTTGATTGTTGTATAATTAAAAAGAATATGTACTAGACATAGATTTATGTACATGTTTCGCGTTTTACGACCATGATCGATGATCGATGATCAGTTGGTCTGTAACTTGTAAGGCCTGTAAGGTTTGAAATTTGAGTTGTTCGATGTTATTGTCTTTGATCAATACTGAAACTTACTGCATGTAAAAGCAGCCACTGCAATCGTTGTTACCTCTGACCATCATCTGAAGCAAGGATGTCGCAGCCACGAAGGTCACCGCATGATTCGTACGAAACTGAGACAACAGATCACCAAATAGACACGGAAACCATCCTCCTCAAGCACCTCCCACTTAACCCAGACTCGCCTTCCCCGTTGCAGAAGGATGCACATTTGCAGTTCCTGGTTCGAAATCTAATCCAAGGTTTTCCATCCCGCTATATCGGCCAAGACGCAAGTCAACCATGGTTGCTCTACTGGACGCTTCAAAGCTTCAGCGTCATGGGAGTAGGGATGGATCCGAATAATAAACAGAAGTGGGTGGCGCAGTGATGCCATGAGATCAGGATGGCTTAAGATGCGCCAATTTGCAGGGCCATCGACACTATTATGGCATGGCAGCATCAAAATGGCGGATTCGGAGGTGGGCCAGGCCAGGCTGCTCATTTGCTTCCAACTTACGCGGCGGTTTGCGCGCTGGCGATCGTTGGAAGGCCCGGCCCTGGAGGTGGATGGGATCAGATCGACCGGTTAGTTTCATATTAAGAGCCATATGGAGGTGCTGTTGATACTTGAGCAGGGAGAAGATGTATGAGTTCTTCATATCGGTCAAGCAATCAGATGGGGCGTTCCTCGTGGCACACCATGCAGAAGTAGATGTGCGGTTCGTGGTCCAATCATTTTTCTATCGATGTTGGCTGATGTGACATTTTGAACAGTGGGACATATTGCCTCCTCGTGGCGGCACATTTGCTGAACATATTAACACCGGAACTTTTGGAGGGCGTCCCTGCCTCCATTATGTCGTGTCAGACTTACGAAGGAGGCTTCTCATCCGCTTCCCAGCCGTATTTTTCCCCTGAACCAGAAGGACCTCCGACACTGCTTGATTCACCGCGTCCACCTCTCGGTGAAGCTCACGGCGGGTATACTTTCTGCTCCTCTTGCGTCATGGATCATGCTTCAACCATATCTTTCTCTGCAAGAGCCTTCGGTCCAGAAGCCATCTCTGAATTTCAAGACGTTGCTGCGATGGCTGGTGCAGATGCAAGGCTCGGAGATCGAGCTTGGTGGTTTCAAAGGCCGCACTAATAAGCTTGTGGATGGATGCTACTCCTGGTGGGTCGGGGGCTGCTTTGCATTGTTGTCTTCGCTAGGCATCGTTGGTGCCCATGGCCGTGATGATGATCACGAATCCTACTACCGCTCATCAAGAGGATGAAGCTTGGAATGATGTTGATGGTAAGTTGTTACCTGCAAGACGTTGCATGGTGAGAAATGCTGATAGATGGACGTATATGCAGATTCAGTATGGGACCGTGCCGCATTGCAGCGCTATATCCTGTGCGCGGCTCAGCACCCAGCAGGAGGTCTACGCGATAAGCCTCCAAAGTAATTGGTTTTTGGAACATCAACATGATCATTTGTTAACGATATTCACAGGCCCGCAGATTCATACCACACACTATATTGCCTAGCAGGACTATCCACTGCTCAGCACAATATTTTCCTCTCATCTACTCGGCAAGATGCTATCTTTCGCTGTTGGAAGACCCCGCCTGGTATGTCTTAACCTTGAATCACAAAAGCTAGTTGCTCATTCGAATCAGAGTCGACGCATGAGCAACTTCGTCAAGCGTGTTTCGCGCACTCGCTTTCTTGGACAGAGGAAGAGGGCACGTCTCGCATACTTGGAGTGCAAAATAACCGGATGGTGATCTACTGTGCTTTTTTTCATGGGCGAAGTGACTGATTGAGCTTTTATGCAGAATGCGACACATCCAGTATTCAATCTGACTATGACGCACACGGAGGGTATCATGGCGCATTTCTACAAACAAACGATTCCTTCGCGGCCTAAGAAGACGTGATAGGCGGTCGAGAGCAGAGTAATACGTAAGGATCATGGGGTGTAAAGTATCTTCAAGGGATGTATTGTAGAATTGAAACTGACGAGTAACGAATAGCAAGTGACGATGGTTGTATTCGATCCAAGTGCGTTGGCCAGAGTATCAGCTGTGGCCTTTGCGATGTTGCGCGAGTGATGGGCCTTGATGTTGACCTTGGCCATCGATTCCTCGTTTCCCAACGTCTTGATGTAGAACCCTCATTTCTCCCTTACTCCTTCGGTTAGGGAGGTGCATGTTGACTGATTACTTATTACTTTTCCTCGAAGTAGTTTCATGCAGTTCGACAGGTCAGATTGTCAGTGTGCTCCTGAACTATCATTATATGCATAGTTGGTCGGTGAGTTCGCGAACATCTCTTCGCGCTTTAATGTACCTTGGACTTACGAGGTCATTCCTACGCTTCGTTCATAACTCCCAGGACGAACCTCACGCCATCAGAATCGCAGCACAGCTCCTATATAAGAGGAAATGACTGTCCTAAATATACACAGTTGCTGCCAACAACACCTTGGCAGAACGGCACGTATATATGTGGTGATATTTTTAGATATGACATGTTCCTACTTCTGAAGTTCTTCCGTTCATACTGACATGTCCCCCTTTGCGAGAGAATGAAGTCACATATTAGGATCACACTAGGTGACAGGCTGTGGCTTTATATAGAGGAAGAATGGAGGAACACCAATATAATTCGAGTCATCGACGAGTCATTGCTTGAATTTCCTTCAGACCTTTACTTGCACACACTCCAAGTGAAAACTCACCTCCATCTCCTCGAGCACGATTGCTCAGTGGTACGCTGCATATGCAGCACAGATCAATAGCCGCGACGACGTTACGACGCGCTGAAGGCCTCGGAACAGTCGTAGCCTCATCGCCAGCCGGCTTGTCAAATATGCACGGCGACGAGTAGTTGGTGGGATCGAACTTGCTGTCAGTCCCTGTCATCAGCTTTGATTGTTGTATAAGGCACTCCCTCTCCAAACTCGACAGCGGCGCCCGTGTCCAATTCAAAGCAACTACCTTGAAATTGACGAAAATATCACTTGGCGGCTGGTGGTGGTTTCGGTGGCGTTCGGTGGAGGGAAGCGATAAGATAGGAGTTTATTTTAGTGTCCCACTGGCAGGACTCCAGACACCGAACCCTTTAATTACGTGTAAGTCATTACCGCTCATAAGTTATACACAAAGGCCAGCAAAGGCCTCACGGGCTCTCGTCACCTTGTATGAGCTTGCTGAGCATGACCAGTCTCCATTTTTGCGCGGGCAAGTACAACGTAGCTTACAATGTCAGTACAAAGCTCGCCGACTTTGGAAAGCCCGTTGCTGAAATTCTCCTTATCTTTCATTTTATCAGGTTGCGGTGGACCGTGGCGCCCATGTCACCAAATCCATTTTCAGAATCGATTCGCATGTAGGAAACTTTGCACACGAGGGATGATCATTCTCGCTGCTATACTAGCACTTCTTGACAGCAGGCTATATGCAAAGTTCCGCGCGGTAAGCAATGAGTGGCATGTATTCCAGGAACTGACCATGCAACTCTAAGCATCCATCAAAGTAACTGCTCATACGTCCCGGAATAACCGTGATTCCATTACCCAATATCAATGTTCCACATGCTCGCGCCACCGATGAGTACATGTACCTGTAACAGATAAAGCCAGCCGCATTAGGCCGCCAACTTTGTATTCCCTGCTCCCATCACAATGGCATTCCAGCCTGCAGCTGTCGAAGGTGGTCATGATCCTCGCGTCCACCTCTCAGAGAAGGAAGAGCATGATGCCTATATCCCCAGCAACATGCTTCTTCCTGATGGTACCATGCCAAATATCGAGACGTACATGTACTTCGCGAAGATTCAGCGTGACAGGGAGGCCCTCTCTGCCAAGAATGATGCTGAGGGTGGCAATTGGATCTCGAGAACATTCAAGCGTTCCCAAGAATCTGATCACCATTCCGTTGTATCAGCCCCGGACCCTGATGAGAAGAGGGGAGCTGCTTCTACAGAGGAGGGGGGCGGCTCTCTAGTCACCCCAGGCGAGTACCGTGCAGCTTCTGGCGCTCTTAGGACCGCCACCTGGGGAAGTGTATTCTATCTTATTACGACCGGTACGCTGTTTCATAGATTTGATGATATTGATGGGTTCTCATCTTCCATAAGATATTCTGGGCCCATACTCTACTCCGTGGGCGTTCCAACAAGTCGGATATGGTCCCGGTGTTGCCTGTTTCTTTGTCTTCGGTATCATGGCAGCATACAGTGGATTCCTCCTGTGGTGGATGTTCTTGAAACTTGACTCGGATCGGTATCCTATCAGATCTTTCGGTGATTTAGGGCAACGCATATACGGTCGTTGGTTCCGGCATGGTACGTACATACTCTCATGAATTAGAATTCATTAATATAACGTGGATCCATAGTTTGTAACATCTTGCAAAGTTTACAGCTCGTGTTCAACGTCGGTCTCATTATTCTTGGTAATGGCCAAGGTCTGTCGCAAATGGCAAAGTTCAAAGTACGCTTATCACGATTTGCCACACTCCATGATCTAACTTGGTCCTCTACAGCTATGCTTCAGCGTCTGCAATGTTGTTTGGACCCTCGCTGGAATGATCCTTGGTCAAATTCGAACTCTTCAGAAGTTTGGCTCGATCGCCAATCTCGCTATCTGGATGAACATCATCACCTTGATTTTGACGATGGCCTCTGTGGCTAACTCGGCTCCCAATTATACTGCAATACCGTTCGATGGCCCTGTGCAAACCTATGCAATTTACATACAGCCTTTCCAAGCCCAGCTCAATGGTATCATGCAGATTGTATTCTCATACGGTGGAGCGTAAGTCCTGATACCTCGTGAAGACATCCACGTACCATGAATGATTTTAGAATGATTTTCGTCGAATTCATGGCTGAAATGCGCCGCCCGATGGATTTCTGGAAGGCTATGGCGTATTCCCAGCTCTTCATCTTCGTCGTATACATGTTCTTTGGCCTCTTCGTGTACACATATCAAGGCCAATATGTCGTTAACGTCAGTCGTTTTTCTTTCGACTGGGAATCTCACTGATACCTTTGTTTCAGCCGGCCAACCAGGGGATTTCCGGATATGCTCTACAGACTGCGACGAATGCCATTTCTTTGACCGCTGGTCTCATTGCTGCTGCATTGTACGGCAACATCGGTGTCAAAGTCATCTACAACAACATCTTGGTGGAGATGTTTGGTTTCCCCGAGTTGACTGCGACTCGGGGTAAATACTACTTCTCCATCGCCATCATAGCGTATTGGTCCGTTGCCTTCGCTATTGGTTCCGCTGTCCCGCAGTTCAGCAACATCTCATCGCTGGTTGCTGCCGTCTGCATCTTCCGTGAGTATTCATACTTTTCTAGTTGCTGTCATAGCGACTGAGCCGCCTTTGGAGAATTTACATACACCTTCCCACCATTCATGATCTTGGGTTACTGCATGCAAGTGGACGCCACAAAAGGCGACAGAGAATTTGACATCAACAACCCCCACGCCCACCGTGTTGATACCTGGAAACAGCCATCGCGTTGGATACGTGCATGTACGTACAAACTTCCGCGCTGCGTTCTCCCGCGCTAATCCCTCCACGTTCAGTCTTCACCAAAAATGCTTACTTCAACGTGTGGAACTTCCTTCTCGCGCTCGCATGCTTGTCCTGCGCTATTCTGAGCGGATACTCTGCCATCAAGACGATCGTGACTGCGTTCCAAACCTCGGCTTCCACGGCGTTTGGCTGCAAGTCGCCTTTGGATAACAGCGGCTAAGACATGAATACTGAATGTTGACGCGTTGTGGTTATGGATGTTCGGTTGAATGCGGATGTTGGGGGTATGCTATAAGTAGTAGTCTGAAACGCTCGCCCGTAACGTTAACCTAATGTATACTGATGATGGATATATATTTTTGTTATCTTATGCGCCAGTTCACCGAAAACTCGAAGGCTTGTAAATGTACGGCTATCTTCATATCGATAGACCAGAATTTGAAATATTCACTTGACCGCTTTTATTTGTTATTGGAGCGACACCAAACAGAGGCGCTCATGCTAGCTAAATTTGTAAGTCATTAACCGTACTTGTAACTTGTGGGCTGATATGGGGCGGTACAAATGTTACGGCGCGCTTACCCGAGGGCCCTACAGGCCTCCACAGGCGCTAAAAGGCCCTTTTCGGAGGCATGGTTCAATTTTTGATGATGAAATTTTCAGACTTCATATTTTGGTCTAACTGTTCGACGGGTAATATTATATACATGAAACTGAGTCTATATATATTCTACCACTTTATATTGAAAACGATGGAATTTTGAAGTTGCGGTAGCAAATATATGTTGAGCATGTTTGACATGCCGAAAAAGGTATTCGAGCACCGTAGTACCAACTGTACTACGGTGACCTTGCAACGAAGCCCTTGCCGTGCAAGACACTACAATGTTGTCAAAGTAAGTTATGCTCGTCATCAGATGAGGCTCCACTTAGTTTCTGCAACCCTGGCACTTTAGCGAGATCGCCGTGAACATGACGATCGCTAAGTAGAACTGACTCCGGGTCACATCCACCTTTGTTTGGCAAAGCCTTGTGAAATAAACAAACGCCACGACGCGTGATGATACATGCAAGTGATCATGATGTCACTCCAAACGGGGCAACCTCACGAGCACCATATCGACATCGTGAAAAACGCAAGAAATGCTGTCCAAATAGAATGTTTTTGCTAGGCATGTTATCAAGGCCCTCGGCCAATTAGCTTGCTCCGATAAATTCCTTAGCAAAAACTTGGCAAAAACACTATAATATGTACTTTCGTTATAAGACAACAATATTAATGTAAGTATATGCATCGCGACACAATTAAGTATTAAGTAAAAGACGTGCACTCCGGGTATAGTTGAATAGATATCTGCTAGTCGTCGACCCCAAGACCAATATTTCCCTCCGGACTGTTATAGTCCACGAGCCTCGAGACAACTGCGGAAGATCTTCTGGAACTGCGGGACGTGGTCGAGGTCCATGAGCGTGTAGTGTTGCCCAGGCACATCAGTATACGATGGCTCGCCACGGCTGAAGCCAGACCATGGTTTCAGTTGGTTGTTGAGCCAGTCTGCCTTGCTACCGCGAAGTGGAATAGCATAGAATACATCGACTACGGCTGACGAGACATGAAATATGAGTAAATGGCGCTGAAGCCAGAAAATGAACTTACAAACTGAACCCGATGGGTTGTAGTCCTTTCCGCAATCAATCAGAGACCCGGCGATGTCCACCCAGTGGTCAAGCTTCTCGGGCGTCAGCTGGAGCTCGACGAGACGTTCAGGAGGCGACAGCTTCCACACCACGTCAAGCTGCTCCTTCCTCGTCATCGGTCTCAGAGCAGGAGTCAGATTGTTCGCGTCATGCTTCGACACGAGACCGAGGAAGTACGACAAGTTGAGCATGCCGCCCGTCCAGTCAATCTCGTGCATGCGGTCGGCGATATGAGGAGGAATGTTGATTAGACCAACGAACTTGACTTCGTCGCCCATGGCCTCGAGCCGCTTGGCGACTTCAAACGCGACCACACCACCGTAACTGTAGCCGGCGATGGCGTATGGTCCCGTCTCCTGCGTCCTCTTGACTGCGGCGGCATAGCAGGAAACCATCTCGTCCATGGATGTGAAGAAGGGGTGGCCGGGCTCGAAGCCACGAGCACGGAGAGCGTAGAACGGACGCTCATTCTGGAAGTACTTGGCGAGGTTGACAAAAATGAGAACCTCTCCGACACCGGGGTGCACGAAGAAGATCGGCGTCTTGCTTCCGGTCAACTGAAGGGGAACGATGGGGTCGTACTCCTCAGTCTGGCTGTCCTTGGAGAGCAACGCGTTGACGTAGTTGGCCAGGCTCGAGACGACAGGGTGCTTGAGGATTTGGATGGTTGGAATTTCGGGCAGGTCAAAGTGAGCCTCTCCTTCGCGCTTGAGCCTGAAGATGATATATGTCAGTGAAGGTAGTATTACAACGTGGAAAGATATATTCACCTGATAACATCAATAGAAGTCCCGCCGAGTTCGAAGAAGTTGTCGCTCGCTGAGACCTCGCTTTCCGGAAGGTTGAAGATGGCTGCATATATCTTGGCAATCACCTTCTCTGTCTCGGTAGAGGGGGTGACGAAGGAGGCGCCGCGTGCCTCGTTGATAAGCTCCTCAGCGCGGGCAATGTGCTCCGCAAGCCCTCCTTGCTTGAAGAGGTTAATGAGACGCGCCCGAGATAGTTTGCCGAGAGTGGTCTTCTCCATCTGGTTGATAGGGATGGGAATGATTATTTGAGGAGGCAGGGTGATCATCTTCACAGAGATATCACTCAGAGCGCGGTGAGTGGCAAAGAGCTTCGTTGAGGCATCTACTCCGGCGAGGTCGAAAGTTGGCGAGTAGAAAATGATGAACCCTTCGGTCTCCTGGCCAGGAGCGCGGTAGGGAACCGCGGCGAGGAACGAGTGTGTGACCCCTTCAACGGTTTGGAGGTGAGTTTCGAGCTCAGGGGTACCATATGAGACACCGTGGACGATGACTGTATCCTTGATACGACCGCTGAGACGCATGACGCCATTCTCGATGATGCCCACATCACCAGTGCGGTGCCAGCCACCATTGACAAAGCTAGAGGACGTAGCCTCAACGTTGTTGTAGTAGCGTACGAAGACCATAGGTCCGCGAACCTGAAGCTCGCCGCTCTCGCCGTCAGGGAGGAGGGTGGAACCATCTGCAGGGTCAACGATGCGCATCTCACAATCATTTATAGGACGTCCGAGATCAAGGAACTCGCGAGCAGGCTCGGTTGCTAGGACATCGACCGGGTCATATATGCATCCGGCGCTGTAAAGATCTGTCAGTTTAGATATTGATAGCGTTATAATATCCTTACCAAGTTTCTGTCATTCCGAATCCAGCGGAGATGACGAACGACACCGCAGAGGGGTTCTTGCTGAGCTTCTTCAGTGTAGTAGCAAAGGCTTTCGCGGTCTTGGAAACAACAGCTTCACCTCCACTATTGATGCGCTTGATGGAGGACAGGTCGAAGCACCCATACAAGTCCGTGCGCTTCTCCAAATCACGAGTGAGCTTCGAGAGCAAGAAGTTGGGCGCGAAGGTCAGTTCGGTGGACTAAAAATAGCATGATGAGAGAAACGTTAAGCTTTGATTCGATGTTGGCGTACCTTTTCGTCGATCAGACGGAGCAGCCGAAGGGGATCAGAAAGAATAGCAGATGCATGCACGTGGAGTTGCGAAGCACCATATAGCAGAGGTGTGATGTGCATTTCCAAGGATCCCGCGACGTGATCAAATCCGACCCCTGAACGTCATCGTTAATCTCAGAAAATTGCTTAAATGACGTGTGTCTTACAGTTCAAGACTTGAGATCCAGAAGTCAGGCCGTAGCTTTGCCCCTTGGCACGACATGCAGCAAGGATAGTACGATGCGTGTGCACAACCGCCTTCGAGAATCCAGTTGACCCTGAGGTCAGGAATAGGATGGCCTCGTCGTCCGCCTTAGCCTCATATGCGACCCAGTCAGCTGGCACGGTAAATCTCTCCGCGGAATATTTTAATTCGGAGAGAAGGTGGACCTCCAGACCAGAAATGGAGTTGATCTGTTCAGCGCCAAACTCGTTGGTGAGCCAAGTAGCTGACCCGAACAAGTTTTTCATATGGGCCACATGGCCCTCCTTGTGCGCCTGTTGGGCACTCAGTGTGGGCTGCAAACATGGAACATAGCCAGCCAGTAGACACGCCCAGACAGCAGACATGTTGTCTTCGTGCTCGGTCAGGTACACGACGATGACTGAGCCTGTGGGCTCGCCCCACTCGAGCATGGCACGTGCAAGGTTGCGAACATTTTGGTTGAACGCGCTGAAAGTCTTCGTCTGTATGGAGGAGTCATGTGCCGAGGAGGTTATGAAACCAAGCTCGTGTAAGGGATACTGGTTGACAGCTTGAGCGATGACGTCGTGAAGAGTATTGGGTTGTGGAGAGACAACAGATTTCTTGAGAGTGGTAACGAATTCGGTGATGGTAGTGGGGGTGACTGCGACGGGTGCCATTGTCAGATGAGTCTGAAATGGTACTAAGAAGGTTGGGAAATGTTGTCCAGAACATTGAGTGCGGAATTATATACTTCGAAGCTAGCTCTAGCGGAAATTGGCTAGTCTAAGCCATCTGTCGTAAGTTTACTCACTTCAGACCCCGAGGAGCGCATCCGCGTTCTGCATCATAGAAGGGCGCCGGCTTTGACGGACAAATGTGGACATAATGATTTTACCTACTGAGATCAACGCTTGCCCTTTGAAATAAAGATTTGCTCGTTGGAGTTGTCCGGATCACTCGCTGTCGGTTTCATCTAAGAGATCATAATTTGCAAAATCCGTCGCTCCGAAAGCCCGCAAGTGATGATCGAGAAGCAGATTGAGCTGGAGAAGATTCGGGCTGGCATTCATGTTGGATTAGGTGTTCCCATTGACCCGCAGCTTTATAGATAATATTTTCGAGGACAAACATCTACTGCTCAGTGACGGGTGTTCAATAGGACGGGTTCGCACGTTGGTGCTCGAGAGATGGTGAAGTGAACTGGGCTTGGAACCAGCCTATCTGCAGCCTTAAGGTACTTTGCCGTGCAGACTACGAATATTGCTCTTGTAATGTGATAGCGACAAGCCTGTATTGAGTCTTGACGTATGCACAGCGGATACCTATTAGGCCTGTTGGATTCACGACGCGCCCCGACTATAGTACTGCGACGAAATATACTCACTTAGACTCCCCTAGCCAGGCCTTATATAATATATAGAAGATGGAAGATAGTTGAGTCCTGGGCAAAGTTTCGAAGCGTTCGCGTCGCCCCGATAGAGAAGCCGAGCACATTCTTTGACACTTCGTTGCTTACATAAAGGGCATGACTTATGTAAGTGATACCCGCGGCCAATCTAAATCGTGTGCCGTAGTCCTATCAAAGTATGTCAAATTTTGTCTTTCCTTGGCAGCCATGGCCGACTGAGTACAACAATCTCGCTCAAATGAACTTATCAAGTACCGCTACTTCCCGCACACAAGTACCATTGACCCGGACGGAGCAGCCTGCGGGAGTTCATAGATCCCTGAGCTTCCCGCGATCGTCTTGCCAGCTGTACACTCGTTGGACGACTCGGAAGTTCAATGTTATCTTGGTTATGTACCATAGGTCAGTGACTCCAACCCCACCCCTGCAACGTTCTCATACTACTTCTGAACCACGGAGGCGTGCGGTCATTGTAGGCCATTGTGCGTATCAGAAGCTGGTAATACTTAGACTGTAGTCATGACCGTCTTGGCAGGAGCGTCCGTGCTCAGCCATGCTTCTGTGAATCATTTCAATTGCTAACGCCTTTTCAAAGTTCTTCCCGCCACCTTTCGTCCTCCACTCGGCATAGATGTGTGGCGAACAGGCGCTCGTCACAATCTCGAATGAACGAATGAGATCTTTGCCACGGCCTCAGGTCATGCTGCTGTGAATCATTTCAATTGTTAACGCCTTTTCAAAGTTCTTCCTGCCACCTTTCGTCCTCCACTCGGCATAGATGTGTGGCGAACAGGCGCTCGTCACAATCTCGAATAAACTTATGAGATCTTTGCCACGGCCTCAGGGATTGGAATGTCAAAATGTGAGTTAAATGGACTGAGGTTTCCGGTCGGTGCAGTCCCGATATCTATCTGTCCTTGCTACCTGCCGCCTGTGAATGTGTCGCAAATGCTCAGCGCCAATTGGCTACGAGTGACCCACGGTCTTCTTTCTCCACCTGGCAGTTCATGAATGCTCCACCAGGAAGCCGAGGAGTCAGTGTTCAGTTAATTTTAATGTTGTACTTCGAGAACTCATCGCACCATCAAGCGCGCCTTGCAGCCCCATGGTTCATCATCTTTGTCCTGCTCCAGCAAGAGAGGTAGACTGATGTGTCTTATTCAACATATGGACTAGTCTTTCGTTCATTGTCCAGTGAGCTTCAGAGTTTTGTTATTGTCTTAGGTCCAGTATTTCAAGAGTTTTATACTCTGGCAGTAGGTCCGTCTTATGAAATCCTGGATGTCATGTGCAGTATGTACGAGAATGAAGGGGTACGATTATATTGTGACACACCGGCGGTTTGCCAAGGAGTTTTTCGTTATGCAAGATCTGTTTCCAAATGTTATTGATGAATTTAGCATTTTCACTATACATTTTGACATGATAAAAATAAGAAATTTAGACGAGTGGCAAAATCCTGGGCGGAATTGTACATTTTATGCACCATTTTGACACTGTAAATGTTCGATCATTTTGATTCAAATTTCTTATTTTTATCATGTCAAAATGTATACCATCCCTTATGGTCTATTCGTGATGGACCATCATTTCGTGAGTCACGCTTTTTCGCGGTGAATTCCGTGACATAGCGTTACGCCGTGTGACAAGCCATCACGTTTCCATGCCAAAAAGTGTGACTCGCGAAATGGAGGCTCATCACGAATAGACCGCTACGTAGTAGTGAAAATGCCAAATTCATCAATAACATTTTGAAACAAATCTTGCATAGCGAAAAACTCCCAAACTGCCGGTGTGTGAACAAGGTTCCTGCCGGCACATGCAGGCGGACGTAACGGGCGTTTCAGAAACCTGGAAACAAGTCAAATGGGTTAAAAACTTAAAATTCGATTGCCTTTTACAATGTAGCTGGTTCTCACAATCAAAGATTGTCAAAAGTCAACAAGTTAGTGGTTACACTCTTAGTTTCTTATCTTCCTCGAATGTGTCCTTGACCTGCAAAACACTGTCAAAAAGAAAATTGCCTGAACGACGCGCAACACCTACTTTCTGGAGGAACACCTCGTCAGTCAGCACTCGCATGCCTACGGCCGCGAGCGCCTTCGATACCACCATGCAGGCGTCATGGGATACTTCGGAACGTGCAGCTTCCGTAAATCCTAGTGTGTGGTTCCCGCCATCTGGAACGGTCGGGATGGCTTAAGCAAAAGTCGTTAACATCGTGCTTATTCCGAGTCGTTTTGAACCTGCGCTACTTACAAAAACCAGGGTGAAGACCGGGCATCACTGACGAACAAGAACTTCGTGAGTAAAGGTTGCCTACCCCCAGTCATAGAGAGACTCACAGTATGAAATATTCCCCTTTGGATCCGAAATATCAGCTCCGTCGCACTTTCTGGATGTGCGAAACACCCACGAAATCAGTAGAAGCACTCTTGATACCCCATTCATAATCGATGGCACCATAGCGCTTCAGGACAACATCAGCAAGCTCATCGCCTGGTATAACATTCAGTACCAAGCCACTGCACTCCGTAATTTCATACCAAGTGCTTTGTTTTGCCTGATTTCGTTGGCTACTGATCCAAGCGTAACTTCAACTTTGCATCCAGATGCGAGTGCAGCTGCTCTGTGACGAATAGATAATGCCACTTGATCAACCGAACATGCCGATAGTGAAAGACTGACTCGAAGCAGGAAATAACACGCTTCCTGGTGTCTTCCATCTCTGAGGTTGTGGGAGCACGGACTAACCACCTGTACTTGTGTATAGAGCGCTCGAAGCGGGTAGTTCCTGACATAGACCTACTGCATTATAGCGTGATCCGGGATGACTGATGATTCAAGAATTGTCATCGAGTGTTTCCACGGAAAGAGTGAAAATCTTACTGTTTGGAGCCCAATCCTTTCCTTCAAAGATACCGTGCACGCGATGAGTAGGTTTAATTTGCTGACGAAGAAGGGAAACGTTATTATATGCAAGGACAGCTGCATCAAGTGCGTTCTGTCCCTCCCAGGGGCTTAACCCAGCGTGAGCACTAAAACCGTGAAGAATTGAATACCACAACTCGGTAAAGGTGTGGAAGTCACTCACGTATGACCTTGATACTCCACAGTGATACGTGACATAGCCAAGCAGCCGCTCAAACTAATGGAGTGGCGGGGACCAGGTGCGGGATGGCACCTTCAAAGCAGGTTGAGTAATCCTGGTCATCTGATATGGACTATCAGAAGAACTAACATGAGGCACACATCCATCTCATCATAAGCCCCCTTTTCATACAGCATGACCTTGCCAAACCCACCCTCCTCGGCTGCATCGAGTCATTATCCCGAAGCCGACCACACAAATCTAGACACCGACGCACCAGGTGTACCCAGCAGAACCACCTTTCCATCAATGTTGAGCGTCTCCATAGCGGCCTTGGTTGCAAGAGCTACCGCTACTCCGGAGATCCCAATAAGATTGTGTCCACAAGCGTGTCCGATTCCAGGGAGCGCATCCATCTCAGAGTTGATACCCAAAACGCGTCCTCCCTGTCCATGGGTGTAGGTAGCCACCCAGGCAGTCTCAAGATGATAGTTCTTAGTTATTGTGAAACCATGATTTTCCATGAACGCAGTGTATGCATCGTGGGCATATCTGTGACGATACTCTGAGTGTTTGCGCTTAGCTATGGCGTACGATGAGATCCGACACACTTTTCTTCGAACATCAGCTCCGGATGGTCTTTTGAAAATGCGTGAGCGTAGGAGGTGTTGATACGAAAAAAGAACACCGTTCTACGGGCAAATTACCGTGGATTTCGAGACTTAAAGCCCTCAGCTCCCCACTCACTGGTCCATCGAGCGACATCTCAATCACGTTGAGTATGTCTGGCCTATATACCTTACCCTCCTGAAGCGGGGGTCTGATCTTTGGATCATCTTCTGGTCGCCAAACTGTGTCAGACATGGTGAGAATAGAAAGATGAAGTAAATTGCAGACAAGGAAGCACGCTGATGGATTGGGCGCTTGATTGATCGGATGACCTTCCTCGGATCCGAGTCGCTGCCCTAGTACTAGTTGTATTTCTGGATCTGAATTCAGCAGTGATGATTTGAAGGAACGACTGTCTTCCTTCTTCTACAGTGGGGCAGTGAAGGATGCCTGCAGATCAACCGCAATGTTCGCGTGACGAGTCCGAGTCCAAAAATTGGTGAACACTAGTGAACCTCACAAGCACCATCATGAGGAAACGCAAAAAATCCTTGCTATTACATATGGACTTTTGTCATAAGACAATGGAAAATCTAAGTATATATATGACGACGCAATTATTCAAACATATTACAATAAGTAGACATGCACCCCAGTATAGTTGAATAGATATCCGCAAGTCACGATTACAACATCCGCCTGCAAAGTTTTACAGCCCACGAGCCTCAAGACGACCACGGAAGATCTTCTGGAACTGCGGGACGTGGTCGAAGTCCATGAGCGTGTAGTGTTGCCCAGGAACGTCAGTATATGACGGCTCGCCCCGGCTGAAGCCAGACCATGGCTTAAGCTGGTTGTTCAACCAGTCAGACTTGCTTCCCTTAAGAGGAATGGCGTAGAAAACATCAACTGCAGCTAAAGAGTGGCGCAATATGTAAGCAAGCGGTTCTGAAATGAGATATGAACGACTTACAAACTGAGCCCGATGGGTTGTAGTCCTTCCCGCACTCAATCAGAGACCCGGCGATGTCCACCCAGTGGTCAAGCTTCTCGGGCGTCAGCTGGAGCTCGACGAGACGGTCAGGAGGCGACAGCTTCCACACCACATCGAGCTGCTCCTTCCTCGTCATCGGTCTCAGAGCAGGAGTCAGATCGTTCGCGTCATGCTTCGACACGAGACCGAGGAAGTACGACAAGTTGAGCATGCCGCCCGTCCAGTCGATCTCGTGCATGCGGTCGGCGATATGAGGAGGAATGTTGATGAGACCGACGAACTTGACTTCGTCGCCCATGGCCTCGAGCCGCTTGGCGACTTCAAACGCGACGACACCGCCGTAACTGTACCCGGCGATGGCGTATGGTCCCGTCTCCTGCGTCCTCTTGACTGCTGCAGCATAGCAGGAAACCATCTCGTCCATGGATGTGAAGAAGGGGTGGCCGGGCTCGAAGCCACGAGCACGGAGAGCGTAGAACGGACGCTCATTCTGGAAGTACTTGGCGAGGTTGACGAAGATGAGAACCTTCTCCGACACCGGGGTGCACGAAGAAGATCGGCGTCTTGCTTCCGGTCAGCTGAAGGGGAACGATCGGGTCGTACTCCTCAGTCTGGCTGTCCTTGGACAGCAGCGCGTTGACGTAGTTGGCCAGGCTCGAGACGACGGGGTGCTTGAGGATTTGAATGGTTGGGATTTCAGGCAGGCCCGAAGTGTTCCTCTCCCTCGCGCTTGAGCCTGGAGATGATATGCGTGAGTCAAGATCGTTTTATGTCAAGGAATGGTGTATTTACCTGATGACATCAATAGAAGTGCCGCCGAGTTCGAAAAAGTTGTCGCTCGCTGAGACCTCGCTTTCCGGGAGGTTGAAGATGCCCTGCATATATCTTGGCAAGCGCCTTCTCCGATCTCGGTGGATGGCGTGACGAACGAAACGCCGCGTGCCTCGCTGAGAAGCTCCTCAGCGCGGGCGATGTGCTTCGCAAGACCTCCTTGCTTGAAGAGGCTGATCAGACGCGCCCGAGACAGCTTTCCGAGAGTGGTCTTCTCCATCTGGTTGACGGGGATAGGAATGACGATCTGGGGAGGCAGAGTGATCATTTTCACAGAGATATCCCGTAAGGCGCGGTGCGTGGCAAACAGTTTCGTTGAGGCATCTGGTCCGTCGAGATCGAAAGTTGGCGAGTAGAAAATGATGAATCCTTCAGTCTCCTGTCCAGGAGCGCGGTAAGGAGCAGCAGGCGAGGAACGAGTGCGTGACGCCTTCAACGGTCTGGAGGTGTGTCTCGAGCTCAGGGATACCATATGAGACACCATGGACGATGACGGTGTCCTTGATACGACCGCTGAGGCGCATGACGCCGTTCTCGACGATGCCTACATCACCGGTGCGGTACCAGCCGCCCTCGACAAAGCTCGAGGACGTGGCCTCGGCGTTGTTGTAGTAGCGTACGAAGACCATCGGTCCGCGGACCTGAAGCTCGCCACTCTCACCGTCGGGGCGCAGGGTAGCACCATCAGCGGGATCAACGATGCGCATCTCGCATCCGTTGATGGGACGTCCGAGATCAAGGAACTCGTGAGCAGGCTCGGTTGCGAGGACATCAACAGGGTCGTAAATGCATCCGGCACTGTAAACACTCGTAAGTTTAAGTTGCGATATGGTTTAATTAGCCTTACCAAGTTTCGGTCATTCCAAATCCAGCAGAGATGACGAACGACACCGCGGAGGGGTTCTCGCTGAGCTTTTTCATTGTAGCAGCAAAGGCTTGCGCGGTTTTGGAAACCACTGCTTCACCTCCGCTGTTGATGCGCTTGATTGAGGATAGGTCGAAGCATCCGTACAGGTCCGTGCGCTTCTCGAGATCACGAGTCAGTTTGGAGAGCAAGAAGTTGGGCGCGAACGCTAGTTCTATGGACTAAAAATAGAATGATGAGGGAAACATTAAAGTTTCGTTGAACGTTGTCATACCTTTTCATCGATCAGACGGAGCAGCCGAAGGGGATCGGCCAGAATGGCAGATGCATGCACGTGGAGTTGCGAAGCACCGTATAGCAGGGGGGTTATGTGCATTTCCAACGATCCCGCGACATGATCAAATCCAACCCCTGACGGTCATAATTAATTTCAAAACCAAGCTTAAATGATGTGCGCCTTACAGTTTAATACTTGAGACTCGGAAGTCAGGCCGTAGCTTTGGCCCTTGGCACGGCAAGCAGCAAGGATGGTACGGTGCGTGTGCACGACCGCCTTTGAGAATCCAGTTGACCCTGAGGTCAGGAATAGAATGGCCTCATCGTCTGGCTTGGCCTCATACGCAACCCAGTCGGCTGCCACGGTAAAGCTCTCTGCAGACGATTTTAATTCGGAGAGCAGGTGAACCTCCAGACCAGAGATCGAGCTGATCTGCTCTGCGCCAACCTCGCTGGTCAGCCAAATAGCTGATCCGAACAAGTTCTTGATATGGGCCACGTGACCCTCCTTGTGCGCCTGTTGTGCGCTAAGTGCCGGCTGCAAGCAGGGCACATACCCAGCCAACAGGCATGCCCACACTGCAGCCATATTGTCTTCGTGCTCGGTCAGGTACACTACAATAACTGACCCTGTGGGCTTTCCCCACTCGAGCATCGCACGTGCAAGGTTGCGAACATTTTGGTTGAACGCGCTGAAAGTCTTTGTCTGTATGGAGGAGTCATGTGCCGAGGAGGTTATGAAACCAAGCTCGTGCAAGGGATACTGGTCGACAGCTTGAGCGATGACGTCGTGGAGAGTATTGGCTTGTGGAGAGACAACAACTGTCTTAAGGGTGCTAACGAATACAGTGGTGGTAGTGGGGGCGACTGCGACGGGTGCCATTGCGAGATGTCGAACTTCTAAAACGGTATGAAAGTTGGAAAAGGAGTCTAGGATGTTGAGTGCGGACCTCCTTGGACGTCCGAGCTTATATACCTCGAAGCCAGAAAGCAGACAGAACCTGGTACTAGCTGGTGGCAGTGATAGGCGCCCATATGTGTTGCAGCTTACACTGCTTTCTCGTAAATGTGCAAAGCGCGACTCATGGCGTGAAACTCACCTAGAATACGTTAGCACGGGGGCTATTCCTTAGAGCTCGCACTGGTAAAGTCCACACTGGCGCACTAGTCCGGTCACCATCGTGACTCTAAGTAGGCGTTCGACGAAATCAAGCAGTCGGCTCTTAGTAACGCGCGATTCATTAATTTGTCATATCAGGCATTCCAAATGCTGATTGGAATTCTTCATCCCATGAGTCCAGGGTCGCTGTGCTAGCCATGCGGCGCGAGCCTTCTGATCTACTAGGCTTGAATCAAATTAGCTTAGCGTTATCATGAAGTTACTCCGCGAGGCCCACTCTACCTTCCATGGGGCCAATGTACCAGAACTAAACCAATGCCCGAAATGGCATTATCAGGGACCTCAAAATAGTAAGACTTTCTGCTGTCGCCTGGCTGAAGTTTGACGATTTGATGCATGAAATTATGGAGTGACTGATCGGATCAAACCACCATCGGTTTTACGCGCAAGATAAGGCGCATGAGGATTGACGATGATGACAGCATATAGGGGTCCACGGCCGCTTTCGTGGGTGGCAAGGAAGATCTGGATCCGCCAGACCACGCCTGCATACAGTCTGAGTAAAGCGCTGTGGGGACTGGCGTTTGGAGAATTGGATAGCGACTCGAAGGACAGAGCGGAGGGGACACACCCTCTGATCGTGCCAAGGCCAAAACTCGAGTTGTGGGATGGGGGAAACACGCAGAATATGAGACCATACATACGAAGAATATGATACCACCAGGGTCAAGTTCTGTTGAGAACTCCCACACGACACGAGGCGGGACCAGATTTGTTAGAGACTGGCGGCGTGTCGGTAGAGATGCGGAATACGAGGGCATTAGGAATCGAGTACGAGGTGCAGTACGATAGGAAGAACTTCAGTTCCAGTCGATGGGAATCATTTGCAGTAATCACTGAAACGGCTGTCGGTCAGCGGGCAAAGCTTTGTTTACAACAACTATCCGAGTCCCGTGAATGGTCCAAGTAGCGCCTTCGACTCGAGCTCTCTGAACGTCCGCTCTCTGAATTGTGAACGCTATCGCCGTGAGCAGTTTACTACGCAACGCAACGACCGCCCACGATCATCAATCCGCGAACTCGTCGGCAGCACGTGCAAGCTACAACTTGGAAATGTGCGCAAGGAATATTCCAGAGTCCAGACCGACTGCCACCAAGGACGACCTCTGGAGGCTCCGACCTGAGAGCGGGGTTTCAAATTATGTCAAAATCGATAATAATAAAAAAGTCAAACAAAAGTTGCCGAAGCGATTGGTAATACGAAGCCTTCCCTGCGTGTCTGCTTTCCTGGTGCTGGCAAGAGCTTCGCGGGGGTGGCACTCAAACTCACATTTGACGGGCCAAATGATAGTAAGGTAGGTAGGTTTGAACCTGTGCCTGCGGATGTGTTTGAATGATTGCTGGTAAGTAAGAAAGCTCGAGGCACTTCATGCTTCGTCGGTTACATAAAATGACACTAAGGGCTGCCACGAGCGCGTTGGCCGCAATTACTCCCTCTATCTAGAGGTCACTTCCTACCGGGCGAGATCTTCCACAATATCAGGTAAGACTCATTTCCCAAGGTGACTGCATGGACGAGTCAATCGATCTACTCCGAAATGCCCTCTGCAAAATAGCACGACACAAAATTCATGTGGAGATGTGCGACGGCTGGTAAGCTGGATCACATCTCAAACACGAGGTATAATTATTCCCAATGACGCCTGGTTTCGCACCGGGCGCGGAATGCTGTGCGGGTGGGCGTTCCGCAAGGCCAAGTATTAGAAAGACCTGATGAACAACGCCGGTGGTACGGCCAGCAATGTTCGATTTCTATCAATGGCGCTGCTGAATTTCCTGCAATCACATTTGATAGTGGGTACGCTCCTCCGGATACATTTCGATATCGTGCACCATGCTCAATAGTGGGGGCCTTCTAGAAAGAATTATCCTGCATCGTTGTTTGTACGGTCGCCGATCTAGAGAGTGATGCATGGCGGGAAGTGCATGAATCATTTGAGTTTGAGATGACTCGCGTGAGTGTGCACTGGTTCGATTCATGTAAGTATGTGTCGGTGCATGTGCTACGATACACTAGAGCGTCCTAAGGACCCTACCAGACTATTGATGAAAGAGGCAACAAGCAGTACCTGGTGAGCATGCTACATCCATGATAGCCGGAGTGTAGTATTGATACGCTTGCTAGGACCGGGGTAACAAGATAGCAAGATAACGATCGATCTGCGCTCAAACTCCATGGAGAGTGCTAAGTATTTATTTATTTATTTCACTGCTTTGGAATCTCCAACCGCAGATCTTTCAGTTCGCGCACCAGGAGATTAATGTCTTTTTTCGTGTCTCGGAAGGACTGAACACGTCAATTATGGCAGATCACGGTCCCAGCCGCTCGAGGACCTTGTGCTCGTCAGATGCCTTCCGGACTCTCTTGGTCATGGTAGATCTGCGGCGTGCGCGCAAACACTACGGGCACTACTGGCAGTTTCATTTTCGAAACCTGACGTACACGTCTGCGTTCGCACCTTTGGGACTCGGGAGTCTTTATTCGATGGGATGGAGTCTAACCAAAGCCAACAGACTTGGTCATAGTTACATCTAGGAACTGCCTCCGGTTATCTGCAATTCCCGTGGGCCGTGAAGGTTTTTCATCGAAAAGCAGTCATCCTTCTCCGACTTGTGTGTAAAATTGCCGGTTACTTGGGTCGCCCGCTGTTTCGGAGCTGCTGTGTATCCGAATTTTACCTGACAACTTCCATTGATTGTGGTATGCAGCCCATCAGAACATAGTTGGCTGTCAGCGACCTATCTCGAACTATTCGCTCATCGAAGCAGTTTACTTTCCATGGTGCTCAATGTTGACATTGATAACCTGCTGGTGTTTTCCCCTCTTCTTCACTGCCAATGGCGTGGTACACATTTTGCCAGTCGTGCTCCTCATGCTCCGTCAACTTCATTTCCTTCATACCTCGCCAATTCATGCTCAAACACGCAACTTCTGCGGAATATCTACGACATTTCGTACTTCACTGATCGCGGTGTGCCAATCGACAACCCCCCTGCACAGCGTAACCTTGGAGGCTGCTCGTGCATACTCCTAGTACATGTATTTCCGCCCTGTCTTTGCTGCGGCATAAGTAACAGCATGCTAGCGAGGTCCCTCATGGGTCATTTGTTAAACTCCCGGTGCAACAACCTTGCGTGTTTCGTTTAGAACCTTCAACCCTGGCAGAAGTGCGGAGGCAACCGTGAAAGTGTGAGTCTATATATTGTAGACACCACCCTTGTCTGGTTCCTTTGTCCCCGCACTCGCATACTCGACCTTTTTAACATCTGATTTATTATAGGGTTATGTAGATAGAGTACATACAGTTTGCTAGTTATGTATAATATTTGTTCATACATCGGAATGATTACAGCTCTTTGCATAAAGGATGGCACTGGCGTGAAATTTTCGTTCAATTAGGAAATGTTAGACTTAGTGAAATTTTGCTCGTGTACGCTCATACTCATACTACCCTTACATTATCATCTTCGCAACATGGGATTTCGCAAGATCAGTCGTGATGTGAAACTTGCGGCAATCCGACTCCATGAACGGAACCTTCTAAGTCTTCGTGATATCCTAGATTGCTGCGGATTTTCCAGACGCACTTGGTTTCGGATTTTGAAGCTCTGGCACGAAACCGGCGATGTCGTGGACCGTCAGCCTAACACAGCAATGCGTAGTCGTCTGCGTGCTCTCGATCGTGAAGATATCGATTGCCTGCTTCGCCTTGTAAGGCAGAATGCCATAGGTCCATGTAGTAGGGATCATTAGTCACAGCTTTTAGTTCCACGCTTTCGCTTTTTGGACATGGTCGGAGGTGGTGTAAGGATCTCCATGGGCTGGGACTGTTCAAGCTCGTCATCTTCGCCGTCGTCATCAGAGTCAGGTTCCTCTTCCTCCGAAAGTTCTTTCATTCGAATATCGTCCTCATCGGACCCATTGGAATCAAGGTCACTGTCATGCTCTAGCAGGCTCTTGTGTTTTTTTGGAGGCAGGAATAGCTATAAACGGCATGATGATAATGAATTACAGGGGATGTGAGTGTACAATGAGCAAAATTTCACTAAGTCTAACATTTCCTAATTGAACGAAAATTTCACGCCGGTGCCATCTTTTATGCAAAGAGCTGTAAATAAAGATTGGTTCGCGACCTGTGCCTGCTGCTGTTGAAGGATAATGGGACGTAGAGCTGCGGAAGCCGACCTGCCGACCTCAATCCTAGCATCCCTAACGACGACCGTGAGTTTTGCATTCTTTCAGCCAGGTACTGTAACGGTGGTCGACTGACACCTCAGTTCGTTGAGGTACACCTGCTTAGAAGGACGCATTGACCCCGATGGTTATCTACTTGCCTTTTTCCATACGCTTGTCACCGTCCTTGTGTACGAGGAGATTGACGCTGGAACCAGGGTAGTTGCTGACATCCGTACTGAGAACGATCAAGGGTTGCACAGCGCGCACTTGGGTTCCCGAGATAACTAACGTCACGATCTGATTCTTGATAGATGCTTGCCTATGCTTGCTCCGTGGTAAACCGCGAATTCTCTTTGATACTTTTGGAGTACAACGAAGGGCTCTTTTCATCGTACTTGTTGTAGTGACCAGATGATTGCCGGTCACATGATGGGGTTGTTGGTCGTGAATATGATCCCCAGATGAAACTTGGATCGAGCGGACCTCACGGAATCGACAGCAATGCTTGACCAGACTTCTCTGCGGTAGAGTTAAAGACCATAGTATTCACTAAGCGAATGATGAATCAGTTTCTCGCTTGGGTTGGTGAGATGGCGAGACCTACCAGTGTTTGAAGACATTTCGCATGTGTAAGGCACAGAAATGCCAAAATGATTAAAATGATCGTTGTAAGTTCTGTCTTGTAGAGTTGTATATACACTATCCTGGGATGCCAATTTTGTTCGTTTGTACTGGCAAGGTCCTCATCTACATCTGATCAGTTTGAGAGTGTTTGAACCGTTCGGAACGATTCAGGACCAAAGGGGAAACAGTTTGAGGCACAACCATACTTCGGTTCGGTCAGGTCTGCGGGCATCACACTGAGAGTGGACCGAATTGACCAGAATCAGAATGCCGTGATATGACATTGGACAGTCCGATCCACCAATTGGATACGTGCTAAACGAGCCTGAGACCATCACGCCGATTCTTGGAAGCAAGGATATTCGAAAATCTGATATTCATAAAAGATTTCGAGTCGTCGCTACAACGGTTCGGGCCCCGAGGGAATCCTAAGGAATCCAGCGGCCAGTGCCTTGCCAAGAAGTCATGTCATCGTCCCGTGCGCTCCGTGCCAGAAGTCAGATGTTTTTAAAGTCTATATGGCCACTGGCAGGCGCGACGGATGATTCAGGCGATAAGTAACACGAGGTCAGTCCAATAGGTTAATATTCGATGAACATGTAAATTTTGATGCTGTTCGATGGATGGGCTGTGGAGGGGTAGTCAAGTACTGCAGTGGCGGCGTACATGTACAGGTTACGTTTGTTTGGCAACACCTTGCGAAATAAACAAACGCCTGATCACATGACGAGCGATGCATGTGTTGAGCAGGACATGCTAGAGCACTGACCGTGAGGGATCATCGATCAAACGTAATGCTCGTGTTCATAATTCAAAACCGTTGGCAAAAATCACAAGTACCATATAGACATTGTTAAAAAGTTAAGACTAAAAAATCCATTATGTACTTTTGTCAGAAGACAACTATAATCTACATGACGACGCAATTATTCTAACACTGCATTAAGTAGGAAACATATCACTCCGAGTATAATTGATAGATGCTTGAAAGTCATCGGCACAAGACAGACACGATTACAACCCCTCCAATATTTTACAGCCCACGAGCCTCAAGACGACCACGGAAGATCTTCTGGAACTGCGGGACGTGGTCGAAGTCCATGAGCGTGTAGTGTTGCCCAGGAACGTCAGTATATGACGGCTCGCCCCGGCTGAAGCCAGACCATGGCTTAAGCTGGTTGTTCAACCAGTCAGACTTGCTTCCCTTAAGAGGAATGGCGTAGAAAACATCAACTGCAGCTAAAGAGTGGCGCAATATGTAAGCAAGCGGTTCTGAAATGAAATATGAACGACTTACAAACTGAGCCCGATGGGTTGTAGTCCTTCCCGCACTCAATCAGAGACCCGGCGATGTCCACCCAGTGGTCAAGCTTCTCGGGCGTCAGCTGGAGCTCGACGAGACGGTCAGGAGGCGACAGCTTCCACACCACATCGAGCTGCTCCTTCCTCGTCATCGGTCTCAGAGCAGGAGTCAGATCGTTCGCGTCATGCTTCGACACGAGACCGAGGAAGTACGACAAGTTGAGCATGCCGCCCGTCCAGTCGATCTCGTGCATGCGGTCGGCGATATGAGGAGGAATGTTGATGAGACCGACGAACTTGACTTCGTCGCCCATGGCCTCGAGCCGCTTGGCGACTTCAAACGCGACGACACCGCCGTAACTGTACCCGGCGATGGCGTATGGTCCCGTCTCCTGCGTCCTCTTGACTGCTGCAGCATAGCAGGAAACCATCTCGTCCATGGATGTGAAGAAGGGGTGGCCGGGCTCGAAGCCACGAGCACGGAGAGCGTAGAACGGACGCTCATTCTGGAAGTACTTGGCGAGGTTGACGAAGATGAGAACTTCTCCGACACCGGGGTGCACGAAGAAGATCGGCGTCTTGCTTCCGGTCAGCTGAAGGGGAACGATGGGGTCGTACTCCTCAGTCTGGCTGTCCTTGGACAGCAGCGCGTTGACGTAGTTGGCCAGGCTCGAGACGACGGGGTGCTTGAGGATTTGAATGGTTGGGATTTCAGGCAGCCCAAAGTGTTCCTCTCCCTCGCGCTTGAGCCTGGAGATGATATGCGTGAGTCAAGATCGTTTTATGTCAAGGAATGGTGTATTTACCTGATGACATCAATAGAAGTGCCGCCGAGTTCGAAAAAGTTGTCGCTCGCTGAGACCTCGCTTTCCGGGAGATTGAAGATGCCTGCATATATCTTGGCAAGCGCCTTCTCCGACTCGGTGGATGGCGTGACGAACGAAACGCCGCGTGCCTCGCTGAGAAGCTCCTCAGCGCGGGCGATGTGCTTCGCAAGACCTCCTTGCTTGAAGAGGCTGATGAGACGCGCCCGAGACAGCTTTCCGAGAGTGGTCTTCTCCATCTGGTTGACGGGGATAGGAATGACGATCTGGGGAGGCAGAGTGATCATTTTCACAGAGATATCCCGTAAGGCGCGGTGCGTGGCAAACAGTTTCGTTGAGGCATCTGGTCCGTCGAGATCGAAAGTTGGCGAGTAGAAAATGATGAATCCTTCAGTCTCCTGTCCAGGAGCGCGGTAAGGAGCAGCAGCGAGGAACGAGTGCGTGACGCCTTCAACGGTCTGGAGGTGTGTCTCGAGCTCAGGGATACCATATGAGACACCATGGACGATGACGGTGTCCTTGATACGACCGCTGAGGCGCATGACGCCGTTCTCGACGATGCCTACATCACCGGTGCGGTACCAGCCGCCCTCGACAAAGCTAGACGACGTGGCCTCGGCGTTGTTGTAGTAGCGCACGAAGACCATCGGTCCGCGGACCTGAAGCTCGCCACTCTCACCGTCGGGGCGCAGGGTAGCACCATCAGCGGGATCAACGATGCGCATCTCGCATCCGTTGATGGGACGTCCGAGATCAAGGAACTCGTGAGCAGGCTCGGTTGCGAGGACATCGACAGGGTCATAAATGCATCCGGCACTGTAGAGGCCCATCAGTTCAGATACCGATATGATTATAAGTATCCTTACCAAGTTTCAGTCATTCCAAATCCAGCAGAGATGACGAACGACACCGCAGAGGGGTTCTTGCTAAGCTTTTTCATCGTAGCAGCAAAGGCTTGCGCGGTCTTGGAAACCACAGCTTCACCTCCGCTGTTGATACGCTTGATTGAGGACAGGTCGAAGCATCCGTATAGGTCCGTGCGTTTCTCGAGATCACGAGTCAGCTTAGAAAGCAAGAAGTTGGGCGCGAACGCTAGTTCTATGGACTAAAAATAGAATGATGAGAGAAACATTAAAGTTTCGTTGAATGTTGTCATACCTTTTCATCGATCAGACGGAGCAGCCGAAGAGGATCGGCCAGAATGGCAGATGCATGCACGTGGAGTTGCGAAGCACCATATAGCAGGGGTGTGATGTGCATCTCCAATGATCCTGCGACGTGATCAAATCCTACCCCTGCATCATGGTTAATTTCAGAAGAAAGTTTAAATGACGTGCGCCTTACAGTTCAACACTTGAGACTCGGAAGTCAGGCCGTAGCTTTGGCCCTTGGCATGGCAAGCAGCAAGGATGGTACGGTGCGTGTGCACGACCGCCTTTGAGAATCCAGTTGACCCTGAGGTCAGGAATAGAATGGCCTCGTCATCCGGCTTGGCCTCATATGCAACCCAGTCGGCTGGTACGGTAAAGCTCTCTGCAGACGATTTTAATTCGGAGAGCAGGTGAACCTCCAGACCAGAGATCGAGCTGATCTGTTCAGCACCAAGCTCACTGGTGAGCCAAATAGCTGATCCGAACAAGTTCTTGATATGGGCCACGTGACCCTCCTTGTGCGCCTGCTGTGCGCTAAGTGCCGGCTGCAAGCAGGGAACATACCCAGCCAACAGGCATGCCCAGACTGCAGCCATGTTGTCTTCGTGCTCGGTCAGGTACACTACAACAACTGACCCTGTGGGCTTTCCCCACTCGAGCATCGCACGTGCAAGGTTGCGAACATATTGATTGAATGCGGTGAAAGTCTTCGTCTGTATGGAGGAGTCATGTGCCGAGGAGGTTATGAAACCAAGCTCGTGTAAGGGATACCGGCCAGCAGCTTGAGCGATGACGTCGTGGAGAGTATTAGCTTGTGGAGAGACAACAGATGTCTTGAGGGTGGTAACGGATTCAGTGGTGGTAGTGGGGGCGACTGCGACGGGTGCCATTGCAAGGTGTCGAACTTCTAAAATGGTATGAGAGTTGGAAAAGGAGTCTAGGATGTTGAGTGCGGACCTCCTTGGACGTCCGAGCTTATATACCTCGAAGCCAGAAAGCAGACAGAACCTGGTACTAGCTGGTGGCAGTGATAGGCGCCCATATGTGTTGCAACTTACACTGCTCTCTCGCAAATATGTAAGGCGCGAATCATGGCGTGAAACACACCTAGAATACGTTAGCACGGGGGCTATTCCTTAGAGCTCGCACTAGTACAGTCCACACAGGCGCACTAGTCCGGTCACTATCGTGACTCTAAGTAGACGTCCGGCAGAATCAAACGGTCGGCTCTTAGTAACGCGCGATTCATTAATTTGTCATATCAGGCATTGCAAATGCTGATTGGAATTCTTCATCCCGTGAGTCCAGGGTCGCTGTGCTAGCCATGCGGCGCGAGCCTTCTGATCTACTACAGTGCCGACTGAAAGCTTTCATGCTGTGTCCTAATAATGACGAAACTAATCTGAATCAAATAGCTTAGCGTTGTCATGAAGTTACTCCGCGAGGCCCACTCTACCTTCCATGGGGCCAATGTACCAGAACTAAACCAATGCCCGCAAGGGCATTATCATGGTTTGTGAACAGGCGAGGGACCCCAAAATAGTAAGACTTTCTACTGTCGTCTGGCTGAAGTTTGGCGGTTTCAAGCGTGAAATTATGGAGTGACTGATCGGATCAAACCACCATCGGTTTTACGCGGAAGACAAGGCGCACGAGGATTGACGATGATGACAGCATATAGGGGTCCACGGTCGCTTTCGTGGGTGGCAAGGAAGATCTGGATCCGCTAGACCACGCCTGCATACAGTCTGAGTAAAGCGCTGTGGGGACTGGCGTTTGGAGAATCAGATAGCGACTCGAAGGACAGAGCGGAGGGCACACACCCTCTGATCGTACCGAGGCCAAAACTCGAGTTGTGGGATGGGGGAACACGCAGAATACGAGACCATACATACGAAGAATATGATACCACCAGGATCGAGTTCCGTTGAGAACTCCCACGCGACACGAGGCAGGACCAGATTTGTTAGAGACTGACGGCGTGTCGGTAGAGATGCGGAATACGAGGGCATTAGGAATCGAGTACGAGGTGCAGTACGATAGGAAGAACTTCAGTTCCAGTCGATGGGAATCATTTGCAGTAATCACTGAAACGGCTGCCGGTCAGCGGGCAAAGCTTTCCCTTCAACAACTATCCAAGTCCCGTGGATGGTCCAAGTAGCGCCTGTAACTCGAGCTCTCTGAACGTCAGCTCTCTGAATTGTGAACGCTATCGCCGTGAGCAGTTTACTACGCAACGCAACGACCGCTCACGATCCTCCATCCGCGAACTCGTCGACAGCACATGCAAGCTACGACTTGGAAATGTGCGCAAGGAATATTCCTGAGTCCAGACCGACTGCCACCAAGGACGACCTCCGACCTGAGAGCGGGGTTTTAAATTATGTCAAAATTGACAAAAAAAAAAAGTCAATCAAATCAAACCAAAGTTGCCGAAGCAATCGGTAATACGAAGCCTGCCCTGCGTGTCTGCTTTCCTGGTGCTGGCAGGAGCTTCGCCGAGCTGGCACTCAAACTCACATTTGACGGGCCAAATGATAGCAAGGTAGGTAGGCTTGAACCTGTGTCTGCTGTGTTTGAACGATTGCTAGTAAATAAGAAAACTCGAGGCACTTCACACTTCGTCGGTTGCATAAAATGACACTGAGGGCTGCCACGAGCGCGTTGGCCATAATTACTCCCTCTATCTAGAGGTCACTTCCTATCGGGTGAGATCTTCCACGATATCAGGCAAGACTCATTTCTCAACATCAGCAAAACACTTTTTTTCCCACCACCAAAAAATAGCTGGCCACAGCTTGGTCCCTTCTGTACAGAGCTGTACAGAGCCCACAGAGGCAAAGTGATTTGCTGATGAAGGTGAACGCATGGACGAGTCAATCGATCTAACCCGAAATGCCCTCTGCAAAACAGTGTGACACAAAATTCGTGTAGAGATGTGCGGCGGCTGGTAAGCTGGATCACATCTCAAACACGAGGTTTAATTATTCCCAATGACACCTGATTTCGCACCAGGCGCGGAATGCTGTGCGGGCGGGCGTTCTGCAGGGCTGAGTATTAGAAAGACTTGATGAACAACGCCGGTGGTACGGCCAGTAATATTCGATTTCTATCAATGGCGCTGCTGGTTTCTTGCAATCCCATTTTATAGTGGGTACGCTCCTCCGGATACATTTCGATATCGTGCACCATGCTCAATAGTGGGGGCCTTCTAGAAAGAATTATCCTACATCGTTGTTTATACGGTCGCCGATCTAGAGAGGTACGCATGGCGGGAAGTGCATGAATGATTTGAGTTTGAGATGACTCGCGTGAGTGTGGACTGGTTCGATTCATGTAAGTATGTGTCAGTGCATGTGCTACGACACGCTAGAACGTCCTAAGGGCACACTATTGATAAAAGAGGCAACAAGCAGTACCTGGTGAGCATGCTACATCCATGATAGCCGGAGTGTAGTATTGATACGCTTGCTAGGACCGGGGTAACAAGATAGCAAGATCACGGTAGATCTGCGCTCAAACTCCATGGAGAGTGCTAAGTATTTATTTATTTTTTTCACCGCTTTGGAATCTCCAACCGCAGATCTCTCAGTTCGCGCATCAAGAGATTAATGCCTTTTTTCGTGTCTCGGAACTGAACACGTCAATTATGGCAGATCACGGTTCCAGCCGCTCGAGGACCTTGTGCTCGTCAGATGCCTTCCGAACTCTCTTGGTCATGGTAGATCTGCGGCGTGCGCGCAAACACCACGGGCACTACTGGCGATTTAATTTTCGAAACATGACGTACACGTCTGCGTTCACACCTCTGGGACTTGGGAGTCTTGGCTTATTCGATGGAATGAGGTCTGATGAAGTTTATCCAAAGCCAATAGACTTGGTCATAGTTACATCTAGGAAATGCCTCCGGTTATCTGCAATTCCCGTGGAAGGTTTTCATCGAAAAACAGTTGTCCTTCTCCGACTTCTGTCTGAAATTCCCGGTTACTTGTGTCGACTCGCCCGCTATCTCGGAGCTGCTGTATATCCGAATGTTACCTGACTACTTCCATCAATTGCGGTATGCAGCCCATCAGAACATAGTTGGCTGTCAGCGAACTATCTCGAACTATTCGCTCATCGAAGCAGTTTACTTTCCATGGTGCTCAATGTTGACGTTGATAACCTGCTGGTGTTTTCCCCTCTTTCTTCACTGCCAATGGCGTGGTACGCATTTTTCCAGTCGTGCTCCTCATGCTCCGTCAACTTCATTTCCTTCATACCTCGCCAATTCATGGTCAAACACGCAACCTCTGCGGCATATCTACGACATTTCGTACTGCACTGATCACGGTGTGCCAATTGACAACCCCCCTGCACAGCGTAACCTTGGAGGCTGCTCGTGCATATTCCTAGTACATATATTTCCGTCCTGTCTTTGCTGCGGCATAAGTGACAGCATGCTAGTGAGGCCCTCATGGGTCATTTGTTAGACTCCCGGTGCAACAACCTTGCGTGTTTCGTTTAGAACCTTCAACCCTGGCAGAAGTGCGGAGGCAACCGTGAAAGTGTGAGTCTATATATTGCGCTTGTCTCGTTCCTTTGTCCCCGCACTCGCACACTCGACCTTTTTAACATCTGATTTATTATAGGGTCATGTAGATAGAGTACATGCAGTATGCTAGTTATGTATAATGTTTATTCATGCATCGGAATAATTAAATAAAGACTGGTTCGCGACCTGTGCCTGCTGCTGTTGAAGGATAATGGGACGTAGAGCTGCGGAAGCCGACCTGTCGACCTCAATTCTAGCATTCCTAACGATGACCGTGAGTTTTGCATTCTTTCAGCCAGGTACTGTAATGGTAGTCGACTGACACCTCAGTTCGTTGAGGTACACCTGCTTAGAAGGACGCATTAACCCCGATGGTTATCCACTAGCCTTTTTCCATACGCCTGTGACTGTCCTTGTGTACGAGGAAATTGACGCTGGAACCAGGGTAGTTGCTGACATCCGTACTGAGAACGATCAAGGGTTCTGCAGTGCGCACTTAACGTCATGATCTGATTCTTGATAAATGGTTGCCTATGCTCACTCCACGGTAAACCGCGAATTCTCGTTGATATATTTGGAGTACGACGAAGGGCTCTTTTCATCGTACTTGTTGTAGTGACCAGAGGATTGCCGGTCACATGATGGGGTTGTCGGTCGTGAATATTGATTCTGAGATTAGACTTGCATCGAGCGGACCTCACGGAATCGACAGCAATGCTTGACCAGACTTCTCTGCGGTAGAGTTAGTATTCACTAAGCGAATGATGAGTCAGTTTCTCGCTTGGGTTGGTGAGATGGCGAGACCTACCAGTGATCAGATGTAGATGAGGACGTTGCCAGTACAAACGAACAAAACTGGCATCCCAGGATAGTATATATACAACTTTACAAGACAGAACTTACAACGATCATTTTCATCATTTTGGCATTTCTGTGCCTTACACATGCGAAATGTCTTCAAACAGTTTGAGAGTGTTTGAACCGTTCGGAACGATTCAGGGCCACAGGGGAAACAGTTTGAGGCACAACCATACTTCGGTTCGGTCAGGTCTGCGGGCATCACACTGATGGCAGTGGACCGAATTGTCCAGAATGAGAATGCCGTGATATGACATTGGACAGTCTGGTCCACCAATTAGATGGGTGCTAAACGAGCCTGAGACCATCATGCCGATTCTTGGAAGCAAGGATATTCGAAAATCTGACATTCATAAAAGGTTTCGAGTCGTGGCGACAACGGTTCGGGCCCCGAGGAAATGCTAAGGAATCCAGCGGCCAGTGCCTTGCCAAGAAGTCATGCCATCGTTCCCGTGCTCTCCGTGCCAGAAGTCAGATGTTTTTCAAGTCTATATGGCCACTGGCGGGCGCGACTGATGGTTCAGGCGATAAGCAACATGAGACCAGTCCAGTGGCAGCGCACATGTATAAGTTACGTTTGTTTGGCAACACCTTGCGAAATAAACAAACGCCTGATCACATGACGAGCGATGCAGGTGTTGGGCAGGACATGCTAGCACTGACCGTGAGGGATCATCGATCAACCGCAATACTCGTATTCATAATTCAAAACCGTTGGCAAAAATCACAAGCACCATATAGACATTGTTAAGAAGTTAAGACCAAGAAATCCATATGTACTTTTGTCAGAAGACAACCATAATCTACATGACGACGCAATTATTCTAACACTGCATTAAGTAGGAAACATATCACTCCGAATATAATTAATAGTGCTTGAAAATCATCGGCGCAAGACAGACGCGATTACAACCCCTCCAATATTTTACAGCCCACGAGCCTCAAGACGACCACGGAAGATCTTCTGGAACTGCGGGACGTGGTCGAAGTCCATGAGCGTGTAGTGTTGCCCAGGCACGTCAGTATATGACGGCTCGCCCCGGCTGAAGCCAGACCATGGCTTGAGCTGGTTGTTCAACCAGTCAGACTTGCTTCCCTTAAGAGGAATGGCGTAGAAAACATCAACTGCAGCTAAAGAGTGGCGCAATATGTAAGCAAGCGGTTCTGAAATGAGATATGAACGACTTACAAACTGAGCCCGATGGGTTGTAGTCCTTCCCGCACTCGATCAGAGACCCGGCGATGTCCACCCAGTGGTCAAGCTTCTCGGGCGTCAGCTGGAGCTCGACGAGACGTTCAGGAGGCGACAGCTTCCACACCACGTCAAGCTGCTCCTTCCTCGTCATCGGTCTCAGAGCAGGAGTCAGATCGCTCGCGTCATGCTTCGACACGAGACCGAGGAAGTACGACAAGTTGAGCATGCCGCCCGTCCAGTCGATCTCGTGCATGCGGTCGGCGATATGAGGAGGAATGTTGATGAGACCGACGAACTTGACTTCGTCGCCCATGGCCTCGAGCCGCTTGGCGACTTCAAACGCGACGACACCGCCGTAACTGTACCCGGCGATGGCGTATGGTCCCGTCGCCTGCGTCCTCTTGACTGCGGCGGCATAGCAAGAAACCATCTCGTCCATGGATGTGAAGAAGGGGTGGCCGGGCTCGAAGCCACGAGCACGGAGAGCGTAGAACGGACGCTCATTCTGGAAGTACTTGGCGAGGTTGACGAAGATGAGAACCTCTCCGACACCGGGGTGCACGAAGAAGATCGGCGTCTTGCTTCCGGTCAGCTGAAGGGGAACGATCGGGGTCGTACTCCTCAGTCTGGCTGTCCTTGGACAGCAGCGCGTTGACGTAGTTGGCCAGGCTCGAGACGACGGGATGCTTGAGGATTTGAATGGTTGGGATTTCAGGCAAGCCGAAGTGTTCCTCTCCCTCGCGCTTGAGCCTGGAGATGATATGCGTGAGTCAAGATCATTTTATGTCAAGGAATGGTGTATTTACCTGATGACATCAATAGAAGTACCTCCGAGTTCGAAAAAGTTGTCGCTCGCTGAGACCTCGCTTTCCGGAAGGTTGAAGATGCCTGCATATATCTTTGCAAGCGCCTTCTCCGACTCGGTGGATGGGGTGACAAACGAAACGCCGCGTGCCTCGCTGAGAAGCTCCTCGGCGCGGGCGATGTGCTTCGCAAGACCTCCTTGCTTGAAGAGGCTGATGAGACGCGCCCGAGACAGTTTCCCGAGAGTGGTCTTCTCCATCTGGTTGACGGGGATAGGAATGACGATCTGGGGAGGCAGAGTGATCATTTTCACAGAGATATCCCGTAGGGCGCGGTGCGTGGCAAATAATTTCGTTGAGGCATCTGGGTCGTCGAGGTCGAAAGTTGGCGAGTAGAAAATGATGAATCCTTCAGTCTCCTGTCCAGGAGCGCGGTAAGGAGCAGCAGCGAGGAACGAGTGCGTGACGCCTTCAACGGTCTGGAGGTGTGTCTCGAGCTCAGGGATACCATACGAGACACCGTGGACGATGACGGTGTCCTTGATACGACCGCTGAGGCGCATGACGCCGTTCTCCACGATGCCTACATCACCGGTGCGGTACCAGCTGCCCTCGACAAAGCTAGAGGATGTGGCCTCGGCGTTGTTGTAGTAGCGCACAAAGACCATCGGTCCGCGAACCTGAAGCTCGCCACTCTCACCGTCGGGGCGCAGGGTGGCACCATCAGCGGGGTCAACGATGCGCATCTCGCATCCGTTGATGGGACGTCCGAGATCAAGGAACTCGTGAGCAGGCTCTGTTGCGAGGACATCGACAGGGTCGTAAATGCATCCGGCACTGTAGAGGCCCATCAGTTGAGATACCGATATGATTATAAGTATCCTTACCAAGTTTCAGTCATTCCAAATCCAGCAGAGATGACGAACGACACCGCGGAGGGGTTCTTGCTAAGCTTTTTCATCGTAGCAGCAAATGCTTGCGCGGTCTTGGAAACCACAGCTTCACCTCCGCTGTTGATGCGCTTGATTGAGGATAGGTCGAAGCATCCGTATAGGTCCGTGCGTTTCTCGAGATCACGAGTCAGCTTAGAAAGCAAGAAGTTGGGAGCGAATGCCAGTTCGATAGACTAAAAATAGGCTGGTAAGAAACGTTAAGGTTCGGTTCGATGTTGACATACCTTTTCGTCAATCAAACGGAGCAGCCGAAGAGGATCGGCCAGAATGGCAGATGCATGCACGTGGAGCTGCGAAGCACCGTATAGCAGGGGGGTTATGTGCATTTCCAACGATCCCGCGACATGATCAAATCCGACCCCTGACGGTCATAATTAATTTCAAAACCAAGCTTAAATGATGTGCGCCTTACAGTTTAATACTTGAGACTCGGAAGTCAGGCCGTAGCTTTCGCCCTTGGCACGGCAAGCGGCAAGGATGGTGCGGTGCGTGTGCACGACCGCCTTTGAGAATCCGGTTGACCCTGAGGTCAGGAATAGAATGGCTTCATCGTCCGGCTTGGCCTCATATGCAACCCAGTCGGCTGCCACGGTAAAGCTCTCTGCAGACGATTTTAATTCGGAGAGCAGGTGAACCTCCAGACCAGAGATCGAGCTGATCTGTTCAGCCCCAAGCTCGCTAGTGAGCCAAATAGCTGATCCGAACAAGTTCTTGATGTGGGCCACGTGACCCTCCTTGTGCGCCTGCTGTGCGCTAAGTGTCGGCTGCAAGCAGGGCACATACCCAGCCAACAGGCATGCCCAGACTGCAGCCATATTGTCTTCGTGCTCGGTCAGGTACACTACAATAACTGACCCTGTGGGCTTTCCCCACCCGAGCATCGCACGTGCAAGGTTGCGAACATATTGATTGAATGCGGTGAAAGTCTTTGTCTGTATGGAGGAGTCATGTGTCGAGGATGTTATGAAACCAAGCTCGTGTAAGGGATACCGGCCAGCAGCTTGAGCGATGACGTCGTGGAGAGTATTAGCTTGTGGAGAGACAACAGATGTCTTGAGGGTGGTACCGGATTCAGTGGTGGTAGTGGGGGCGACTGCGACGGGTGCCATTGCAAGGTGTCGAACTTCTAAAATGGTATGAGAGTTGGAAAAGGAGTCTAGGATGTTGAGTGCGGACCTCCTTGGACGTCCGAGCTTATATACTCCGAAGTCAGGACTCAGAAGGCAGCGGTGAGCTTACGGAATCTTCTGCTAGCAAAGTGGCTGAGCAGACAAGTCAAATATTTCGTTGCAACATACACCGCACAGATTACTGGCCAGGCGGGCTATCGTGAGCGAAATAACCGGGAAGAAAATAATGATGCGAAATACCTGGAATGCGTTAGCACGCGGCTATTCTGTGGAGTCCACACTTGTAGTAATAAAGTCAAAACTTGCCAATCCATATGGTCACTATCGTCCAGCGCTCTAATGAACCCGTCGGATATCAGGGAGTCCATTCTGCTCCATTTGACAATGTTTCATTTCGGGTATTGCAAAATCTTATTGAGTTCCTTCAAATCAGCCTTCATCCCGTGAGTTTAGGATAACGGACCGATCGCGAGCTATGATAGATAGCCTTACATAGCTCGTCTCATTACAAGATACATCGCCGAATGGCTTTCAAACGCGGTAGCAACGTCCTTGATATGATAGATCTACACAGCCGTGATGCATACTATTCGGCGTATCTCCGTTAGTCCGCTAGTCGAAATAAGTTAGATCAGCTGCGTCGTGAGGTGCACAATTGGGCTCACGCTGCCTTCCAAGTGGAAAACCTTGGCAAACGCCCCAGAAGGTCCAGAAGGCCCCAGAGCCATACTAATTCCCAAAAAACCTCCGTGTAGGTTTCATGAAAGGTGATGAATCGCGAACTGGCATAACCGATCATTCTCTGATTACGTAATCTATTCCCGAAAAGGGAACCTTCAACCGACAACTTGTGCCGCGCGGTGGTTGTCTAAGCTTGTCTCGTATTATGGAAATACCGCACTAGGTACCAGCCCTCTCTTGTGCACTTCAAGGAGCCTCAGATCTGCTTACATTCTACTATGGGCAGATTACACCTACCCTGTTGAGCTCAATTGGTGCCCTGTAGCACATGTCGCTCAAAAGTCCTAGTCAAGACCAACCTTTTCTGGATCGGTCGCGAAATGTCCGGGCATCGTTGATCAAACTTTTTCGAGAGGCGGGCTTTCCTGTCATGATGTCGATCCACTATGTGTCGCCGCCCTATGACTCATTCGCATCATTGGACCTGGACAGCACTGGATCCGCTCGTTAGTCTAATCTGTCATGTCAACCTGATATAGTTCGGTTTCAAGCGTGCACTTATCTATGACCATGATCCATCCTCGCGATTTCGTGCAACCGCTTCTCGTGCCGTGTGGGAGTCGGTGTTAGCGTTGCAATTCAGAATGATGAACATGTCTATGATAGTTGACAGTTAGCATCTCCGATGGTCAGAGGCTGGTACTGAGGCCTGAGGAATTGATCAGGAGCATCACAGATTCCTTTGATCGGAAACTTACCCTCCTGTGTGCACGATACCTGAGGACACCTATTGGATACCTAGTGCAACTGTTTGAGAAGGTTTGGAACCAATATCCATCTTTGAGTGACGTCAAGGTTGTCCATGTCACTCAATAGAATTTCAAAGGCACCTTAAGGCTATTCAGTCTGTATGTACTATGATCAAGCTTAGCTAGCGTATTCTCGCAACTAGCGACAACCGAGTCGAACCAAGCCAAATTTCAGGTTCACGAGCAGTTCGTTGCTGAGTCTCGCAGACAGTATTTGACCGATGCGCGCTTGGGGCGTTCTATGACAGTCTATGTACAGCAGCCACATGTGATAAGGCCTAGGCGGTGTGAAATGCAACAACACTAGTTCCTGCTCCATTTAGAGCTGTGGCTTTAGCTTGCCTCGAGCAGGAAACCCTACTAATCACCGGATACCATGTCATCATTGCGATGACCTACCAACTCCAGTGGCTTTCCCGTCTTATCAATCCCTCTGTGCCTTTCAAGTCAAGGCGTATTGGTCATTTCCTCCAGTGAGTTTATTGCCTGTACTGGTTTAACCATTTCGTTGCTCAGAACATCCCAGTCGTCAAATCGCCATGCAAGCTCTCAAGTTTGAGAAGACTGGATCCTTGGATGGTCTTTCTTTGGACATCGTCGACAAACCCATTTTACGTCCCGGTGAGGCTCTGGTACGTATCAGAGCTGCCGGTGTCAACGGGGTAAGCCTCCCACTTGGGACCATACCGCACAAAGAGCCTAATCATCATCAGTCCGATGCTGCAGCCGTCTTGGGCATGCTTCCATTTGTGACCACCCCGCGCATCCCTGGCAGAGATTTCTCCGGCGAAGTCGTTGAAGCACTGGACGAAGCCGGGACCTCAAGCCAGGAGTGGATCGGTGCAGAGGTATGGGGAACGGGCAGCGAGAGGGGCTTCACTTCGGATGGAACATTCTCTCAGTAAGTCTTTTACATATATATTGTCTTTTGCTTTTCCAGACGGACGCTTGGTAGATATGTCGCTGTCCCTATCGTTGCGCTGAGCCGGAAACCCGCAACTCTTGACCACTCCAAGGCTGGCAGCATGACGCTACCGTGGCTATGTGCCTGGATCACAGTCGACACTCTCGCGAACGTCAAAGAGGGAGACAATGTAATTATCATTGGTACATTTCTCAATTCACTCCCTCTATCGTTATTCTCATCGCAATCCTCTAGGTGCTCGTGGCGGCATAGGCTCTGCAGCAGCCCAGCTCTGCAAGGAGCGCGGGGCGCGCATATTCGGCACATACACATCGCTCGCCAAAGTAACTCCCCCATCGTATATCACACCTATTGAACTGTCCTCCAAAAACGCCATCCGCGAGGCCATTGCAAAAGCAGGGCTTCATAACAAAATTGACGTTTTGCTAGACTGCGCCGGTTACGACCAGCCATTCAACGATGCGATTTTCACGATGACGCCCAACGGCTCCGGCCGTGTCGTGATCATGGCTGTTCATGCGAAGGACGGCATATTCCCCATGGACCTGCGCACTTTCTACACGAAGGCCCTTACGCTGAAGGGTATGAAGTCGAGTATTCTAGGCCCGTTGGAGGTCAAGAAGGTACTGGACGAACTTGCAAGGAAGATTGATAGCGGGCTGTTAGAGGGACCGAAGGAGGTCAAAGAAGTTGATCTGAGGAACATGGATGCTGTGAAGGGTGCTCTACAAGAAATTTTAACTCGCGCTTCCCATGTCCGTTCAGTGGTTGTTCCCTGAACGTGTCCATGTTCGCAAAGTCATCATACCAGTATCTGTGTACCTTATTGCATTCGTGCCGCCACTTCTGTGATTATTTATTTACAAATAAATGTATTCCTGGTTTCGAATGTCACTAAAGCGAGAGCTTGTCAGAGATTCTATTCTACATGCTACTGGTCATGGCGCATGAGGCGCATGAGACGCATGAGACGCATGAGACGCGAGCAGGTGGAGCTACTATGTTCATGATGAGCCTCCATTTCGTGAGTCACACTTTTTGGCATGGAAACGTGATGGCTTGTCACACGGTGTAACGGTATGTCACGAAATTCACCGCGAAAAAGCGTGACTCACGAAATGATGGTCCATCACGAATAGACTGTACTTAAGGGATAGTACATGGATGGACGAAACAACTGCTTGCGAATAACATGAAACGGATATTACAACGAGCGCTCGAGGCGGACGGGTGAAAATTTAAACGAAAGATGTGGGATGCGGGAACGTGCACGAGGAAGTCCGAGTCCATCGCATGGAAATGAAAGAAGAGAACAAGGAAGAAGCGCTGATTTCCGCTCCACATTTTCCGCCAGCTTCATTTGCGACCCGCATGGGTATGACGGCATTCATAGAGACCCAGTCGGACCAGTCGACTCGGGAGACATTGTTACCAAGATCCAAGCAAGTTAATTATAATAGAGTAGGATGTAGTTAGTGTATATATAAGTAGTACACGTTCAAGTCAAGCTAATACACAACATATCGACGAGTCATGAGTGCAGAGTGATTATATATTAACAAATGCGAACGGTGTGTAGAATACCAAGGTCTTGCGTGCACGCCAAGTGTGCATAGAACGAAACAAGCGAGTTACCGTCAACGGAAAGCTTGATATGAAATCTAGAAACAGAAGAATTCTTCTAGGGCGCGGCCGAAGATTGTAAGGCCATCACGAATCGTTTCATCTGTACCAACGAACGTTGCTCTGAAGAAGTTCAATCGCTGTGGGCCATTTCTTTAGCGTGGATTCGGTACATATGATACAAGAACCTACATCACCGATATGGTTCCCCGTGGTCCGGCCGGTGCGATCAACAATGGCAAATGTCGATGCGGGCATCATGACCAAGCCGCAATCCAGCAGCTTCCTGAACAGCTCGTCCATAAGGTCCGCGGTGTTCGTTGTCGGACCGCCTGGCACCGTCGGGGTCTGAGATGTTGAAAATCGTGCGTGGTGCTCGAGGTTGATTTTAATCCAGACAAACATCCCAGATTGAGGTACCTCCGCAGTAGCGAACCCGGAAACAGCAACCTTCTGCCGGAAGACATCCATGAAGAGATCCCTCCGACGTTGATACTCGTTGCACAGCGATGAAATCCACTTCATGAAGCCATCAACGCCCCAACCATCACTGCCAAGCAACTCGGCAACGAAGGCTTGGCCCATGCCATGTGGATGCTGCGAAGACGAGTCCGTTAGCATGTCGAGCTTCTCTGCCAAGAAGTTGTTGCTCGTGACCCAGCCAAGTCGCATTCCGGGGGCAACGATTTTGCTGAAACTGTACTCTCATTAGAGCCAGATGACTCGTTCAGAAGGAAATGGTCTTACCTATCCAAGCGCATTACGCGTCCATCGTAATCCATAGATAGGAATGACCGAGGGAGAACTTCCGCCATGGCGCGCGTGTACCCATACTGTCGTATGGTGCTCTGGTCCACGCCAAGATCGTACTGGAGGAAGAAGTATGGGTCATCCTCAAGGATGATGATATCCCAGTCATGTGCGATTTGATAAATCTGTTGCCTTCTTTCCAACGAAAGAGTGCTTCCTGTTGGGTTCTGCGAGCACCTGGATAAGAATCGTTCTTGTGAGCTGCATGTGACTAATCGGGAGCCGGCGGTAACGTACGGAATTGTATAAAGCACGTGGGGCCGTTTACCCTGCGTCACTTCGTTCCAGTTGGACAAAATCCGTTCCAAATCCGAAGGAACGAGTCCACCTTTGTCCATCCGGACTGGGACCCATTCAATGCCTAGGGGCAGAGCAGCGTTGGTCATAGCAGAAAAAGTAAATTCTTCGCAAAGGAAAGAGTTGCCCCGATCACCAAGAAGACGGAAGCATTTTGTCAGTGCATCCGCATTGCCAAGGCTGAGCGAGACGGTGTGATTGGGGGGAGAATGGATTCGGTCGTTGAGGTCTGCGAGGGCATCACGGACGTGCTGAAGACCTGCTCCGGCACCGTACGCAAAGGCAGTACGGAGGCTCAAAGCGCAGGGGTCGTCCTTGTATGACGCGATGATATTTTGCTCGCCAGTGCCAGACCTCCATGATTGCACGGGGTCATGCTCGTCAATGGAAGGAACGACAAAATTCATCTCAGATATGGGATATAGCGTATGGTGTGGGTCACCTGCATTGAATTAGACAGTGCGTTCGTCATTAATGATATCCACGAACCGTTTCCCATGTTGATGGTGCCAGCTTTGACCTGAGCAGCTTTCCAGATGGATTTAATTGGGTTTGGGAGCCTGGCACGGGCTTCCGATGATAGATGGCGAGAAAAGTCGACATGGCTACGCTTGAGACCAGTATCGACCGTTGAAGTAGCAGAGGTAGTTGAAGGTAAGAAGACCATTGTGTGCACAAGACAAGGGAAAGGGCGGATATATTGAATAGGTGGTATTTCTACCGGGTCTGCTTTTGAAGGATAACATACAACGGCACTAGCGAATAATGTACTACTATTCTCCATCAGGACAAATTCTAGATTGCTATGACAGACTGGCAAGTGGCAACATGGATATCAAGGCCATCGCAGCACCCCTGACTTTGGTTCATCCTCAGCCTCCGACAGTCACATCGTGAGGAACCCAAATAGAGAGGGTAGAGATCGTCCATACTGGTGTATAGCAATTTCAGAAACTCTGCAACCGCCGGAGATAACTAGTCTCATCAAATTTCTGCATTGCACTTAGTCTGGTTGACCTCATGGTCGATGGAATTTTGCAGTGATAGCGATGCTCGCAGAAACACGTTTGAACCGGAACGAACCAGTCCACTTCTATATCTAAACTCCGCCAATATGTAATTTGAGTTAACGTTCGTCATCCGCATTAAAATTTCTTACTTCCCTGTGAAGATTTGCATGCCAAGAGGAACCAAAACAGATCTGACTTTTTCGGATCAAGACCTACGGTAGGGATGGCAGTTCTAACATTAAAGCTAGAGATACGTATAGTTAGGTCAATTAACCGTCAAGCCACACGTTGGAAATACCATGCTTCGTATAGCAATAGTATGCCGGTGTATAGCATAGTATACTGTGGTATAGCATAGTCCTTTCGCTAAACGGCGCGCAATCGACGAGTACTAGTGCATAAGTATGACCAACGCTCTAACTCCACATATGTGCTAACCTTCATCGTACTCTACGGTCGAATGATGGTGCGGAATTAAGATTCAAGATCGAGTACAAACTCACGTCTAAGTAGCGAGAACAGTCCCAGGAGTCCCAAGTTTCATATGAGACTATGCAGTATACTATACACCAAGGTGGCATCTAGACCAGGTAAGGATATCTAGAGTCGTCAGGATTTGGAGCCACCAAAGACCCCAAAAGTATCAGAACTTCTCAAGGAAGCTCGAAAGGCAAAACACAACCAACCTGAGCATCAAGCAAATGATGGAGGACGCTCCTAAGTTCCAACACTGACATGGTTATGAGAATCAATGGTACGCAAAGTCGAAAGGGTGTGTTTATAGAAACCTACCAGTGCATATTGTACACATGCCGCCGTCTGCATCATCGAATACTCACATCCCGTAGGCAGACCAAATTGAAGATGATCGCATCGCTCAGGCGGCTATCTCCGAGTCCCTGCTTAAAAATACATTGCGACAACTCCCCTGGCATCACGATGACGAGTGAAGTGGAGAGTCAGGCCTGGCTCCTAGGGGAGGTCCCACGATAGTTAGGCAATTGAAATCGCCTCACGGCAGTGTCCCTAGCCTAATCATCATATGTGTTATCCTCAGAGCCTCGGCCAAAGATAACGAGGAACGTCCCCGGACCCGTAACTGTGGTAAAGCTGGGGCCGGGATTATGAATTCATGTATAGGACTTTGAGTGATCACCGTCGGTGCATAGGGAACGGGAACTGCCTATCATTGCGAAGATAGGAGTCAAAGAAATGGTGGTTCTCGACCAACGCAGATTGCCACTCGAACCAGTGGATATGGCGTACTGCAGGGCACAGTCCGATTTCTCTCATCTGGGTGCAAATAACGCAAAACACTGATTCAAAAGAACACGAACAGCATAACGGTGAGACATGGACAGCAATGATTCTCAAGTTTCCTCCATACGACCAGGTAATGGTACAATCCTCCCCCTCCCCTCTACACGACTTCCGTTAGCTCCTTTGACTGAGAACTGCTGCGATGACGATTAAGTAATTAGGGTTTCAATGCGAGGGATTAGTGGAGCACGTACTTTTAGGAAATCCCGCTATCGCGGACGGCCTTTGGTTCAGAACTTGGCTGATTGTCTCGGTTTGCGAGTCTGACATCTTTACTACTATAAGCACCCAGATTAATTTTTGGGTTGGTAAGCAATATGTGAGAGCACGCACTCTCTCCAAGGAGCTGTGAACACATATAATGCGAGTGAGGCCAGGAGAATCAGTGTCACATAGGTAAATGCAGTCAGGATTTTCACGAAGAGTTTGTCAGATGTGAAGCCAGCTATGAAGACGGCTGAAAAGACTTCGAGATTACTGACTCGAGACCAGAACGTGCACACAAACCTGTCATCAAAGCCAGTGTTGAAACTGCCAGAGCCAGGGAAGGATATGCCATCAGTAAAAGGCCGCATACGACGCGCCGGCGATTTCGTTTCAACGACTAGTGGCTGCTATTACTCGAACGCAAATGGTGTGTGAAGACACAACTCACATTCAATAACCATTTCATATCTTTACCCGCATAGCAAGTGTCATAGATGATGAGGACAGAAGTACCAGTCATCAAACTGATTAGAGCAGCCACAAACGCTGCAACTTGAAGGATATACGACCCTGAATACACGTTAGTACAACACAATCGCAACAGGAGGATGTCTACCATGCTGAAGGACTTGTTAGTTTTCAAATGTGGCTGAAAGCAAAAGGTTCTTACGCTTGCGTAGGGCATAAGAGGTTGAAATGCTAAAAATTGGCTGATTAGGTTTTTCGTAGTCTTCCTACAATACAAAAATGACTTGCGAGGATTAGTGGATATGAACACAGCAGTTGTCGTCAAAACCTATACAATGAAGTCAGTCGCATTCCTTGAGCAGCTTCTGACAGTGTTACCAGGCCCGCCTGCAAATAAGTTTCAGTGACTGCAGGAGTATACCCTGGTAGTACGGTAGCTATACTTACTGTGACGTTCATGTTTCCTAACCGTTCTATCACCATTTTCTTGTGTTCATCCCATTCGTCCCTTTTCTCATCATTTATGAGGTCATCCCAGTGTTCCAGTGACGGCTTCGATACAGCGATCATACACAACGCCTTGAACCAGAGACGCCAGAAAGCATTTTTTGGCGGGTCGAATGGATTCTGCAGGGATCCACCTTCCACGCCTAGCGGGATGCACTCGTGTGACGCATGACGAGATCGAACAGATTGCGACGCACTGGTGTGGTTTCTCGTAGACATGGGCGGAATGGTTGATAATAGTATGCCATAGTAGTACTAATGTTGCATTCATATGTACTTCAGTGACTCTGTCAGGGGCCGATACACGAGGAAGGAAGCGAGTTGTGGCAGCTAGAAGGGTTTAAGAATAGTGGGCATTCCATCAGCGACACGTAAAATGGAAGCTCGCTGATGAAATGCATACGAGAGATATGACAGTCCACATGGATAACTAGTCCATTATAAGACAGATTTGAGCTCATGGAGTCACAATCACGATGTCCAGACTTGAGGCTGAGCCGCAGGTGAAGGTAGCGCTCAACTATCATGATAGGACTTCATTGATGTCCACTGCACAGAGGCTACAGCCAATGCACTCTAAACATGCTGATAACACGAGTTAGGGTTGCAATGGAAATGGTATGGCTCCGCTTACCGAGGCCACCGCAAGATACACACAAGTAGCATGGGCAACACATTGTCACTACATTGTAGGGGTTCTTAAAAGCGCTCATGTAAGGAAGCATGAGAAGACAGTATTCAATTAAACCTTTGCAGCCCTAGAAACTGAGCATTATAGCTGCTAGAAGGACAAGGAAAAGGCCGACGAACATGATAATGAGGTACACCGAATTGAGTTGTCAGAAAGAACAATGAAGGAGGACATCGTTGCACTACATTTTTTGCTCGTGAAGCATGAGCTACTACTCGTCGTCGTTTGGCGCTTGTCTAATCATATACCATGACCGTGACCAAACTCCAAGTGCTCCCAGCAGATCACTAACTTCCGACCGATTGGGGCATTGGTGTTGTATTCGGTGACAAGCGGAATGCATAGACGCTGTGAAGATAGGAGTTAAAGAAATGGTGGTTTTCGATCAACGCAGACTGCCGTAGCGTAGCTGGACACAATTGCTCGAGCCGGTAGATATAGCGCAGTGCAGAGTGCGCAGTTCAATTTCTCTCTCATCTGGGGTGCAAACAACGCAAAACACTGATTCAAAAGCACACGAACAACATAACGGTCAGACATGGACAGCAATAATTCCCTCCATACGACCAGGTAATGGCACAATCCTCCCCTCTACACGACTTCCGTTAGCTCCTTTGACTGAGGATTGCTGCGATGACAATTAAGTAATTAGGGTTTCGATGCGAGGGATTAGCGGAGCACGTACCTTTGGGAAATCCCGCTATCGCGGACGTCCTTCGGTTCAGAACTTGGCTGGTTGTCCCGGTTTGTGACGTCTTTACTACTAAGCACCCAGATCAGTGTTTAGCTGGCAAGTAATATGTAGGGGCACGCACTCTCTCCAAGGAGAACTGAACACATATAATGCGAGTAAGGCCAGGAGGATCAGTGTCACATAGGTAAACGCAGTCAGGATTTGCACGAAGAGTTTGTCAGATGTGAACCCGGCTATGAAGACGGCTGAAAAGGCTCTGAGGTTACTGGCTCGAAGTAGGAACGTGCACACAAACCTGTCATCAAAGCCAGTGTTGAAACTGCCAGAGCCATGGAAGGATATGCCATCAGTAAAAGGCAGCATACGAGACGCCGACGATTTCGTTTCAACGACTAGTGAGTGCTATTACTCGAGCGCGAAGGGTGTGTGAAGGCAAATGACGCACTTTCAATAAATCTTTCATATCGTTACCCGCATAGCAAGTGTCATAGATGATGAGGACAGAAGTACCAGTCATCAAACTGATTAGAGCAGCCACAAACGCTGCAACTTGAAGGATATACGACCCTGAATACACGTTAGCACAAGGACATCGCAAGAGGAAGAAGTCTACCATGCTGAAGGACTTGTTAGTTTTTGAATGCGGCTGAAAACAAACAAGAGGTGCTTACGCTTGCGTAGGGCATAAGAGGTTGAAATGCTAAGAAAAATCGGCAGATTAGGTTTTTAGTAGTCCTGCTACAAAACAAAAATGACTTGCGAGGATTAGTGGATATGAAAACAGCACTTGTCGTCAAAACCTGTGCAATGAAGTCAGCCACAGTTCTCGAGCAGTTTCTGATAGCATTACCAGACCCGCCTGCAAATAAGAATAAGTTTCAGCGACTGAAGGAGAAGTTATCACCCATACTCACCGTGACATTCATGTTTCCTAATCGATCTATCACCATTTTCTTGTGTTCTTCCCATTCATCCTTTTTCCGATCATGTATGAGGTCATCCCAGTGTTCCAGTGATGGCTTCGATACAGCGATCATACACAACGCCTTGAACCATAAACGCCAGAAAGCATTTTTTGGCGGTTTGCACCAAGGTTCTGATTGATTTTGATCCTGTTGGGATTCGCTATGGTTCCCACCTGACGAGATGCGATTGTGTGACACATGACGAGATCGAACGAGTGTCGCACTAGGGGATACAGCGTCGTCTATCATAGACATGGACAGAATGGTTGAGATTAGTATGCCATAATGTTGCATGCATATGTACTTCAGTGGCTCTGTCAGGGACTGATACACGCAGAAGGAAGCGAGGAAAAGGCGGCCAGAAGGGTCTAAGAATGGTGGACATTCCATCAGCGACATCACCGGTATGTTACATACATTTGTTCTATACGTAAAATGGAAGCTCGCTGATGAGATACCTACGAGAGGTATGACAGTCCACGCGAATAACTAGTCCATTATAAGACGGATTTGAGCTCATGGAGTCAGAATCACAAGTTCAGACTTGAGGCTGAGCCGCAGGTGAAGGTAGCGCTTAACTATAGGGCCCCGTCGATGCCCGCAGCCCAGAGGCCACGCCAATGCACTCTAAATATGCTGATAACACGAGTTAGGGTTGCAGTGAAAATGGTATAGCCCTGCTTACCGAGGCGCAACATGCACACAAGTAGCGTGGCCAACGCAGGGGATTCTCAAAAGCGCCTATGTAAGATAACATGAGCCACTAAGCGCTTTCAAGACGGTGTTCGATCAAACTTTTACAGCAGTAGAAACTGAGCATTATAGCGCCACTAGAAGGACAAGGAAGACAAGGAAAACGCCGATGAAGATGATGATTAGGTACGTTGAAGTGAATTGTCAGAAGGAACAATGAAAGAGGACATCCGACTTTGCTCGTGAGGCCTGAGCTACTACTCGTCGTCGTTTGGCGCTTGTCTAATCATATGCCATGACCGTGACCAAACTCCAAGCGCTTCCAGCAGATCACCAACTTCGGAGCAGTAGGTTGTGACCAGAAAGGCACGCGGCTACAGAAAGAAGGGGAAATGCTATAGGCAAGATGGCGCGCCGCAGCCTCGCTTTGCGGCAAGCACGGTGTGATGTTGAAGGGCATTCACACTGGTCATCCATATTGTGGTCATCGTGTTGGCATGGACGACTTCTCTTCTCATCGGTCGTGAAAAGACCGATGCCGTTTGGGATTTGATTAAAGACGTGTTCTCTATTACTCGTTATCATAACAATAGTCAACGTATCGAACCCCGCTCTTCCCGAGGGCACTGGAGGTAAAAACATGTTATACCGCACTGGAGGTCTTTCCTCGCAAAGCTCTCCAGGTTTATCTCGCAGTTCCTATTGAAGGTCGTCAGCCGGTACCCTCCTCCTTCTGGCGTGAGCAATTTGAAGTGGTGGTTACACACCCTATCCTCCACCCTACCACCCCATACCTTGTCTCCACGAGGGGTTTCGCAGGACGTAGACCTCTGGGTAAACGCCTCGACCGATTGGGGCATTGGTGTTGTATTCGGTGATAAGCAGAATGCATGGACGCTGCGCGGGTCGCTGTGAAGATAGGAGTCAAATAAATGGTGGTTCTCGATCAACGCAGACTGCCGTAGCTGGATACAATTACTCGAGAGGGTGGATATAGCGCAATGCACAATTCGATTTCTCTTGCATCTGAGTGGAAACAACGCGAAATATTAGTTTAAAAGAACACGAACAATATAACCGCCTGCAAATGAGAATAAGTTTCAGCGACTGAAGGAGCTTACTGGCCATACTCGCCGTGACATTCATGTTTCCCAACCGATCTGTCACCATTTTCTTATGTTTTTCCCATTCCTCCTTGTTCTGATCATGCATGAGGTCATCCCAGTGTTCCAGTGACGGCTTCGATACCGCGACCATACACGACGCCTCGAACCAGAAACACATGAAGGATGCTCTGGCGGATCGTGCCACAATGGTTTTGGCTTATTTTTCTACTGGGGTTTTCCATGGTTTCCGCCTGTCGTATGACGAGATCGAACACATTGCGACACACTAGGCGATACAGTGTCGCCTCTCGAAGACATGGGCGGTATGGTTGAGAACGGTGTGCCATTGTGTTGCATGCACATGTCCTTCAGTGGCACTGTCAGGGACTGATACACGTGGAAGGAAGCGAGTTGTGAGCAGAAAAGGCGGCGAGAAGATCCAAAAATTGTTCTTCATTAGTGGCTTCACTGCAGTGTTACATACACTTCTGCTATACGGAAAATGGAAGCTTCGCTGATGCAGAGACATACGAGCGGTATGAAAGTCCACACGGATAAACAGTCCATTATAAAACAGATTAGGCTCATAGAGTCACAATCACAAAGTCCTGACTTGAGGCTGAGCCGCAGGTGAAGGTAGCGCTCAACTATAGGGCTTCGTCGAGGCCTGCTGCGCAGAGGCCACAGCCAATGCACTCCAAACATGCTGATAACACGAGTGAGGGTCGCAATGGAGTTAGTATAGCCCCACTTACCGAGACCACCGCAACATGCACACAAGTAGCATGGACAACACAGGGGATTCTCGAAAGAACCTATGTAAGAAAGCATGAGCCAATAAGCGCTTTCGGGACAGTGTTCGATCATACCTTTGCAGCACCAGAAACTGAGCATTATAGCTGCTATAAGGACGAGGAAAAGGCCGACGAAAATGATAATTAGGTACACTGAAGTGAGTTGTCAGAAAGAAAAATGAATCAAGAAATCGTTGCACTACATTTGTTGCTCGTGAAGCTTGAGCTACTACGCTTGTCTAGCGATATGCCATGACCAAGTCCAAGTGCTCCCAGCAGATCGCCAATTTCGGAGCAGTAGGCCGTGACCAGCAAGGCGCCTACGGAAAGAAGGGAAAGTGCTATAGGCAGGATGAGGCGCTGCAGCCTCGCTTTGTGGCATGCACGATGTGATGTTGAAGGGCATTCACATGGGTAATTCATATTGTGGTCATCGTGCTGGCATGGACGACTTCTCTTCTCGTCCGTTGTGAAAGGACCGTGCATATCCATAGTGCTCGTCTTGGGCTGGCTGGAGATGGGAGACATGATGGTTGTTGTCAAAGGTGCGTTGCTGTGCGAAAAACAAATTTGCTGCGTATCAACTGCAGTGCAGCATAGTTTGTTTAACCGCCACCATTCCAATTTCGGACACTAGGTTACTTACGGGGAGTTTTTGAATCATGACTTCGACCGTAACGTGCACTGCACGCACATGCAGGCTGGCAGCGACATCGCAGACTGGCACGTCCATGTCAACCCTGGTAAGCGTCTACATATATGCTTCTGAAAACTAAAGTTCAGATTGAGCTCACGATCAGCTACTAGCCCGTTCAGTGGTGCAGATTCACTCGGAAGATCAGTCTATTGAAGTAGAAGTGTACTTATGTATGTACATCTCAATGACTTCCTCTAAACGCGTTCTTAAATATCCTAGCGAGCAATGGAGCGTGACCGGTGCAACAAAGACGTATCAAACCTTATTCCGAAATAACTGCAAAGGCCCAACACCACAACCCCAACTAAAACACCAATGGCGAACTTCCGCAACCCCATTCTAGCAGTGATTCGTTTTTCGCCCAACGCCCCAGCAGCATCAATCGCAGCAATATCCTCCTTTGAAAGTTCTGCCAAGTAAATATGTTCAGGTTGCATGCGCCAAGTTGCTCCTCAGAATAAACTTACTAATATCGCCTGCATCTCGATAGCCTTCTAAACGGATCTTCCTGGAACTAGTTCTAAAGGGCACTCAAAGTCGATGATCGCGACCAATGGTAGACAAAGCGGAACCTACGTGACGACAACTGCGCCTTTTGCCTTCGTCCAAGCGAGAAGTACCTGGTCTGTAGTTGCCCCCAGTCGAGTGGCGATCTCGTTCAGCGGTGCGTCTAATGGGCCACTAGGTTCCTTCGTAATGGGTCTACATCCTCAGGTCAGTCACATATGTGACTGAATATCAAATTGCCTACTGGAGGGCACTGTATGCCTCGATGACAATGCCATGTTCAGCAGCATACTTCACTATAGGCGCCTGTTGCTGGTAAACATAAGGATGGAGAAGGATCTTTCTCTCGAAAGTTAGACTCCCGCAAGCAAAGTTCATCATATTGTTCTCTCACCTGGTTTGCCGCAGGTTTGATTTTCGCCGACGCCAGCAGAACTTCCAAATCTTGTACGCCGAAGTTGCTTACACCAATACTCCTGTGTCGATCCTGTCAGCGGTGCGTGAAACAGAAAACACGGTTGTTTTACATACTTTGCCAGTCCATCCTCCACCACTTTCTCCATCTGTGCCCACGCTGTTGGGATGTCCGGTACCGCGAGGCGTGGGTTATGAATGAGGTATAGGTCCACGTAAGGTGTGCCGATCTAGTTCTATTAGCACCTAGGTTGACTCATCTCGGGAAGTCACTCACGTTGTTGATGCTGTTTCTGATCGCAGTGGGGATGTCGAGCCCATCAAAGCCAGAGTATTTCGTCGTAATGAATACCTCCCCGCGGGATAAACTGCTTTCGTGAAGGGCAATACCCACCTCCCCCTCATTTCTGTAACCTTGAGCGGTATCTACAAGAACCTCAATCTTCAGAACTTTATACAATTGGGATTTTCAGAGAATTCTTGCCGACGTGGTAGTATCCCGTGTCGAAAGCTTGAGCAATCTGGTCGATGGGACCCTGCCCGTTCCCAAGTGTCCAGGTACCATAAGCAATGCTTGGCATAACATAGCCTAATGTCTTCGAGTGAGTAGGAATCGACCGCTCCTCATTTCGACTCACCGGAATTCAGTGTGACAAGGTCCCAAGGCATAGTTGCAATGCGTCTCTAATCAGGCTTGGGTAAGATGGTAACTGACTCAGAGGCTTTCTGTGAAACGGTTGAATTCATAGGGCCAGCCTTCACCGGGGTGGGAAGATGATTCAAGATATGAATAGATACTAGTAAGGCTATTTTCAATGTTTCATTGGGTATGTATGACGGTCAATCGTTTCTGTCCAGTGTCGACTCTGTAATGTTCCTCCGCTTATTTCTACCTTTGAAATAGCTGCAGGCAACCAAGATCACGGTCCCAATCAAAACGCCCGCCCCGAGTTTACGCAGCCCACGTCTGACCGTGATTCGTTTCTCTCCGATAGCGCCTGCAATATCAATCGCAGTGATGTCATCTGGCGATAATTCTGCCAAGATGCATCAGACCTTTTAGGGCCGTCATCTTCAACGAGGGAACTCACCGAGGTCCCCAGCGGAAAGGTAACTTAGGAGACGCGCCTTTTTGGAGCTGGTGCTGGCGAGTTACGATGTCAACAACGTCGCCCCTTAATCACATAGTAAAGACACACGTTACCACGACTGCACCTTTTGCCTTGATCCATGCAAGGAGGACTTGGTCAGCAGTAGCTCCAAGCCTCGTGGCGATTTCATTCAAAGGAACGTCCACTGGACCTCCTGGCTCTCCCGTGACAGGCCTTCAAAATCATGATTAACCTTTCGTATGGAATTCAGAAATCATCGCACGTCAAAGCACCGTATGCCTCAATTACGATGTCATGTTTGGCGGCGTACTCTAAAGTCGGAAACTGTTGCTGGTAAACGTAGGGCTGCAGGTAAATCTACAAGTAGAGCAATCGAGCTTGACTAATTACGATAATATTAGGTTCATTCACTCACTTGATTGGCAGCCGGTTTGATCTTTGCGGACGAAAGTAGGATCTCGAGCTGCTTCTCATTGAAGTTGCTCACGCCAATGCTCCTGTAGTTGGCGTCGGCTTCCGAATTCAATAATTTGCAAAAACCAATAGCTACCTGGCGAGCCCTTCTTCTTGAACTTTCTCCATCTGAGCCCAAACAGTTGGTATGTCAGGCACAGCCAGATTCGGGTTGTGAATGAGATACAGATCGACGTAAGAGGTGTTCAACTGCAATTGTTAGATCGACGTCTACTCGCACATATAGTGATAATATATGACTACTACGCACGTAAGTCAAACTGTTTTGGATTGAGGTCTGGATATCAAGTCCATTGAAGCCAGAATACTTTGTTGTGATGAATACGTCGGAATGCTCTAGCCCAAGTTCCCCGATGGTGATGCCAACCTCGGCCTCATTCCTATAAAGTTGTGCCGTATCTGCTCGGTATTGACAGGGGTGCGATGGTCAATCTCGGCCGTACTCACCAATATGATAGAATCCTGTATCGAGGGCCTGTGTGAGCTGATCTATTGGCCACTGGCCATTTCCCAGCGATCCAGTCCCATACGCGAGGCTCGGAATGCTATAGCCTGCTCAAAGGTTGAGCAATATCAGACAGCCTCTATGCATCAAGACGTACCGGAGTTCAAGGGGATCAAGTCCCAAGGCATTATTGACGTACTCTCGGCTCGACCAACCTTACAGGATATAACTTACTTGTCCGTAGTCGCCCGTGAGAGGGCACGACCAGGACTAGCCTTGTCCCCGTTGGCGGAAACATAACTCAAACATTACTCCCACGTTCGATTCTCATGTAGCTTGGGACACGCTTGAGAAATGGTTCTATTCGAGTCGTTCCGCAGCCTGGCAAATTTTTGCTCCAATGGCAGCGCGGGGTGAACCGTTGTACTGGCGACATTTGAGCATTTGTCAAACCTAGGCTAGCCGGCTTAAATCACTTTACATCATGCGCATGCCGGGGAAGTTACATACACTAAAGACTGCCGCACAAGCGATTGCCCATACGACAACCCTTCTCAATACACTTAATATTTACATTGGTTTCTCCTCTCCCAGGGCGCCCGCAGCGTCAATGATAGCAATGTCCTCGGAAGACAAAGCTAAAGCACATCAGTCAGAACTAATCCGAGTGGTTGATCTAGTGAAACCCACCTATATCACCTGCTGCGAGGTAACTTTGCAGGCGCGTCTTCTTCGAGCTCGTGCTAGATAGGCTTCTATCAATGGGAAACTGCAAGATACCACAGATAAACCTACGTAACCACGACGGCCCCCTTGGCTTTCGTCCACGCCATAAGAATTTGCTCAGTCGTCGCACCGAACTTTGCGGCGATTTCATTCAGCGGTTTTTCCAAAGGACCGCCGGGTAACTTCGTGATGGGGCTAGGGACGACATTCAGCGTAAACGCACTTGTCAGAGGGACTTGACCAACATCAGCGCGCTATAGGCCTCGATAACGATTCCGTTCTTGGCGGCATACTCAAGGATAGGCTTTTGTCGCTGATAGACATATGGGTGGAGGCGAATCTATGCCAAATTGTTACTAAAAATCGCATTTAGACAGTTCGATGCTACACACCTGGTTGACCTGCAGGTTTAACTTTCGCGGACGCCATCAAAATCTCCATGTCTTGGATGCCAAAGTTACTGATACCAATGCTCCTACAGTCTCAAGTCAGGGTGTCCGACTGCAGCATCATCCCGAAAATCTTTCACCTAGCAAGTCCGTCTTCCTGGAGCCTTTCCATTTGCGCCCAACAAGTGGGAATGTCAGGGACTGCAAAGCGCGGGGAGTGGATCAGATAAAGGTCCACGTATGACACCCCAAGCTACAAGCAGCAAAAATCATGAAAGCACTGGTTCTAAGTCAGGACAGAACATACGCTATCGACACTGTTCTTGATGGAAGTCGGGATGTCGAGACTATTTACACCAGAGTACTTGGTTGTCACAAAGACATCTGAGCGAGGAAGTCCACTATCTTTCAAAGCATTGCCTGCTTCTCTTTCGTTCCTGTAGTTTTGCGCCGTATCTATGTGATAGGATTAGAAGCTGCACTGTGAGGTACGGTACCTAAGTGATAAGAACTCGCCGATATGGTTGTATCCGTTGTTAAGAGCTTGTTCAACCTCATTCTGGTCGATTGGTCCTTGGACATCGCCTAGCGTCCAAGTACCGAATGCGATGCTCGGAATATAGTATCCTGACGTATGAGCCCCCTCGTCAGCACCGAGTATAAGGCGACGAATCAAACACCAACCAGAATTCAGCTTTATCGACTCCCAAGGCATTACGACGAGTAATTGAGGGTCAATTTGGACTGCTGGAAAAGAGGATAAATTTATGTGGTGACTTTTGAACTTGGCGTCCCATAGGCACTATCGTGCACATGAGGCCTAGGGATATAAATAGATCCAAGGCGCCCTCGATGGTCATGAGGCTTAACTAGAGTAAAACATTGTCTGTATGCATCAGAACGCACCGGAGCTCAAGAGTGTCAAGTCCCCAAGGCATGATTGATGTCCTCTCGTTTCGACTAACCTTGACAGAATATGGCTTACTCATCCATAGTCGCCTGTGATCATGAGAGGGCACTAATATCGGGACTTCCTGTCCCCATACCCCAGGCATTACTCATACGACCTATTTTCACTGAGCTTGACGCAAGGGACGTGCCTGAGAACTGGTTCTATTCGAGTCGTTTCGCAGCCTAGAACATTTTCGCTGCATTGGCGGCGCAGTGTGCACCAGTGCTGGTGGTATTTGAGTATTTGTCAATGGCTAAGTCACTTTACATGCGAATGCCGAGGAGGTTGTATGCACTGGAGAGTGCGGCACAAGCGATTGCACCTACAACAACCAAACGACAACCCTTCTCAATATAGTCTTTACATTCATTTCTCCTCGGCCCAAAGCGCCCGCAGCGTCAATGACAGCAATGTCCTCGGGAGACAAAGCTAAAGCGTGTCGTTCAGAACTACTTCAAATTGTTGATTCAGTGAAACCCACCTATATCACCTGCCGCGAGGTAACTCCGCAGGCGCATCTCCTTTGAGCTTCCGCTAGACAGATTTCTGTCAATGGGAGAGAGCAATATACCACAAACAAACCCACGTGACTACGACGGCGCCCTTGGCTTTCGTCCACGCCATGAGAACTTGTTCGGGCGTTGCACCGAACTTTGCGGCAATTTCGTTCAACGGTTTGTCCAGAGGACCGCCGGGTAACTTTGTGATGGGGCTAGGGACGACGATCAGCATGAAGTCATTTATCAGTGAGTATGAACTAACATCAGTGCGCTGTAGGCTTCGATAACGATTCCATTCTTTGCAGCATATTCAAGAATAGGTTTCTGTCGCTGGTAGACATATGGGTGAAGGAGAATCTATGCCAAATTGTTATATTTAGTCTTGGATAATTCGATGGTACATACCTGGTTGACCGCAGGTTTGACTTTCGCAGATGCCATCAAAAGTTCCATGTCTTGGACACTAAAGTTGCTGATACCAATGCTCCTGCAATCTTAAGTCAGATTGTCAGACTGCAGCATCATCTCGCAAATTATTCACTTGGCAAGTCCGTCTTCCTGAACCTTTTCCATTTGTGCCCAACATGTGGGAATGTCAGGTGCTACCCAACGGGGAGAGTGGATCAGATAAAGGTCGACATACGATACCCCAAGCTATTAGCAGCAAACGTCATGAAAGCACTGGCTCCAAGCTAGAACGAAACATACGTTGTTGACACTATTCTTGATGGAAGTCGGGACGTCAAGATTGTTTACACGGGAGTACTTGGTTGTCACAAAGACGTCTGAGCGAGGAAGTCCGCTTTCTTTCAAAGCAATGCCGGTTTCTATTTCGTTCCCGTAGTTTTGCGCCGTGTCTACGCGATAGGATCAGAAGCTGCCGCTATGAGATACCTAAGTGATAAGAACTCGCCGATATGGTTGAATCCGTTGTTCATAGCTTGTTTGATCTGGTCGACAGGTCCTTGACCTTTGCCCGTCTTCCAAGTACCGAATCCGATACTAGGAATATCGTATCCTGACGAATGGGAGCCCTCGTCAGCGCTTGTTCTGAGGCGACGAAATAAACACCAACCAGAATTCAGCTTTATTGGCTCCCAAGGCATTGCGACGAATAATTGAGGATCACTTTAGATGGCTAGAAAAGAGGGCGACTTTCTGTGGTGAATGAATAGTTGACTATTCAACTTTTAAACGTCCCATGGGCACATCCCTATCATGCACATGAGGCCTACTAGGGATATGAATAGGTCCAAGGCACCCTCGATGATCATGGGGCTTAACATGTGTCTCTATGCATCAGAACGCACCGGAGTTCAATCCCAGAGCATTATCAACCCACTCTCGTCTCGACCAAGCTTGCAGGATCTAACTTACTTGTCCTGTGAGAGGGCGCTAATACTGGGACTACCCTTATCCCCGTTGACGGTAACACACCCGACATTACTCCCATGACCTATTCTCATCTAACTTGATGCAAGGGACGCGCTTGAGAATTGGTTCTATTCGAGTCCTTTCGCAGTCTAGAACAATTTGCTGGATTGGCGGCACAGGGTGAACCAGTACTAGTGATATCTGAGCATTTGTCAAAGGCTAACAATCACTTTACATCATGCTGATGCCGAGGAAGTTGCATGCACTAAAGACTGCCGCACAAGCGATTGCACCTACGGCAACCCTTTTCAACATAATCTTCACAATGGCTTTCTTCTCGCCCAAAGCGCCTGCAGCATCAATGGCAGCAACGTCCTCTGGAGACAAAGCTAAAGTATATCGTTGAGAACTACTTCAAACGGTTGATCCAGTGAAACACACCTATATCACCTGCCGCGAGGTAGCCTTGCAGGCGCGTCCTCTTCGAGCTCGTGCTAGCCAGGCTTCTGTCAATGGGAAACTGCAAAATATCACAGATATACTCACGTGACTACAACGGCGCCCTTGGCTTTCGTCCACGCCAGTAGAACTTGCTCGGGCGTTGCACCGAACTTTGCGGCGATTTCGTTCAACGGTTTGTCCAAAGGACCGCCGGGTAACTTTGTGATGGGGCTAGGGACGACATTCAGCGCGAACTCAATTGTCAGAGAGCGTTGACCAACATCAGCGCGCTGTAGGCCTCGATAATGATTCCATTCTTCGCAGCATAATCAAGGATAGGTTTCTGTTGCTGATAGACATATGGGTGAAGGAGAATCTATGTCAAATGTCACTAAAAGTCGAATCTCATTTAAGTGGGGCAAATCGATGTTACACACCTGATTGACAGCAGGTTTAACTTTCGCAGATGCCATCAAAATCTCCATGTCTTGGACGCCAAAGTTACTGATACCAATGCTCCTGCGGTCTCAAGTCAGATTCTCTGACTGTAGCACCATCTCACAAATTATTCACTTAGCAAGTCCGTCTTCCTTGACCTTCTCCATTTGTGCCCAACACGTGGGGATGTCTGGTACCGCCAGGCGCGGGGAGTGAACCAGATAAAGGTCCACGTACGATACCCCAAGCTATTGAGCAGAAAACGTTATGAGAGCACTGGCTCCAAGCTAGAGCAGAACATACGCTGTTGACACTGTTCTTGATGGAAGTCGGGATGTCAAGGCTGTTAGTACCGGAGTACTTGGTTGTCACGAAGATATCTGAGCGCGAAAGTCCGCTTTCTTTTAAAGCAATGCCGGTTTCTCCTTCATTCCTGTAGGACTGCGCCGTGTCTGTGCGATAGTATGAGTGCCGCTGTGAGGTACCTAAGCGATGAGGACTCACCGATATGGTTGTATCCGTTTTCCAGAGCTTGTTCAACCTGGTCGATGGGCCCTTGGCCATTACCTAGCGTCCAAGTACCGAATCCGATGCTTGGAATGTAGTATCCTAATGTATGAGCCCCCTTGTCAGTACTGGTTCTGAGGCAACGAAACAAACACCAACCAGAATTTAGCTTTATCGACTCCCAAGGCATAACGACGAATACTTGAGGGTCACTGGAAAAAAGGGCGAGTTTATGTGGTGAATAGACGTCGACTATTCAACTTCTGAATATCCCATGGGCACATGCTTATCGTGCACATGATGTCTAGGGATATGAATAGATCCAAGATAGAATGGTGCACATCATGATTCATGGGACTTATCGAGTGTAAACAAGCGTGGTTTGTGAGTAAATGTGGGAAACTTCTGAACAGTGACCGTACGGTCCGCCCTCAGCCCGGCCGGGCCATGTATTCGGACAAGAGCACACCGTGCTCAGTACGTAGCTGGTCATTGACATTGACATCCAGATAGGCTGACTCGCGCCTACTCACTCGTCAAGTAGTAATGCTGCTAAGTATTAGCAGCTTTCTGCTAGGATCTACGACAAGCTCTGAAATCGTATCAAGATCTCAGACTTGCCCATGCAGTGGATGCTTAGGAGTATCACTCCCGCTACTCAAACGTTGTAAAGCCCACTCATCTGAACCGACCTTTGTGCAATCTCTAGATGCATTGTGAGCGCGTAGTGTGAATGACTTGTGTGGATGTCGTACTGAAAATGCGAAGATAGGCAAAGTGAAACTAGACACCTATGTGAACAAATACGATCTGCTGTTCCAGTGGAACCTTCTTCCGCAACGTCTTCACAGCCTTGTGCAACGCGACTGCGGCGCGCGTGCAGTCCAATCTCCCAGAACTATCAACCAGGTTGCTGTAAAAAGCAGACGCCATCTGCCGTGCAACCTCGTCGTCGACAGACCACATCGAACCAATCACACTGCGAAATCCGGAGAATTGCATGGCTGCAGCGAGATGGATAGACTCGTCAGGACTCTTCTCATCGCCCACGGTAGTGTGGCAGGCCGATAAGAATGCAAACTCCGGACTCTGCCAGTCAGATCGGACAATGTCCTTGATCATTAAAGGCCCGTCACGCATCGCAAAAGAAGACTCGAATGGTTGTTGTCGATTCGGCATTCCATGGCAGGCCAGGTGAAGCCATTGATTCTGGCTCAATACATCCAATGCTCCCTGTACTGTTGCATGGCTGTCTGCAAGCGATGTGAAGGACATGACGGGAGCGATGTGCTGAGCGACGACGGCTAACTCGGGGGCGACACATCGGAGTTCCTTGCCTCCGATATCCGGGTTTGCTTGACCAATGGCAACAAAATGTTGCACATCTCGCGATACCTGCCGTCTCGCACGAATGAGAGTCGCCAAAGTCGGGGTGTAAGAGGATATGTAAATGTGAGATAAATTGCTTCTCTTCCTCTCATAAGGCCCTGCTGCATGTAGAGGAAGTAGGGTGAACTCAGCGGTGGGACACCACCAGATACGCGAGCCACGATTAACATTCGACTCCTTAAGAGCTTGAACTACTGGGCCAACGATATGAAGCCAAAGCTTGCGTAGGACAGAGACAAACTTCTGCAACCCAAGTTGATGATCAGAAGAACCAACGCCCTCGGCGAGGGACTGGAACTCGGAAGACAACTCGGAGACGTCGGCCCGCGCGATATCAAGTGGAACGTGGACAGGATCTTGGGCGCTCAAGATAATCAAGGCGTCACAGCTGTACTGACTAGCATTGACAATGATGACTGGACCTTCTTCTGCGGCCTTCTGTAGGTCGGAGAACAGGGGAGGGAGGAGAAACCGAGAAAAGTCAGGCCGCATGCGGATGCGTGAGACGACATCATTCCATTGCGCGGTCACTTCCCGAATTTGTGAGGTCCGGTCTTGAGTAGAATCTTCGAATGCGTCACGAAGGCGAAAGCTGAGTCGCTTGAACTCTTCCGCCAAGGCTTTGCCGGTGTCACTGGATGCGGAAAGTTCATCCAGTGGTGTGCGGAAGCGTGCCAACTGGGTCCAGAATACCGCACGACCTTGCTCCACCAGTTCCACAGCAGTTGTCAAAGCACCATGACGAACACTGCACGAGAAAGCGTCCATTGCAAGGGATGAAGTGGCCTCCCTGACCGCATCAAAATGGTGGGAAGAAGATGACAGAACAGCAACGAGCTTATCGAGAAATCTCAATGCGGTCTGATAGGCAAGCAATGCAGAGTCATGCTCCAGCTGCTCAGCGGAGGCGGCCCATGACTTAACAGCATAAAGATCATTACGTGAGGCTGCATGAGATACTTCAGAGAGCTGTAAATAAATCCCGAAGGCCGTGTCCAAGTCTGAAGATAGACCATGCCACTTGGATCTGTCTAGAAGGCTGGCGGCAAGACTGTTGAGAGACATGGATCGTTCAGAATGACCAGGGGGACGCAGCATTAGTGCAGCTTGATAATGCTCAATAGCCTCATCCACGTCGGACAGGACGCCCCACTGCGTGAATCTGATGTGAAGGCTGATGGCAAGATTGATGAGAGACCCGGATCGATCAGAATGACCAGGGGGACGCAGCATTAGTGCAGCTCGATGGAGCTCAATGGCCTCATTCAGGTCAGACGGGACGTCCCGCTCCTCGGATTCGAATACAAGGCAGAGTACACGCTCAATGGCCTCATCGAGGTCAGACGGGACACCCCGCAGCTTGAATCTGGATTGAAGGCTGAGGGCAAGATTGCTGAGAGATGCGGATCTATTAGGATGATCAAGGGGAAGGAGCGCCGGTACAGCTCGATGAAGCTCAATGGCCTCATCCTGGTCAGACTGGACGCCCCGCTTCGTGAATCTGATTTGAAGGCCAGTGGCAAGATTGCTGAGAGACGCTAATTGTTCAGGATGGCCAGGGGGACAGAGCACCAGAGCAGCTCGATAGTGCACAATGGCCTCATCTAGGTCAGACAGGATGCCCTGCTGCCGGAATCTGCTTTGAAGGCTGGCGGCAAGGTTGTTAAGAGACGTGGATCTAGAGAGATGGTCAGAGGAATTGAGCACCAGTGCAGCTCGATGGAGCTCAAGGGACTCATCCAGGTCAGACAAGATGCCCCGCTGCTCAAATCTATCACGAAGGCAGACAGCAAGATTGCTCAGGGGAATAGATTTACCAGAATGGCCAGGGGGATAGATCACCAGAGCGGCTCGAGAGAGGTCAATGGCTTCATCTAGATCAGACAGGACGCCCCGCTGCTTGAATCTGGCTCGAAGGGCGCATCCGAGGTCGCAGAAAGACTTGAATCGCTCAGGATGACCCGGGGGCCGGAGTAACAGCGCAGCTCGATGGAGCTCAATGCCCTCATCGAGGTCTGACAAGATGCCCTGCTGCAGGAATCTGCATTGAAGGCTGGAGGCAAGGTTGTTAAGAGATATGGATCGATGAAGATGGCCAGGGGGATGGAGCACCAGTGCAGCTCGAAAGAGCTCGATGGCCTCAGACAGGTCGGACAGGACGCCCTGCTGCCTAAATCTGTATATAAGGCTGGAGGCAAGGTTGTTGAGAAATTCGGATCGATGAGGGTGGCCTAGGGGACAGAGCGCCAGTGCAGCTCGATAGTGCTCAATGGCTTCATCGAGGTCAGACAGGACGCCCCACTGCCCAAATTTTCCAACAAGGCAACCGGCAAGGGTGTTGAAAGATGTGAATCGATGAGGACAGAGCGCCAGTGCAGCTCGGGAATGTTTAATTGCTTCATCGAGGTCAGAAAGTACGCCCTGCTGTTCGAATCTGTCTCGAAGGCTGACAGCAAGGTTTTTGAGTGACGAGTATCGCACCTCGGAGTGATCAGGGGGGCAGATCATTAGTGCAGTTTGATAAAGCTCAATGGCCTTGTTCAGGTCAGACAGAACCCCACACTGCTGGAATCCGACTCTGAGAAGGTTGGCAAGGTTGTAAAGAGTTGTGGATCGATGCATGTCAAGGGAACACGCCTGCGAAACTGCTCCGTGACGCCGCTCCACATTGTTTGTCATGGTAGATTGCACCTGCCCCATCTCCCTGTCAAATGCTAATGAGTACCAAACCGAGTGATATCAGGGCTACTTGAATATGATTTACGCACAGAATGAGCAGAAAGATCTCTGAGGGAAATGGTGCGGCAAGTCTGGACTGGAACGTGTCGGACTTATGCACAGCCTATAGTGAGCGCTTGAACTGCGGCAGTCTAGCATCATGATCTCCTCCTTCCAAACCTTCCCCCGGAGGGCCCATTTCTAATTTGATGCATTACCTCTTTGTTGTAAGTTACTCCGACTTGCCTGGACAAGTAGTGCACAACAATATGTTACTATACCATAGGTTGAATCGATGGCTCCCGATCATCCTTGTACAAGCAAGGACTCCTGGTGATAGAAATAAGTAGTAAGTTAAGACAGGTCGTTATGTAACATGTTTCGTAATTTCGTAGTCTCCCTTTGGTCCCCAAGCCAGACCTACAAGTTGGAAGGTAAATTCGTATTATCATCTTTAGCCGCAGGTACTACGCTCACGGGTTCCATCCGTTTTGGTTCTTCAGAATAGTTTGTCAGGTAGTAATTGATACATGTCTACAGTATACCCCACTAGTGCAAACCTCAAGCACACATATGCCACGCAACGAGGATTTATGTTTCCTCAAAATCAAGAATTTCCCGAGACCAATGTACACCTTCTCTCCACCAACGACAGTCTCCCATCTCGACCTCGCGCAGACTCGGATACCTACTCTGCAAGCAACATATGAGTTCTCGTTGCTTGACACCTTCGATGCACTGCACGTCCTCGTTGTCCGCCGAACTATGCGATAGCCGAAGTGTCTCTAACTTGCGCGGAAGTGGGGCACGACCCTCTGCCAGCCAACTCAGAAGACCCTGAAAAAGAGGTTCACGAGGGCAGGGCATTCATCGAGTTTCGACGTACCTGCATGGTGCCCACTGTATCAAGTGGGTCACTAGCACACTTAAGGTCGGTTTCAGAACTTGACCTAGATAGGATGAAAATTTCCTCCTGTGAAGCATTAACGAATATACAGTACCCATGCAAGTATAGCACTTACGGGAGTTAGCGGTGGGGGCCCCGAGATGAGGCCTAGGTCCAGGCGATGGAGATCCGGAAGATGGTTCGCGATGGTGGTGAGATTATCTAAAGTGGGCAGGAAATATTCTATCGCGAGTCTCCTGACTAGAACTGCGGAACGTGAGATGTCGCGCACGGTTGAGACCAGCTCGGTATGGATGGCATAATCGTCTGGTTGATCGACGTCTTTAGTGACCATCAGGAGGACTAGACAGACGCAATCGACGGGTCGTCCAGGCACGATGTGAGAAAGGAGGTGAGGGTAGCCGTCGTAGGACCGAAGGGAAGACAGGGCTGGCAACGGGTGGGGCGGTATGATGTTGGCGGACCAGGGGAAAATCCTCAACGTCGTCAGGGCGGGTGTCGATGCAAGGAATCTGAAGAAATGGTCGCCACTCAGGGATTCAACAAATATACTTAGATATGTGAGGTGGGGAAAGGGCGCGATAGACAAGAGGGCCGCTAGTATAGTGTGGGTGATGAGAAAGTCGATAACGGTGAGTTTCTCTAGATAGGCTGGGTTACAGAGCACAGAAACCAGGTGTTCATCAATTGAACGAGGACCGAAGCTGTCTCCAGCGATCGCAAGTTCCTTGAGCTTCAGTGAACCATCCAAATGAGGTGAAGGATGAAAGGAGCATGAGATAAGCCTAAGAGTCTCGAGTGCAGGCAAGCTTTCGAGAATGAGCCATTGTTGCCTTCCAAGATTCATGCGGACAAGTTCAAGAGAGCGCAGATTGCAACTGCGCGACAGAGAAGGAAAGACGACATCGACCGATTTCAAGGCTAGGCTCTGCTCCTGCGAGTGAATAGGGAAGAATGAGTTGCTCCTGATCGCCGGCGCAGTTGTAACCGTCCAGTTTTGAATCATGCCCCAGAGTTCACTAGCACTTGGATCCGAATAGAAACTTGTGAGTCGGGTAGCAGCGCGCTCAAGCATCTTAGGAGCTTTGTTTGTTGAACGGCGGACCAGTTTCTGGTTCAAGGGGAGCACCGCAGGAGATGGCAAGGTGATAGTGAGCGACTGGAATATCCTAGACCTTGAGGTGTACCAAAACACGCGGCAGACGCGGGACAGTTGGAAAAGGTCTTGTCGTCCCACATAACCCCAGCAATAGTCAAGAACTTCGGGAGGAAATTTCAGAATAGGTGGGCTGTTCTCCTGGTTGGAGTCAGATTTGGAGCGCTCCCTATCGTTCGACATCGACCAGCGATGGTAAAATGCGAGTATATCAAGAAAGAGAGCGGCGGACTAGTTTGATGTGAGTAGTGGCTGCAAGCGAACAGCACGTCCCTCTGGCAAACGGGCGCGGCTGTAATCTATATGTATGGAATCATTGGAATTCAGTCGCGTCATCAGAAATATTGGTAGTTAACTTGAACTTACACTAAACATTGGTCACCACGAACAAACCATGTGTAGTTCATACACTGATTCCGAACGTATAGATCGACTAGTAGGGGTAACAAGAGCATGAGACACAACTGATCATTATTCAATGCACTTGGTATCCCCAGAAGAATAACTTGATTCAGAGACTCTTGCTAAGTCTTGCAAGGAGTCGCCAGTCGACCTTTCAAACAAGCGTCAGATCATTGTATACTTCAACAATACTTATTTTTCCCTGTAAGTTATGGGAGGGCCACAGTGGCAAGACCACTAGTGTGCTTAAGTATTATTGTGTTATGTAAGCGAATAGGCATTTGTTGTTGATTGCATGAGCTTGGGACATAAGTTTTGTTGTTGAGCTGTCTCCTGGGCCCCTGGCTGGTTTCAATTTGCCGTAGCATAGGCTATCAAGCGCAGATCCCGAATTGCGTAGCTTCCGGGCAGGAGTACCTTCATATCCAACTCTGCAGAAATGTCCGAATCCTTATACTCGTCATGTGCCGAAGTTCTCTCTGTATGTCAGGCTGCAAAAGATGACCTTGCCGCTCTCCTCGATCCCAACACGGGATTCGCGCCTAGGCTACGACAGTTGTGTCGCGACCAGTGGGTATCAAATGTCTTGTCAGTAGAACGCTACTTACCAGTCACCAGAATCATAGAAGCAGAGAACAGCGCGTCCTCTGATGTCTCCCAGGAGGAACTGGACGCCTTACGGATGGAGGCAAATACGTGGGGCCTTCTACAGGCTGTAATGCCGTGAGTAGACGCGTCTTGGTGCTAGTTTCCAACTCAAGGCGACAGCAGTGCACGAAAAACTGAACCAGAACCATACGTCCATCCCCGCACATTACTCGCAAAAAATCCATACACACCCACATCAACACTAGCACAAGCAATCATGCGTGCTTCGGTGCTCCTCACAGAACTCGTCGTAGTACGAGAGTGGCTTCATGAAACTGCCCCACAACCGCAACATCCAGAAGCCACCACAGGTTACTGGAAGTTTACAAAACACAACGTTATGCAGGCTCTACGCACAGGCTCGGGAATCAGAGAAGGTCTAGTGAAAGAGTTAGACCCTGATGCTATGAACAGAGGTGATGGTCGATCATTAGCAGCTGATGACGCTGTGAGTCCAATAATAACCTATCGAAGCATTGGCTCAAACACTATAATTCACAGGGATTTGAGAAAAGCCTGGCACAAGCGTTGTATTCATTTGTGCGCGCCGGTAGATTGGATGAAGCAGTTGAATTATGTAGAAAAGCACATCAACCATGGAGGGCTGCAAGCATCCGTGGTTCGCTACTGTTTCAGTGGCGGGCTATTGGTAAGTCAAACTTCAGGAATCGTTTGTGCATCTCTGAATCATCAACAGCAAACGAGCAACGTGATGACGATGGCATCGATGATGCAGAGGATGCAGAAGGATGGCAAGGAAACCCACGTCGAAAATTGTGGAAGTCGGCATGCGCGCGGGCAGCCCTAAACGTGCGTCATTTAACCGGTTTTGTACGATCTTGTTGACATGTCCTTCAAGCCCAACCTCCCTGATCCAGAGCGCATTCTCTATGCGGCTCTCGCGCCCTGCCCACAAACATTCAGTGTCCTAAAGTCCGCGTGTCGGACATGGGAAGATCACCTGTGGGCGCAGATCAGTATCTTGTGTGAGGAGAAACAGACTGCAGACATGATTAAACTAGGCGGTGGCTTCTGGGATGGAGGCCTAGCAGTATTGGAAAATATGCCCGAGCCACCATCACAGGAGGAAGATGCAGCTGAGGAAGAAGAGTGGGAGAAGGAAGCGACATCTACATTGGAAACGCTAGGTAGCGTTCACGTGGAGGACGGGTGAGCTGGACATACATCAGTCTGTTTTCTGTGCCCTGATCCTCAATTAGTCCTCCCGCAGACCACGCATTTCATGTCTCTCAGCTAGCAATCGTCCTTGGCCGGACAAGTTCATTGCTTGAAACCTTTGCAACTGGACTGAGGGATGGAAACTTTGATCCCGAATCATCAGAGTAAGTCGAACAACGTGCACGCGTTTGACATTCCCTAACGAAGCAGCAGATATCCTACAATGACGCGTTTCTTCGCCCACCTTTGCCTTTATTTGCAAATGATTGACATCTCAGTGCCGCCGCTCGCTACTCAAGTCATCCTCGAGGCTTACCTACAAGTGTTGGAAGTGAGAGTCTGTCCTTAATTGTTTTGTTCCGCATTGACCTCTGTGTCAGGCTGCAGGCCAACGAGAGTTGATTGCCATGTATGCCGGCGCACTAGGAGACAACGCAGTTGAACGATACGCGATGTTCTTGACTTCGCTCGAACTGACCGCGGACATCAACGAACGTCGATTAGCATTGACTCGTGCGCGGGAACATGGTCTAGACGTCCACAGGGTGGCAGTCGTCACCGCTGAGCGAACAATTGATAGAGCATTCGAGGTTGGTGGGACGTGCACCTCACGAAACTCATATGCTGAACACTACTTGCCAGCTTCTACCCCAATTGAAGGGACCGCTCCCTTCGGTCATTGCATTGCAGGCCACTCCCTCAGATATCGAGCTCCTGCTACTCCGTTCGATAGAATGGACAACATTCGAGGATGGAACACACGATACTGCGTTAGAACAGGCGACTGTCATTTTGCGGTACTTCCTCGGTAAGCTAAGCTTGCTGAGGTTCTATTGTTATGATTTAATCCACCACTTCAGGTTCCGGGAGAGTTTCACTCGCAAAGAACCTCATCGAGATGCTTCCGCGTGAACTCGCCTCCATCGACCAGCCTGAGGAACGAGCCACAGAATACCTTCACTACAGGCAGTTCTTCACAATCTGGGACAGCCTTGACCGTGTCGTGGAGTGCCAGAGCCTAGAAGTGTCAATAATGAACAGGGACACTAGGGCCGCTTGGTTAAGCGACTACAAGGGACTTATCGACCAAGCTTACGATACCGTCGTGAAACTACTCACTTCGGATTGGATGATGCCAGACGAGTCAGGAGACCGCCGTTCTCGTGAACTGGCGCGCATTCGACAGATGTACATCCCTGAGCTTATACTGCGGCTGCATGTCATGCTCTACGCCTCTCGAGAGCATGTTCCAGAGTAAGCATGTTCTCGTATGCAGTGCCTGCAGTTTTGACGCATCCTGGACAGGAACCTGAAACGCGCATTGGAACTTGCTAATATTGTTGCGGATTCGAGGTATAAGCTGTATGATGATTTCTTACAGCTCGATGGTCGGAGACTTGGGGAGTACCTTAATGCTGTACGCCAGGCGACGATAGCTGGCTTGGAAGGGGGTGGATCGGATCCTTTCAAGATTATTTTGTCATGATTACCGCAATCCATACAATGTACAGTGGGTTCAGAGTCTAATAGAGAGACACGACAGCAACTTGGACACCCAACATACTTAGTAGTAGATGAATACAAGAGTGATCAGTGCTACTGATCCTAGATTGGACCAAGCTGTAGTGCTGTCCGGTGCTCTGACAGCACTTCTTTAAGCAGTTCACTGATGCTAAACTTGAGTCTCGTGTAGACGTTTTTCAGTGTCTGTTCGTATTTATCTTGCACACCAAATTTTAATTTAAAAGCACCGAGACCATGGAATATGATGGCGAGCGCTTTTAAAAATCATGATGGGGTGGTTCATCTACGCACTAGAAGCCTGTAAAATGATCTTCCAGAAACAGTAGGGTGAAACGCCATCGAGGACCTCACAAGCAGGTCGTGATGGTCGTTCAACAGAAGCATTGTCATGCTCTAACAGATCAACAATGGTGGGGAGTGGGTGGGGTGCCAAAATTTCCTGGTGTTCCGTATGACGAGCTGCAGCCTAAGTAAGAATATACCAAACAATGTTAATGGTCAAATATCTGGGCGAGGTCTACTGAATGTCATCGATGTGTTCGTGTACCACATGAGACCGCTCCATTCCGTCATTGCAATATTGCAGACCACTCCCTCAGACAGAACTACCGCTCCATTCGACAGAGTGGACAACCAAACATATGATTCGCTGGAACAGGCGATTTAACATTTTGTGGTATTTCCTTTGACCATCTTGAGAAAGATATCTTCACTTGCCTTGTTACGAAACTTATTGACTAGGCTTGCGATGTTGTCGTGAATCTACTCACTTTGGACTGGATCATCGATGCCGGGTGGGGTGGAGGATCGCTGTTCCCGTGAGCGGACGCACATTCGGCAAATATAGTACATCACCGAACTTAGACTGTAGCTGTATGTCATAGTTCTACCCTTCTCGAGAACATGTTCCAGAGTAAGCATGTCTTCGTATGCAGTACCCACGGTTCTGACACATCTCGGACAGGAACCTGAAACGCGCATTGAAACTTGCTAACGTTGTTGCGGATTCGAGGTATAAGTTGTCTGATGATTTCTTATATATTGATGGTCAGAGGCTTTGGGAGTATCTTAAAGCTGTACGCCAGGCGACCATTGAAAGGGAGTCCTTTCATGATCGTTTTGTCACGATTGAGCATTCTCTATATTTATGCGACGCGCTTGCTGATTCTGCTTGCCTTGCATCTCCTGGTTATAATCCAACACCCGATTATGGCGATAATACAGACCTAACGACCAAGATAACACACAGTGCGCCCAGAGTTTTAGTGTAGACTCGCAGAGATAGTAAAGATTCAAACGAAGTCCCAATCGACACGTGCAACGCGAAACGTGCACATATTATCATCCTATTGTTATATACAAGACATGCATATATCCATAGCGTTTCAGCGTACATGAGTGGTAAGTATACAAAACTAATAATTTGCGGAATATTCTACATTGTTTGCCGGCGTGCAGAGTGGCTCCTCATACCGCTCAACTCGTCATGCATTTCGGATGAATGATCAGATGCAGGAGCCGTTGCTGCTACTGCGACTGGTCGAAGATGAACAACTGAAAATTTATCATGAGGGACATCCGCAGAGAAATTCGAAGTACCCTTACCTATCTCTGGTGAAGGATCATGTATGGGTATACCCGTCCACTCCATATGTTTGATGTCAGTCACCCATATGGCCTTCAAGATCTCTGACCAGTTTTCATAACAAGTCACAGCAAGGGACAAGGTAGGGAGAATGGCTATGCTTAGAGCGAATATCTGAAAGGTGGGTTAGAAAAGATGTGACCGCAAAGTATATGGGGTGGTAATTTTTTATGGCGCACCTGGCCGAATGTCATACCAAACGAATCTGTAGGATTGGCAGCCACAGTAGATTGAGCCCATGCCAGCGTAGGTATTAGAATCAGGAAGTTAAATTTAAAGACAGGAATACTGTCGATCGTCTGAGACCTATGATTGTTCAGATCAGTAAGATGCAGCACAGGTCACGAATGATAGGTCATCAAAAGGTGTATCAAAATGAAAATTTGAAGGTGCTCACCACAGTCGCGTCAGCGTGTCCCAATTTGAATGAGACCGTCTGAATGAGTAGATTCGCCAGAGCAAAATCCACCCAATTTGCGGGAACACCGGGATGATATAATAAAAATCCCATGGTGAGCACAGGGCAGCAAGTGTGGTGACAGCGATGATAAAGCATATGCTGAAATCCCTAAGTTATATGCTTCTCCAGAATTCGGCACTGAGACGACATGAACTCACTACCACTTTCCAGCCGATGCCTCATTGAACCACGCAATGAGTAGCCAGCAAGTGCCATTTACGGGGTCCAAAAGCGATATCCCCGTGAATAGGGTTAATGATACAGAACCGGCAGCGAGCACCAACATGATGAACCAATTGAGGTTTGGCGGCATCATGAGCGATAGCCATAGAACTGGGGACGTTCCAATAAAGGCCAGCAAGCACGGTTGAACGATACGTAAGTAAAATGAAAACATGTATGCCCTAAAAAAGGACACTGCATCAGTATACCCTGCGATTTCCAGGACCGGCAAATATGTTATGTATGAAAGTTGCATCATCAAAAGGACGCTAGCGAAAAAATGGGGAGAGACTGCGTATCGTGCACACTTGGACGTCCTCAGGAAGTGAGAGGTCCACATTGTTAGGTTGAGACCGGCCTGTTCGCTGACTCACTGCAAGGTCAATTCGCCCAAATACGAGAATCACAAGTGACTGACCCATCATCCAAATCATAATTGTTGGAGCTCTGATTCCTTTGCTCCCATGCCCTTGGGACCACCAGAAGCAAAGAAATTGCGACCACCGCCCTCAGAAAGAAAATTCCAGACCAGATTAAATTGATGATCTCAGTCTGACCATATTCATGACTACAGTCTTGCTGACTGAACCTGACCCCGTTGGGGGGGTGAGTAAGAAGCCCGAGCATAATGATCCAGATCACGAATGAGGCGACGGATAAGCAAATGAAGAATTTCCACTCGTAATGATGAGCGATCTTATCCTTGATACGCCTTGGTGGGTGTTTTGCTAGGGTCATGAATGCTATGACCCAAAGATAGAGGGTACCAGGGTTTGCGATCGCCACGACAACAAAGACGGCGTCATTCCGTGTGAGCTGCATGTTGGACATCGAGATGACAGCAGATATGAGGAGGGAGTAGATATTGGCAAGGTAGCTGTAATACGCGAGTCGGACTTCACCGGTGTTGTGAATAACTGTGATCGCTGGGAAGGGTCAACACAGGATTTTAGAACCAAATCTCCATGAAACTCGCCGAAGACAGTTGCTGCAACTCCAACTAGAGTGCGGTCAGCTCCTTCTCACCCAGAAATACACAGAGGAGACCCTACGTGCAACTTGCTGTCCTATGCCGGTGACATCGAGGTTTGGGCACGGCTCATAGCAAGAAGTCGAAGGCGGATTCAGGCAATATATTTGGAAGAGCGTCTCTTCTGACACTCCAGTAACATTGATGTAGTAGGTGTTGTTGATGTAGGAAGTGTTCATCGAAAATAGTGAAAGTTTCAAAGGGTGACCATAGACCCTGTAGTGGCTCTATATAAGTAAGTCAGGACTGCTTTCCGACAGGCTCGATTCTGTTGAAATCAGCTGCATTTGATCACCAGAAATGTGGAAATGAACAAGCAGTGATCTAATCAAATTACGCTGAACCCGACGTTGACGAGACTCATATAAACAATTTGGGATACGAAAACGCTAAGATAACAAGATGCGTTGAAGACGTGTGTTCTAAGTAAGGTTGGCGGCCAGTCTGAGTTTCAAATATTAGAGTCCCGACTCCAGGTGGGAGATCTACATAAATAGAAAACTTAAACCTTACTATCCCTTCCGGTGCAATCGGCATCCCACAAAAGAGTTGTAGGTACAGTTGACATTCTCACAATGCATAAGGTGATCATGCATAAGATCTCATAATGCATGGCCAAAGGTGGGAACCGACTTCGTTCCTATGTAATTATGCATGAAATCTATTATCCAATCATGCATAGGGCATTGGGCTGTTATACATTATTATATATACTAAATATATGGTGCGGTTCACTTAGAGGCCGCTACTTTTGTCCAAGCACCAAATCGAGTCATCAACAACGACAGATATAACCCTAACCCTAATATGAGACGCGAATCCTAGCTACAGAAGGTACACCAGCTTCGATGATCATGAACTAGGTGTCATTGCTTGCTTGAATAATGTTTGAAAGTTTGAACGAGTTGCGATGTGATCAGTATTACTTGAAAATGGCCAACGGGCACCAGAAAGCAGCAGCAGCTCGTGCAAGAGCTGCATGGCTTGCGAGAAAAGCTCGAACATCCTCCAATAATGTGTGTCCGCCTCATGGTGCACCACTAGTCCTCTCGCCAGAGTCGCCACCCATTGCAGTCAAATCTGAGTCCGAGTCTGAATGTGGGTACAATGGTGGTGTCAACTGCATCTGGTCAGAGCCTGACTCGCATACCGCTGGTGAACATGAGCCCTCTGACAATGAAAGGATGTCAGACATGGATGAAAGCTTGGAGGAATTGGAAGGAACAGACCTGGAGGAAAATCTGAAGGCTCTCAGAGATGATATCAAAAGCGGCGTGAAAAGTGGATATGCGAAGGTAGCCGCACCGAAAACTGTCGAGATCTGGCAAAAGGCAGAGAAGAATTGAGTGCTGGGATATACAGGCATTTCAAAGTGCACTCAGCAACGTCATGCAAAACAGGCCCGCGAACATGAACAGGCTCGTGAATCTGCACGAAAATCATGAGTCCTCCCTCGATTTTTCATGTCAATGATGAGTACAGCTGCTTACCTGTCTTACTGGCAGTAACAACCCCCAGGTCTCAATGATGCACTGGATGTTTGTCATTGACAAAAGCACAAACAGAGCGACAGCTCCATCACCTTCACCTGAGCCATCACTGTCCACCATGACGGCAACAAATGAGGTGGTTCCTGAAAGCGAAACAGGTCATCAGCCCAACTTCTTTGGGTACCTCTCAGACCTGTCCAACGACTCGGATGCAGACATTGAGGACTCTGACACCAACTCAGATACTAATTAGGACAATGAAATGATGCCCACTGGTGATGGCCAACTGCTGAGAGTCCCTCCTCGCAAACGGCAGAAATTAGATGTGCCACAGAGGGTTCAACGAGAGCGCAGGCAGGAAAACCGGAGCAAGGAGATGAAGAAAGCTTTGGAGGATGTGGACAAGTTGCTGAAGTCGAAGAAGACACAATTTATTGGTGGTCTGCGAGGTCTCCAAGCAAGATGTACTCACTGCGATTCAAAGCCACCTGAAGCTGGTAGTGACAAATGGAAGGTCATTTTCAGATGCCTCAGAGCGTGCAGCTGAGGCACATGGTTTTGCTGCCAAGTGGGGTGGAAGGCAGCTTTGAGGTTGGACCCGCAAATGGTTGATAACATGAGAGCTGCCCGTCTCAAGGCAAGGCCATCACGCAAAAGTCTATTCGCTTCTCAGTGACCCTGCAATTGCGTCGGAACTCAGATCATACATTCGGTCAAACAAGTGGGCAATGGATCTGGAGAAACTTACACAGTTCACCGAAAATCAGCTCATACCCAGTGTGGCAGACAAGTACCTTCAACAAATTGTACATGATGAGATGCCTCGTGGACTGCAACGGTACATGGAGGACGAACTTTTTCCTTGTATTCATCTCAAGGCAGGCCGCAGTATTTCTCTGAGCACTGCACGGCGATGGCTCCACAGCGAAGGCTTCCAGTATATCTCACACAAGAAGGGACTCTATTTTGATGGTCACGATCACCCAGATGTTGTCTCATATCGCCAAGACCACTTCCTTCCATTTCTGAAAAGCTGTGAATCATAGCTCATCCACTTTGTGGTTGGGGATGTTGAGGAGGAGTTGGTGGTCCCACCTGATAATTATGTTGAGCGCCGGTTGGTCCTTGTGGCACACGATGAGATGACGGCCCAAGCAAATGATTCGAAGGAAAAGAGTTGGGTTTTCGAAGACCAACATGCTTTGAGGAAGAAGGGGGCTGGTCAAGGAATCCATCAAAGCAATGTGATATGTTCAACTGTTGGACACCTTGTGGAAGTGAGTCAGACACTTGAATATGGGAAAAACTATGATGGCTATTGGACGGGAGAGCTTTTCGTTAAACAGGTACTATACCCAACTGCGATTTATTGAATGTGCCTTTTGCTGATATGTTTTTGTGCATCAGCTCAAGGAAAAAATCATTCCCACCTTCGAAAATGCACATGGACCTGGATATCAGGCTCTCTTCATGGTCGACAACTCTCAGGGACATTCAGCTTATTCTGAAGATGCATTACTTGTGAGCCGCATGAATGTTAAACCGGGTGGAAAACAAGCCCGCATGCGAGATGGATGGTTCATGCATGATGGCACCAAAGTGATCCAACACATGGTTTACCTGCCAGATCACCCAGAGTTCCCAAACGAGCCAAAAGGAATCAAGGCGGTGCTTGCTGAACGTGGACTGTCTCAGCCACATCTCCAAGGGAAATGCAAGAAATGTGATAGTGATTCTCTTGCTTGCTGCCACAAGCGCATCCTTGAGCTCCAGGCTGACTTTCAAGAACAAAAATCCCTGGTGCAAGAGGTCATCAAGTCAGCGGGCCACCTGTGCATTTTTTTGCCGAAGTTTCACTGTGAGTTGAACTTCATTGAATATTTCTGGGGACAGGTGAAGAAATATCTTTGCAACAACTGTGATTACACGTTTGACACCTTGAAGGACAACATGCCGATAGTGCTCACATCAGTGCCACTCCAAACCATCCGGCGGTGGGAACATTGAATGTACAGGTGGATGGATGCTTACAGGATGGGAATCAGGGACTGCTGATGCACAGCTGCAGGTCAAGAAATTTAGTTCAAGACAGTACAAATCTCACAGACATATTCCAGATGCAGTGGCACAGGCTTTTGACGAGTAGTACACATACTATTTACCAATGCGCCAATTTGGGGTGCCCAAAAATAAAAAATCGTTCTTGGGGTTTTGTTCAACACATCAAAAGCAACATTTTCCCAAGAGGAATTGAAAAACTGACAAAATTTGAGTGTGGGAAAACTTTTGGACAAAAGTAGCAGCCTCTTAGTGAACCGCACCATAGTAGTCCGGTTGGTTGAACCAGGGATGCCGCTACAAACCGACGCTAAACCTTTGGTGTTCATGCAAATTGGTGATAAATAAAATCAGGCAGGGCATAAATTTTCACTATTTTTCTATGGCACCTGCAGACCCCCCAAGGTGTAAACCTCGTCATAACCATAAGCCGTACATTCACATCACCAAACCGAAGGCCAAAGATTTACCGAAGACTTCTGCATTGCTGAAGCTACCAGCTCATGAACGAAGCAACTTGACACTCAATGATTGGCTAACTGTAGTCAAGTATCATGATGACAACCAGCCCATATTGCAGGAAGATGTTGTCAAGGATTTCGAGAAACTCACTGAGGGTGTTTTGATATTTACTCAATAGGAGGCCTTGGTTGTTTGTGACTGCATGCAAAAGCTCTGCATCGATTATGCTGACGCTGATGGTGTATCACTGCTGGAGATACAGAAGCAGCTTTGAAGGATGCAGGCGCATATCCACCGTCTTGCTGATAAATCTCGTGTGCAGGCCACTCTTGATCAGTTCTGGGGTTAGTTCTCCGAGTCATGAAGGTCCTAGATTGTATGGTTTAAACTTTAGAATCGGCATTGGGTAAGCTATCAGAAAATTGTGACAGAGTTAGCAGGTGGGAAGTTAGTCACACCGTGTGATTGTATGTCACAAATCCAGACATGCATACAACCTCACAATGCATAAGCTGATTGGGGGACCAACATTATGCATTATGAGAATTTCGACTGTACCCTGTTATCACTCCGACCTTAGTCGGTTCCTGCAGACCCTGAACCAATGAAGTCCGAACACCCTCACGGCATTCACACCAATCAGACCCCAAACACTTACCGAGACGTTCGGTTCCACTTATTATTGACGGCATCACCCAGCAATATATAACCCTCAACGTCTCCTTGCCCTTCATGTGTCCCTTCCCTCACTTCTCCCTCTTATACCTTCTCTTTCATCAGTTTAATTTTTCTTTCACTTCTCATTATCTCTTTGCCATACTCACCTATGACCAACCTATGACTCCTTAATATTTGATCGTTTTTCTCATCACAGTTGTTACTGATGTAGCACTTTGTTCACTGTACACTATTTTGGATATGTTTGGTACATGTGCAATGGAATAAGCTGGCCACATAACATCACAGATTGATATATGAGAGATCTAACATGAAAATTCAATAATGTATGATGTTTATCTAGTTGGTGCATGTGTGCTGGTGGGAAGTAGTGTGGGTTTCAGTCGGCATATGCACTGGTGGGAAGGCCACAGTATGAGTCTCGGGTATATAGTATGGGGGATGCTCAACTAGTTGGTGCATGCACTGATGGGAAGGCTGTTAAAAATGCAACAATGGCAATGATCCACCCAACTTGAATGAGATACCACTACCAAACAGCTGGCAACACAAATGTGAACACTTTGTGTTTTAATAGTGGTGGTACTGGTACAGGCTCGTGTTTTGGAATGCCTGGCGATGAAGACGCTGAGATGATGTGAGTGGTGCAATCCTCCATACCAGGTGGCATTAGTGGCGATGCAGTTGAAGATGTCAAATAGCTTGGTGATGGCGTGTCCAGAGTTGTCGGCAGCATAATGTAGGTAGAATTAGGAAGAGCGAAGGCCGGCTTTGGGGGAGAGCGATGAAACTGGATATATTAGTGTCATCAAGACAGGTGAAGTGAGTGTAAGTGTTGATAAAAAAAATGTGACAATGTCAATGATCCACCCAATGAGATACTACTACCAAATGAGTGATGGCTGGTGATGTGAATGTGAATGTTTTGATGGCAGTGACAGCAGCAGTACTGGTACAGGCTTGGGTTTTGGAATGCCTGGTGATGAAGACACTGAGATGATGTGAGTGGTGCAATCCTCTGTGTTGGGTGGTGTTGGCAGCGATGCAGTTGAAGCCAGGGACATCAATGTTGAATAACTCAGTGATGGCATGTCCATCCGTAAATTCACACATTCCTTAGCACAGCTTATTTTGAAAATTAAAATTATCTATATTTATTCACTTGGCTTTTAGTTTAATAAGTCAAATAAGGAAGCACGTGGTATTCAAGTGGTGAAAAGCAGTGCAAGGCAAGATCAGATACCAAAGCCAAAACAAGCACTGCAAGCAACATATTATTACCAATCTACCCCTAGTACTAACAATTCAAACTCTAAACTTGTCTAAACCAACATCTCAAACGCAATCTGGTACGTCCTTTGGCTTGTTGTTTGTTCGTTGATAGACGCTGGAATGACAGACAATCTATGGCGGCCTCCAAACCAAGATTGATGGACTCAGACATGCATTGTGGGTGGGAGCGAAAGTGCCAGTGGACAGAGGTAGTGGCTCGTGCACTGGCAATGGTGACCGGGATGGTTGAGGATGGTGGTGAGGGGGCAGCAGTAGTTGGGATGGTGGTAGGAGATCCTGAGGAGGTCCTGGAGCAGGTATATTTGAGTGGAGTGAATGCTTGTGTTGGGTGAGACCTGATTGGTTTTGAAACCAGCGTGCACAGCCTGGAGCTGGGCATGGAAGCTGAAGTAGGTGGTGAGCATGGTGGGGAGGCATATATGTGCTATAAGCCAAGTTGGTGTTGACAGTCAAAGAGGATTTCTGAAGGTGAACAACAAATTCGGACCAGCACCAATGTGACCAAACCAGGCTTAATGCACAAATGAAGGCTAGATTCGGGGGTTCTTGAAAGAAACGCCCAAATCACACAGGCTCATTGATGTTTGAGCAACACCGGAAACTTGAAGGTGTCTGATACAGTGAACTCTGGGTTCACAGCACCCAAAAAATGCTGAAAGTGTTACCAAACTGCCTCCTTGCCGGACAGGTTTTGGTAAATGTTGATGTTCAAACTGCTTTCCGAGAAGGGCTTGGTGAACATTGATGCCTTGCAGCAAAACTATGGGTAAAAATTGATATTCAGACTACTGGGGCTGGTGAAAAAATACTGGTAAACTAACATTTGGGAGTGGCAGGCACGAAAGGATTGCGGTAATCTAGTACTAGGTACATCAGCTTGGTAAGGGTCAATGTAGATATTTATTCAGAGTCAGCTTAGACTACAATTTTTGAAGAATGGTGATGAAACATACCTTGTTGTGAGCTACCATCGCCCTCAAATTTCTTTAGCCTCCCAAACCCTCCATTGATACCATGCCCGCCAGCGCAGCTCCAAAATGCATGACAACTCGAGCTAAGAATGCAACTCAGCATCCAGGACATATTCTGACCAGGGGCGAAAACTGTGTAAAAAGACGTACCAAAGCTGGAAAGGCTGCTGACAAGCAACATGAAGAAGAGGAGAAGGAGGCAAGTAAAGCAGCTATACAGGAAACTCATAAGTGTGTTGCGGCATTTCAAAAAAAGATGCAGACAGACCAAGCTGCTGCATGTGCTGATGCACCTAAGCCTAGTCGTCCTCATCCTCGTCCTGTGAAAAAGGCTGCAAAAGCCTGAGAGACCACTGACTTGACTACGGCTGCCAATAAGGCTGTTGGTGCCAGCATGTATTTTCCCCCCTCTCTTCACAGCACGGCTAATTATTTCCTGTGTTTCAGGTGGAATGCACCATCTGCCTTATTGCTCCCAAGACCCTTGTCAGCGAATTAGAGGTGAACAGTAAAGGCAAGGCTGTCAAGGTCCCTCACACTTTTAACAAGTCCTCAGGCAAGATCAGTGGCTCTTGAAAGGCCTTCTCGGACACCAATTTTGGTGTAATGACCAGGTGTTACATGACATCTATTAACCACCTGCAAGAATCGGTCCTCCAGGATGTCTGGGGACGGGCGAAGGAGATCACCTTGAAGAGGTGCAGTGCACCCTCCACTGTAGATGAAAACTCTGAGGATGAGCATGTGCTCATCTTCTAGTAGTACTACTAGTCAGTACTGTCTTTCTTGTTGCCCACATGCATCTCACTAACTAGTGTCTTCAAGTTTACTAAGTACTACTAGCCTATGGACTGCTACTACTCTTCACCGCCGCTTCATTAATTTCCTGCTGCTATTGCTTCTGAAACTCCTTTTTAATGTCTTTTTTTCCGAGTCCATACTTAATCTACTTGTCGCTTGAAAATGCAATGTTTTGTGGTCATGTTTCTCTCAAAAAGTGTGATTAAGTTGCAAACAAGTAGAAAATAAGTGAAATAAGTGTTATTACTTGCTGCTACTTTTGCTAGCACTTGCACTACTTACAAAGGCAAAATAATCGAAAAAAGGCCAAAATAAGGGTGGAAAAAGTCACGGTCAAGAGGAGGCATCTGCTTTTTCAACTTAAAATTGCTTGTGGCAAGTTGGTGTTGCCGTTCTTGCGCATGACTTGTCTGCTCCTTTTTGGGAAGTTAACCAGTGGCAAGTTACCAAAAAGGAAGTTCAAGAAATATGTGAATTTACTGATGTCCGAAGTAGAGCTGATCACAAGCAAATTAACGGTCCAGCACAGGCTTACCCAAGCAAGCACTGCCACCGCACCACGTGAATCGCCATGGTTGAAAGGACACGACCCCAGACAGCAATGTTCGAACCACAGATAAGCTCGGGAAATGCACAGGAGGGCAGCAGATGCTGTAGGCAGCGAAAATCGATGTTTTTGAGCTGTGGAAGAGCTCTAGGCGCTGCTGGATGGGGTGAAGGGTCCTGGGTGAGCACAATGCAATGGAATGCTGAGACGCTAACTGAGAGACTGCAAATTTCACACATTAGGATCATCAATTTTCCATTTGCACCTGGCTTCGGTCTTGGTGGCAACTTGTCCTTCCCTCCCGCCAAAAAAATGTGCTGCATGCTGATGTGCTGCAGATTGACGGTCCTCAGATTTACAGTCCAGGTTGGCTGCTGTACCATACATGGTACTGCCACTGCTTATGTACACATATACTACTAGCAAGTGAGTACCTCCTCTTCTCGTTCGACTCCCATCTCCTCCACGCATAGCGGCCATGCTCATCAGCCTACTGATCTCAAATTATATTTCCAGTGTGTTCCTCGTCATGGGCATCAATGACCTGTGGGAGGCACGTTCCCACTGTTCACTCGGCAGGTGCTGAAACTCACCCCATCATTTGTCAGGTGCTCGAGCCTGCTGCAATGACGGTGCCCCTCGTCTCTCTTGCCATCCAGGGCCACTATGAGGGACCTGCACCACACTCGCCTTACATTGTAGGCGTGGATGCAAGGTTTGTGTTCACTCGCTCAATATCTGTATTTGAAGGCAAAATTCTCACTTTTTGATCTAGTGCATGGTTCAAACAATGTCAGCAGGGCAGATGGCACCATGCACATGCTCAGACAGGCTGTCATATACCAGATCCGAGTACCCCCAGTACCTCCTATGAGCATCCCCACTGCTGGCCTGACCCCCTGTTTCCCCGTCCGCTTCATTCCTCCTTCCCCGACAATGCACGAAGTGCATCTCAGTAGGATCAGCCCTGCTACCTCCATCCGACTCCATTCTGCTTTTCTGACATTACCCCTATGTCCTCCGACACCATACCCCTTCCATCCGACCCTATCTGGGGTTCCGCTCCTCCACCCTATCGGTCCGCCCGATCCTACTCCTACTCCCTCCGCTTTTCCTCCCCGCTCGGATCCTTCGGTTCCGCTTATATTGACCTGCCTGACCATTAGTCCATCTGACCGCCTCACCAGTCCACTCCTAGACTAGGAACCACTCAACTGGTCCTATCCCTGTTTAGTATTATAGTTCCGCTTTTCGGATCCCCAGTAATCCCTATACCCTAGCGAGTCTGATCCGTCGCGTACATACTTTTCTCCGAGCCTCATTCTCGTATGTCTCAGTCATCCCATTGTAATCCTGTACACTCAGCACATAGCCTTCTGCTATGCTATGCTCCTTACTTAGAGTATATAAACCTATGTACCTTTGTCTGTAGATACTCAGTCTGAATATTACCTTTTCTAAGCCCTGCTCTTCTGCCCTTTGACTTAAAGCTTATCCCAAGTCAAACTCCTGTTTCCTGGCCTAGGGGATTGACTCCCTAGGTCAGCTGTCCTCCGATCCTCCGCTTCCCTGCTTCCCCATTCCTCCATCCCGCTGGTTCCGTTGTTCCGTTGTTCCGTTGTTCCGTTGTTCCGTTGTTCCGTTGTTCCGTTGTTCCGTTGTTCCGTTGTTCCGTTGTTCCGTTGTTCCGTTGTTCCGTTGTTCCGTTGTTCCGTTGTTCCGTTGTTCCGTTGTTCCGTTGTTCCTCTGACTTCCCATGCATCGGAACTAAACCCTGCACTCTCGCATCCATCCCCTCCATTCCACTCTGCGTCGGACTTCATCCAAGCAGTCCCTTCTGCTCCGCTTCTACTGTTGGTTCCGACAACTGTAGTCCCCCACCTCTCTCCTGTTGAGCGGAACCCCCACACGACTTTCCCGCGCTCACCTAGTAGTCCAACGGTCCTCCTTCAGAGGATCCCCATTCCGACGTCCTGTCAGAACCCATAGAACTTGCATCGGACTACATCCCGAAATTAGGGGCACGTACTCAGGTAAGGGGCGCAGCGTACGAGCTGAAGCCAAGCCCCCCAGACTCCGCTTTACCCTGAGCACGGTCTTAACACAGGCCAAAATCCTGCCCTTTGAACATTTTGTTTCGCCTTGCTCGACTCGCCTGGCTCCCAGTCCAATTGGTTTTTGCATTTGACGGCAACCAGCGACCCCAAATCAAATGGGGCCACAGAGTGTCTACCAACAACCATTGGATGGTCAAGCCCATGCAGTGGATCATGGTAAGTTTTTTCTTAATTTTTTTTTTCATCGTCATCCATACCAATCCTGACTATCTAGGCTGCTGGAGAAGCTGAGGCACAGCTGGCACTGATGAATGGTGCTGGTATCATTGACGCTGTCATGACAGATGACAGTGACACATTTATTTTTGGTGCTCAGACTGTCCTGCGCAAGTAAGATCTCACATTCTCTTTCGCATGCTCTACTGACTCTTTTTAAGCTCAACATTTTCAATAGATTCGACTGTCAAATTGTATACAACGAGTGCCATTTAAGAGCATGTGGACCGCCATCTTACCAGCGACAGATTCCTTACCCTTGCCATCTGCTGCGGTGACTATGATAAGGTAAGCCAAACCAGTTCATTATCAGCCAGGCTGATGAGACCTGCTTCTAGAAGGGCCTGCCAGGGTGTGGTCGTGAGACAGCACTTGGCCTGGCTTGCTGTGTGGATGCTGGTGTGCTATGTGCTGCCATATGTGGCAACAGCCTTGATGGGCCTCTGCAACAGTGGTGGGACACTGCTCGGTATCATCTTGTGGATGATCCCACTGGAAAAATGGGACATTCTCACCCTGCTCTTGGTTTGGATGTTGGAAAGGGTCTGGGAGGGAGCAGCTGGTCTCTTGGCTGTCACTACCCCAACATCCTGGTTTCTTCCATCCACAGCTTCTTTGACCTCCTCTTCCCTCTCCTCCTCCGATTGATAGTGAGAGATGTAGCTCTGGAACATGACTATTTTCTCCTGGCGACTCAGCCACTGAGTCATCTGAGTGAGCTCATTGTGGAAGTTGGATGCTCTCCATGCTTCCTTGGCGTAGTCTATATGAAAATGTTCAAACATTTCAGTATTATAATTATTGGTAGTTCCGAAATTATGTATGCACTCCTCATAGTGCAGCATTGAGTGAAACTTTGGTATGTTGAAGTGATTGCGTATTCCAAGATCCACCAGGATGTCCTTGTTTGCATGAAATTTGTCCAGGGCGTTGGTGAGATACTGGAGGGTAGAGTCGTCATGTGTGGGATACTGGGCCACATAGATAAAGTCGAGTAGAGCTCTATAGCAGACTATCACCTGAAACGCACAGGAAAATTAGTGAATAGCGTCATCACCCCAATGTGTCATATAAGATAGATGTAGGACTTGAGGAAGGCGAAGCTAACTTACCTGGGATGGAGCCTTGCCCATGATACATCCAAGAAGGATGCGTGCCATATCTTTCCTCTCCTTTCCTGAGACCTGTGATAGCTGAGACCAGCCATTCTTGAAGTGTCGTACCTCGAAACAAGGTGGAAGTGATCTTATGCGATGGTCCAACTCTGCGGTCGTCATTAGACTGGTGCACCAGTGTTCCAGGTGCTTGACAACACCCTGGTACAGCTGATGAAGAATATCTGAGGTGATACCCATGTGGATATCGCAATGAGGGAAGTCCTCCCAAAAAGGATGACGAACTCCTCCTGATATGTTGTCCGCTTTGCATAGTTCTTGAAAGTTGCTGATAGAGGTCGCCTTCTCCCTAGCAATACGTATGAGCTTTGAAGTCCTGCATTGAGTCCTCCAGCCTGCTGCTTCTCTCCCACCCATCTCATCGTCATTTACTTGGCACTTTGGACATGTCCCATACTTGGCACATGTTACCAGACACTGTTCTGGATAATCTGCGACATAGCAAGCCAAGATGGGGTACATTATCTGCACCTTGCCATCCCCCCCAGTCACCTCCATCCCTTTCTTTCCCACCTCTACCAGTGGCTCCAGGACAATGCGCATTGAGTCGTGGAACAGTTGTTGAATTCTCATTGACTTCTGCTTCTTAGTGAGCTGCTTGCATACCATCTTGCTGACGGACAGATAGGCTATGAGTATGCAAGCTTGTTGTGATGGTTTGTGATGGATAGCTCATGGGAGGTTCCCAAGAGTCAGATACACAGGATATGCAGTCTTGCCACCTGTAAACTGCGTGAGTTGAGTCTTATCTGTGGCTATGATCACAGGAGCAACGCATGCTCCAGATGGTAGCCTGTCCTGGAGAGAAAGCTAAAGTAAGCATTTAGAATGTGTAGTGAACTCGATACTCACCTGTACCGTGTTCCACCAGTCCCCAGTCCACATCTCATTATATATCCTCTCGCTCTGAGATGCATCACTAAATATCTTCTTTGGCCTATAGACCACATGTTCAGCATGCGCCGGATTACCCAATAATGTCTTGATAGCCTCCAGGGGATCACTGGTGATGGACTATGTGCTTATCTTCCAGGTCATTCTTGAACCATAGCTCTCGCTTCTTCCATGTAGCACAAGGAGGTACTTCATCAACAATCTTGTGTAAGCCACGTATGTTCTGGTACGACAGACCAAGCTTCTCAGCGACCTGTCATAGAAAGTCAGTAAGATGAACTCAATACCATAACTAACAGCACGCACTCCAGGTATGGCCATAAGTCTGTCAAAAGACTTGTGCCCTATGCCATCCCGAATCGCCCAGCAGGCCACCCTCCAGTCCAGCTCAGAAGCAAAAGGTGCGAACCTATTGACTGCAGCTGATGATCCCTCTCCGAGTCCAACATCCTCCATAGACACATCTCCTTCCTCATCAGTTCCAGAAAACTCCCTCCTCCACTTCTGGTGTACTGTTTCATCCATACGTATAACTCGTCCAGCTGTGGGGTGGGGGACTTCAATTCGCAGGTCAATGTTTTCATCAGGATCGTGTCTGGGATGTTGTAGGTCAGGAGAATGGGATGGTATAGGAACAAGATCGAAGAGCCGATCTTGGAAATCCTGCATGACCTGTGTGGGATCAGCTGCGTCAATCATCTCATCCCCTTGGGCGAGAAGCGGTTCATCCCCTTCAGCAGGAAGTGGTTCATCCACTTCTCCCATCTCTACCTCATCGTCCAGACTGAATTGTCCTGGAAGGGTCAATGCCCTCATCTTACCCTTCTTGTACCATTGACAGGACCTAGCAGTGGAAAGGTGAGCTGCAACTCCTTGTGAAGAGCCTAACCATTTATGACAAGCAGGGCAGATTGATGGATTGTCATCTTGTCTATGAACACATTCAATGTTGACATTCAGAGCATGGAGTGCAGAGCGGAACACAGTCATAGCCAAACCAATCAGGTGGAAGTGAGATAAGAAATGGACGCGTCTTGTGAGTGCGCACCAGATCATTGATATCACTAAAAATATATCATGTCCAAAGATGGAAATGCGTCGGGCGTCTTGTTCCAGACCTTGTACCGACCCTTTGCTCACTGTTACAGACAACGACAAACTAGCATACACATTGTTACAACAAAAACACATAAACAGTGTAATCTATGAATCATCAACATATTGCTCCCAAAAAGCACAGCTCAAATTGACCTTAATCAAGACCTGCGACAACATTTGTTCTCATTCTCAGTGTCGGACACTCGAGTGACTCCAGACCACCCAGACCCAGACCCAGAAGTATGACCCTCTGTCAATGTACTGCCAACCGAAGGGTCAGTGGAAACATGAGAAGTCCCAGACAGCCCTCCAGACCAATGTGCTGAGTGTGTAGACTGATGCGGTGACTGACGCAGTGACAGCACAGGCGCAGTAGGTGCTGCCCTGCCCCGCTGCGACCCACTCCTGGTGCCCATGCCCACATGTCCACTGCGGCGCCTGCTAGAAGTGCGTGTTTTGGATGAAGTAGGTGGTTGCATCTGAGGCCCTGGGACATTCAAGTTGGGCATGTAAGGGATAAATAACAACGGCTCAGAAGTGGATGAAGAAGGTGCAGCCTGCGAAGGGTTTGATGATGGCGGTGGTAATTCCTGATGAGATCCTGAAAGGTATTCAGCCGGATAAACGCTGACAGGTTGGAACTGTCGGATCTTCAATGTCTGCACATTTACCAGCCGATTGATGGAGGCGGAATACCTCTCCCAAGCATCCAAGACCACCTCCTGGCTTGGTGCACCATCAACAGCAGCGGGTATGGTGGCTATCATCTCTCTTATCACAGCAATGAGCCGTGCATGGGTCAACTTTGTGCGCTTCTCCTCCACAGCCTGGCCATCATCGTCCATCAGCCACAGCAGGTTGTACAACTTGATCCATCCATCGCAAAGTGTGCCAACTTTCCAATATGGTTGAAGCGCTCCCATGAAATCCGAGGAATCCAGACATAGTTTGTCCATCTTCACAGTCTCTGTCGTAAGGTCATAGGTACCCACTTTTGCCCATGCTGGGACTTTCCTTTGACGAATCCAAAACTCTTTGTCTTCCTCACGCTTGGGAAGAACGCATGTTGTTCCAATCTGTGTAACACCCGTGGAAGGAGGGAAGCACTTCTCATCGATAGGAGCACAGCCAAATTTCTCGGCAGTGAGCCTGTTTGCCTCTGACATAGACACTGCATTGTTGGGGATGGGTCTTCGCTTCTCGACAGGAGGAGGCCAATGTTGGACGTCATTGTATGGACCCTTGAAGTTCACCCCAATGAGCCATATAAGGTAGATGTAGGCCTCGAGGTCGTGTGTGACGCCAGGAGCCTCATTTTCCGCACTGGTGCCAAAAGGGAATGTTCCTTGAGAAAGTGAGTTTACAAAGAAGAAATAGTGGGGTGAGGACACACAGTGGTAACAACTCCATTGGCAGCACTCTTACTCTCCAACATGTCAAGCACTAAGGCAAAATCACCAGCCACCCCAGGACGCCTAGGAAACCACTCTGGGTCGACCACCGCCATTCTGAAGTGCATTTTGCCATCTTGTTCTTTTATCCACTCAGGAACTGCAAACCACTCATCAATTTGAGGAATCCACATCCAAACATTGCTATCAATGGTGTCTCGGTGTATAATCCCGTGCCTGTAAGCTTCAAGATGACCTGGAAAGATTGATCAGTGAGGCAGGTTCAGTGGCAAACGTATATGCTTGCCTAGCAGTGCTCCTAGTATACAATGAAGAAGTTCCCAGCAACATGAGAACCAAGTGCATTTTATGGTGGGGGTGTGAAAAAAAGTGCAGAGGTGGACCAAGGGGTCAACCATGCCAGCCATTCCCCACAAGATAGATCCCGTGGTGTCTGGGAGCGATTCACCACTCTTGGGGTCGGTGAATATGACAGGATCCAAGGAGAACTGTTTGTCACGTATGGGAAGGTGCGGGGGATACTTGCCATAGATATCAGCATCCCATCCGGGAGATGTGCTCCAGAGTGTATACAATGATTTCGTGAGTGTTAAGGTCGTGCTCAAGGGAGAGGTTGCTCAAAGGGCTTCGGCTTCAGCTCGTGTGCTGCGCCCCTTACCCGAGTACGTGCCCTTTAATTTCCGGGGGACAGAGGGGAAGTCCAATGGAAGTCCGGGGAGTTCCAGAGGACTTAGTGTTGGTGGAGTTCAGCGGAACTCCGGAAGGTTTATGCGGGGACAAAGTAAGGCTACTACAGAAGTCCGGAGTAGAAACTGAACAGAGGTTAGACTACCCTAAGGTAGAGCCGGAGAAGTAGTCCTAAGGTTTAACCCCTGAGACTTGGAGGTGGACAAGAGATGAGACTCAAGTCCGGAGATTGCAGGAATGAGCAGAACTAAGATGATAATCGAACTAAGGAGTTCCGGAGTATTACAGGGGTTTATATACTGTAGGTATCATGTAAGTAAATCAGTCAGCAAAGGTAAGGGCTATGTATGAAGCATGTGGAAAGTCTATTACTAAGTGTAACAGATCAAAGCAGTGAAGTCGGAAATGAAGTAGGAATGGGCGGATCAATAAGCATAGCGGAAAGGACATAACTGGTGACTGGAGCAATAGCTAATCTAAAAGGAGTTAGGGGTCAGTGCGGAGATGAAGGCGGAGCGCCGGGCGGAATAGTAAGATGGAGAACCGGACTTCAATGAAGTAGATCCAGAATTCCGGATCCGGAAGTACGGGATATGACAGTGAGCTGGACTTCATGAGCAGTTTCCTCTATAGTGTCAGGGACGTCTAATGACTCATTGAGATCAATATGTGATTGTAGGTCTATGCTCTGCACTCACCGATCTTCAATTTAGCCTTATCAACACGTTCACTATCCTCCAGCAACTGGTGAATTTTGGCATCTGAGTAAAGGTTTATATTCTGCCACATGTCTTTGCAAATCAGGTGCTCGACTTGGGGAATTGAATGTTGCGAACCAGGGGGCGCAGGGGGGATGTAAGAAATTCCCATGACCCTGGTAGATCATCCAATGCTGGATTGGCTGTTGTAGATGACTGATACAATCATAGCGGCCAGTTCTTCTGCGTCTGACTCGGCTGCCGGCCACCTCATTTCTATGCCACCCCCAGGCTTTTCCAAGATGGACGTATCATAACCCAAAAGTTGCAAATCTACGTACTTGAACCAAGTGATGATTTTCAAGTACTTCTCAATGTCCCGATAGATGTCAATGGGCTCGGTGATGCTTGATCCTCCATGGGTGTGCATGCAGATGGAGAGATTAGAACCCAACAAGTTCAAACCCACGAAGTATCGTCGATTGATTTGGTTGGTCAGAACAAGACGTGCAATTTTGCCCATGTAGCTGATCATATCGCTGTTGAGCTTCAAGTTATCATGGTACTTGATTTCCATCACAGAGATGAAGTTGGCCCACTGAAAGGTGTCCGTGTGAGGTGCCTGCTTCATCAAGACAGCGTCGGGCTTGTGAGACCCAGACCCATGGTGAGATGTGATGTTGGCACCACTCAAGGGGAAGACAAGCATGGTGCTAGTGTCGCGCCACTCCCGTGCATCCTTACTGAGCGTTTCAACCATGTCATAGCCCTGAACCTCAATGATCGTCTTATCCATGGCAACACCAGTCTATGAGACACGCATGAATATCAAGTCAAGCTACAGGATTGGATATTACAAACATTGTTAAAAAATGTGACCACATCTTTCTCCCTAATCTTGTCACCCCCAAGCAAAGAAGGGCAGTATCCGGTTTCCCACCAACTCATCATACCTCCTTGCAGCGACAGCTTATCAAATTCACAACCGTTGTTTCTGGAGTAGAGACGACATTCAACAACCTGTCAAAGTAGTAGTTTGCATCAATGGGTCGCGAACTTATCACCAATGGTAGGTACATACCTCATCATACCACTTTGTTGTCACCACTTGAGTGTCATCTTCGGGGATGTCATGATGCTCAACAAGGTAATTCTCCACAAACTTCTTTCCCTCCTCGATGTTGGCACAAGTTTCCTCACACAGGAATTTGGTGCCCCTGTCATGCATAACATGGGCTATGTCCCTCAGGTCGGTGTCCAATAGCCTGGCCACAGTACTGCTAACAAGTGCCTCCCTGAGCGCGGAAAACGAATCATGATACTGGCGCTCCTTGATGAAGGTGAGCTTCATTTGGTTTATTATATCGTCGTTGAGGAATTTGGGATTGGAAAATGGACCATGCAACAGGAGACATGAATCCAAAGGACATCTGTGAGCCCCATAGCGGCCGAACTGCAATTGCAACTGCAGCATGATGGGGTCAGAGACTCGGGGATATATGAAGTTTGTGGCTCCGTATCCCCAAATGGAGTCATGCTGGTGAGCAGAATGTCAGTTATACTGCTAGAAAGATCATAAGTCTGGGCCCTACATGATGACGAACTTGATTTTGAATCGTCTCTTGGAGGTGGGGTTGGTTGGGCTTGTAAAGAAAAGAAATTTCCCATGTGTGAGTTTCATCACCGCAGTCAAACCGCAGTTGAGCTGTTACTCACCATGTTCTACTTACACGTTGTATGCTGTGAAGTTGCAGTGGATCGTACAAAACTTCACTGATCTGATGGAAGGCTTCAAAGCTTCAAGTGGGAGGACTTAGCCTTGCGCACTCAGCAGACATCATTTCAGCTGGCACTGATCCCATCCATTGCAAAGATAGATTTCAATTATGATCAGCGCAGACCAGGTTAGGAAGACTAGCTGGCAAAGACTCTGACCTATGTTGAACTTGGGAATGCATGGTAAAAGCAATCCATGCTATAAGTGTGGGAATTTTGCGCTGGTTGGGGGTGCAAAGGCACTACAAGGTCTAGAATTACCAAATTTGGGAACCCCCGCTCAACGTCTACAACATCCACCTGAAACCCGCCTTTTTTTGGAACACAATGTCTCCCATGTCATTTCCAATGACCAAAGAGGATGTCAATCTCATTGTGAATGCCCTGCAACTGATATGTAATGATGAGGCCTCCTTGTTGAAGGACCAGCTGTTATCGCATTACTCTTCCTATTTTCCTGCTTGCAGATTTGAAGAAGAAGTTCAAGAAGGGCAATCACCTACAGATCAGGTGAGTTCTTTTTCAACTTGTAATTTGTAAAACCGGCCCTCACCCATTTACAGCTCCACCCTGCAACCAACCGTGCACGTGCATGTGTTCCATATGATCTACACTGCTCAAGGAGGGGTGGCCCATTAGTCACAGGAGCACGGTGGACCATTGGAGAGAACACCGCATGTTCCTCCAACATTTCGGCTGAAGCAATCATCGGTTCTATAGCGTCCTTCAATGCTTCTCATAAAATGGATCTCACCTCATGGATCTCCAGCGTGCTTGGCACCCTCAAAGCCAGGGAGAATGATCCAAAGACTGGAGCTGGACTGCTATGTCTGGTGGAACATTGTCATACATATTCTGGGATGGGAGTGGGATGGAGCTTCATGACTATGGTGAGCCGACTGCAGCTAGCAGTGAATTGTCTGAGGTATGTGTTTGGCATGCTCTTGCATTACTCGTGCTCACGCAATAAATTTAATTCAAAGTACCATACTGATCAGCACCCATCGATTTTTACAATAACAGAATTCTACGACGCTAAGATAATGCCTTTAGAACCCAGGTTGAGACCGGCGCGGAGCAGCTTCTTTTTCTGGATCTCATCCGGGGTCAAGTTCATGCTTTTGGCAGGTGGCGGTTCCATTTACACATTAATTCTGATCGCAATCAAAGACATGCGCTGGAGCATCACCACTGCCCCTGCAGAAGTATCTTGGGAAGTTGGGAAGATGCTGCGTCATCCAGATAAATGTGCTGGTATGTCATACATGTTGTGTTTTGCATTAAACCTGGAATCTCACTAGTAACACAAGCTCCAGAGATGCAGTGTCTTATTCAAGGGAAGATCATACCTATTATCGCTGCATTGAGGAAGCACTTTCCCTTGAGCATGCCCAATGTGATCAATGGGTCTGTCTCTCTCCAGCTGGACTGTACATGCATCAGAGATGTTGACCACTTCATCGATTCTGTACCAATCAAGTGAGTATCATTGCCAGGAACGTTTCAGTGTTAGACTCATGTGATAACTTTCTAAAGTAACTATACACTTCCAAAGTGGTCAAGAAAGTAATGGAACACCTGCTACATACCATGTTGGGAGGATACAATCAGCCTGGAGAATGGTATAAGTGGGACTTGCATCACGCAGCAGCCTGAGGCCCCACTCTTCACATCTTTTGCAGCATCACCACCAGCACCCGTCATCCCTTGTACAGGGTCTACGTCCTCCTCCGCCGTTTGCGTTTCAACCACATTCGATCGTAATCACCCTAGCAACCTTCACTTCCCAGGAAGCCGCGACAGGGTGAAGAACTTATTATGGATGATAGAGCAGCACAGGATAGTGGAGGATGGGGGCATGGTGATGAGGGACATAGATGAGCTGAAGGAGAAGGTGAGTTCACTTGTTCTATTGGCGTAGATATGCTCATGTAGATTGAGACAGCTGTCTACTTTCTATCCTGGAGGCGTCAAAATGGTGGATACTTTTCTAGTGGTTCTGATGTTGATCATTCCAGGGGCCTTGGATATTCGCAACTCAGATGGCAGCCTGATGGTCCTTATCTGCACCAGTATACCTTCTAGCATGTGATTGTCCTTATTTTCTATGCTCAAGTCGGCCTTTGATGGCCTGGACATTTTCAAGGATTGGACTGTTACATCCATTTCCGAAGAAAGTCAAGATCCGGAGATCATTTTGCAAGCAGAGGCGAATGAGCCTTTTAGATGCACACACTTCAGTCACTGGAATTGCTATGGACTGATGGTAAGTTGAAACAGTATACTTGAAGTCCTAGATGCTGATGCTTCTTGTAGGGTCATACTGCGCTGCAGGGTGTCCATCCTCATGACCTAGAGGCTGCTGGAGGGAGAAGAACTAACCTTAGACAGACTTTACCTTACACGTCCAAAGAGACATTTACTCAACAGCAGCTGTACCTGAACATCCAGACTAATTTGGGCAAAGTATTTGAATGGATCGAGGAAGAGGTGAGTCGGAATTTGACTCCAACAATTATTTATTGATGGTCAATCAGATCTCGCATCTCCTTCCTGATGAGTACAAGGTTCTGGTCAAGCTGGTAGACATTCTGCCTAATGCTGAGGGATCTCCAGTCAGACCTTTCCTCTCATTGGTGGTGAATATTAATGTGTGCACGGTGGCACATAGGGATGCCAAGGACTTTGAACTATGCCTAGTGCTGGCAGTAGGGGAGTTCACTGGTGGTGGACTAGTGATGAGAGAGCAGGGGCTGGTTGCAGAACTCAGGAATGGGGACTTTGCTATATTTAGGTCAGGAGAAACTACTCATTTCAATTTGGATTATTTGGGTAGGAGGGCGTCTCTGGTGATGCATACTGATGGTGGGTTTAAAACATGGGAGAAAGATTGCAATGGTTGGAAAGATCACTCCCACTTCACATATTTATGACCTACCCCTGCCATTATTTGATACTTTACATAGATGCATGGGCAAAGAATGATTGCTAGTATGTCTGCTGTGGCTGCTCAGCAATTTTATATTTAATAAGTTCATTTTGCTTGTTCAGCTGTCCATTCCAACCTCATCCACCCATGGCACCCAAGAAGATGACTTCAGCTGGTCCTCGTCCAGCTACTCGTGCCAGCACTGGCAGTTCAGGAACAAGAGTCAAGCCTACACCTCAGGGTGCCTCCAAAGCAAAAGCTACTCCTGCATCCACTGGGAAAGTGAAAGGTAAAAATTCAGTCAAAGGCCCAGGATTGACTGCAGGAGAAGAGAAGCTTCTCAAGGATTTGGCTCAGAAGAAGAAGAAGGTAGCTGAGGACGAAGCTGAGGCTAAGAAAAAAGGTAAGTATCCTAGATTTGAAAGACTATCGCTAACATAAAGTCTCAGCCTCCAGAAAGCGAGCTGCTGATTGTCTCTTGGATGAGGCAGGAGAAGACAAGGAGAGGTCTGACAATGACTCACTATATGACAGTCCTCCAACCAGCCGTCATTGTCGTCTACATTCCCCTGTGGAGCCTGAAAGGAATGATAAAGGTAGTAATATGGTAAGTATGATTCTAGATGGTGGCTTGAGTAGCGAGATAGAGGATGATAGCATTGATGACCAGGTTGGAGGGGGCGGGGATGAGGGCCACCAAGATCAGCAAGGGGAGTAGGTGGATGAGGTGGATGAGGGCATTCAAAATCAGGAGGAGAAAGAGTTTGCTGGAGAGGAGGTAAGTGTACCAGCATACTGGAAAGGATTAGACTGACTTTTTGAGGATCGCACCAGACAGTTGTAGGCCTGAAGGAAGAAGACCAAGAATCCGACAAGCACTTCAGCATCACTAGTGTTCCAAGGAGCAAGGTGAAACTCAGCAACCTGAACAGCCCATGTACCAAGCATATAGCTATCTCTGCTCACAAGGCAATGCACCTCCATGTAGCCACAGTTAACAGCTTTCCTTCAGCTTTTGACAGGGAGGAGCTCTGCTGGGACCTACTGGTGTCTAGCACTAGGGACAACGAGGTGTTGTGGGAGAAGATGGTGCTCATTCAAAGCGATGATGACTTGAAAGCTTACTTGATAGACTATGTGAGTATTTTTCTTTGATGCACCTCAGTTGCTCATTCTATACTATAGAATTGGAAGGCTGCCGGCCAACTCAGAGGGGAGTTTGCCTCCAAAGCCCGCATCAGTGTCCCCAGTACCTATGGAATAGGAGAGCTAAAGCATGAGGAGTTGGAGGATGTTCTTAAGTGGTTGTTGGAGGAGGCGAGATTCATACATGCCAGAATTAATGTCAAGGTAAGTGTCCTGTCTATTGAAAGGCTTTAGACGTATTGAAGCTTAAAATTTCTGTACAGAATCTCATCTATGATGAAGCTTTCTCCCCTTCAGAACACCATCTTCAGGCTGCTACTATCCGCCCAATGGTGGGGTCCCAAGGGAGAAGGAAGAAAGTGGGGGCAGAAGAAAAATCCATTTTTCAACAATATACCCATCCTCACATTGATATCAAGTGCAGTGAGTCCTACATCTACCTTATATCCCTCCCACTCATCGCTGATGAAACTTGAATCCACAGGTTGAATGTGTTTTATTAGGTATCATGAGAGGACATCCCATGGACTTTTCTGAAGTGCACTTCAAACCTAGGTTTGATTTTTTTTTTTACTTGCAATGACAGTCAGCAGCTCATTTTACCATTGGTTTTTTGTTAGATGGGATCACTACATGAGCCTCCTGGAGAACCTTGAAAAGGAATGTCCTAGCTACCTAGAGATGATTTGGGATGAATTGAAGGAAGGGGTTTGGTGTGCAATATTGTTTTTCCACCTTGATTTGACTGACGGTTTGAAATAGGAATGGTAACATTCCTGGTGTGGCTGAAGATGCTCCTACCACCACTTTCAATTTCTCTGCTCTGGAGACTGCTGGACGTGCAGCAAAGGCTAGGAAATCTGGCACTGAGTAGGAATAGTTTTTTTAGTTGTATTTGATCTCTCAATATCATTGGCTTTTGTTGGGTTTTTTTTGGTTTTTTTTTTGGTTTTTTTTTCATCTAAACCTGATTTCTAAGTGAAAAATAATACATTAAAAGACAACTATGAATGGTTCAGAGACTGCTCTGATTATTTTGGAGCACATCGCTCTAAGAGCACTAATTTCAAATAGTGTGAGCTCTCTGCACTAATTGCATTAATAGTCAGGTTTCTTGATTTTTGAGGGCATCTCTCTAAGAGCAAGAATTGCAATTAGTGTGGAGGCTCACAATAATTGCATTAATTGACTCTATATGTCATTTAGAGAAGGGGACTTGTCTTTTTTTGCCCTGAGGGATATAGATGCTATATTTGCATAAATAGTGCTCTATTTGCAATTAATGCAAATACCACTTTTCCTGATGCAGCAGCTGGTGAGGTGTATCATTCCCAGGGCATCGAACTAATGCTGACATGTTCGTGTAGTCATCCATTGTCTGCAAATTGTCACTTAACAATGTCCTGTCACAGTGGTCAATGAGGTCCTAAGTTGATTGTTGTCATTCGCTTCAACAACTTACTTAAGACGCCACCACAGTTCTGACCACCACACAATTAATCCACAGGCCCTCACAAGTGGTGATTAATACTACCCGTAGCATTGTTCACCGACGCCGTGATGACACTGTGGATGTTTGCAAAATGGTACGTCCACAGCTCTAAACTACTTAAAAGGACGCAGCTCTACAAGTTAGCCATTAAGTTTGTTCAAGAGTGAACAGAAACAAAACCTTACTCCCCTTTATCATCAGACTTATATTCAGGATGATGTTGCCTGACAGTCGCCTTCGTCTCAGCCACAATGTCACACTCAGGCTTCTTACTGCATCCTCTCCGAGACCATCAGACAGTTCGCATACCTGCAAAGTTACCCAGGAACCATGTTGCCAAGATACGACCCAGCTCATGAATGTCATTCCCCAAAAACAGGCGACGGCTTGATGAGTGCCAGCAGCCCTCCATCCAAAATCTCCCCCGAGTAGACACCCCTGGCATCGCCCCTCTGCTCATGAGAATCCCTGCAAAGAAGCCACAGGCCTCCTCTGTGGAGAGCAGTGATGATTCCGAGGAGAGTGACTCTGATGATAGTGATGAGTCGGAGGATGCCAAGTCAGACACCATGGTTATAGAACCTACAGAAGTCCAAGAGCAGTCTGACTGGGACATGTCTCCAGCCAACTCTCCTTGCACGACCACTCCCGTGCATGTCTTGACGTCAAGGGCATCCACCCCACCTGTATGTCTAGATGACGGTTAGTATTTTATGCATTTTTCAACGGTTGGGAGCTGACTCGACATCATAGAAATGCTTGCTGTGTCTATGTAGAAGGTTCAGAAAGGGCAGTCTCAAAGACAATTGTAATGAAGACTCTGGGTCTTGGGAGGAGCTGACTGTGTAGCTACTAATAGGATGTGTCGAGTCATTGAATTGGATATATCGTTTCGAACAAATCTGCATGGTCACATCTGTTTGAAAGGCGATGTATGTGCATATCTTGCAGCTGCCTGAACTCTGTTCTTCCCTGTCTAAGACTTAATTACAAATGGTTGCTTGATCTTGATCCATCCTTAGCTCCAAATGGGCCCTTCCCTAGAGGAATGCAACGAGAATTCTATGGACCCCATTTTAATCATGAAACAACTCGTTTATCTTCTGAGGTTGCATTAAATGATGTCAGAGGGATATCCATGAAAAAACGTGCAGCGGGTGTGACAAAAATCAACTAAGGAAAGCAAGCCTTGACAGTTGTCACTTGATCTGCAGGGTTTTTGTCTAGATCCAATGCTCTTCCATTGCAGCGAGTCATGCACAACTTGAGGCTGTTACGAACTCAGTTGGTTCCGCGCTGGATACCCACAAGGAGTGTCGATCTAGTGCGATTGTTGTCGTTCAGTTGTATGACTACCTAGACAAAGAGTCTAAGGTAGAAGAAGATAGAGATTGATAGAAGCAATGAGCTTGCTATCTAGCTGTCTTGCTGTCCCTCTGTCCTGAGGCATTGGGATGATACTGAGTAGATTCAAGTTAAGGACTACTACAGCGTATGGAGTCTTTTATATACGAAAAGTCGAAGTACCGGTTGAACGGTAAGGGTCAAGGGGGTAGTACCAACAATGTGGTAAGGGCATAGGGTGTGAGTCAAAGATAACGGGTAAACCATATAAGTGGCACAAGAACGATAAGCCAGTACAGATAAGCCAACAGAACGGCTAGATGGAGGTTGCAGTTGGTGATGGATAGTGTTGATAACAGATAGGTAAAAGAGAATAAGCTGGTCCGGGAAGCTTACGTAAAGTCCCTGTAACATCACCTCCCGTTCTAAGTGTGAAGTCACCTGGCTTCATGCGTCAAGGCGGTGTCATCAAGGAAGACGTCATTGACGTCAAGTCCCTCTATCTCATTAACTTCGAGCCTCCTGTCGTCTTCGTCATCACGGTCAGGGATGATACCCTGACGAGCATCATAGAAGTGTTCCAGACTGCGAGAGTTGTGCATGGAAGTTTGGGTCGGAATGACCGCGATGGAGAAGGGTTTGTCCATTAAGATGTGGGCAGTACGAAGTGAAATGTCCAGGGGCGAAAACTCCAGCAAATATGGCAGAAGTACTGATGGCAGTGCCGATGCTTATGACCATAATGCTTGCAACAGCGGCAGATGTAGTTGGCGGGGTGAGTCTGCTCCGTTTTGGTGGCTTCAAATTTGGCATGATGAGTGCGGTCTACGGTGGTGGTGATGACATTTTCCGGTTCTCCCGTCTTGGGGTTGGGCGCGATACTGTGAAAGATGGGGGGATATTTAACTGACAATGGTAAGCCAAGTGAAAGGAGCATGGTAGTTCCTCTGTTACAATGATTTTGTTTGCTAGGGGAGATGGCGCGGCTGGTTGGTTCAGGGATGGGTAATGGTTGTCATTCTGGGGTTTTCAGAGTAGGTGGTGGGGAATAATGCATGATGGACGGTGTGGCGGTTCCTTCTGCTTCTAGGAAGTTGCCTTCGTACTCGCTTTCTTCAGCGACAGGGTCAACAATAAGTGCCACAGGGTTAGGTGTGTTTTCTTTGGTGGGAGGTTCGGTAGGGGTAAACGGTAGGACTAGTTCGATATTTTCTTCGTCGAGGGGGTTTGGCTGGATGGGGGATGGTGTTGGTTGTGCTGCAAATTCTCTGTTGTTGATTTTATCAACAAGTTTGCTGAATTTCTTCGTGGCTAAGAGTGTCATTACAGGCAGTTTTGATTTTGGTCTGTGCGTAGCGGAGCGATACTGTCCCGAATGTTCTGCACTTGCATTCCTGCATATCGATGATGCAGGCTGTGAGGGTGTCTGCAGTTCTGAATGCTGCGATGAGTTCGAAAAGGATGGGGTCGTTTTGGGTGAAGATGAGGTTGTCAATTTCTATGGTGTAACGGCTGTCTAGGATGAGTGCCTCCCAGAGGGCTTTGTCTTCACCTACAGGTGTGAGATGGGGGTGGGATGTAAAGAAGTTTGAGTCGTTTGATGAGTTAGACATGGTAGATGATGATTGTTTTCACAAAGTTATTTTCTTAGCTCCTCTGTCGGCGAGCCTCCTTTTATATATCTTCAGTATCTCGGAGGAATTAGTCAGGTCTGACTCGGTTTGCCAAGAGTTGTCTGATTCGGGATATCCTTTCCAGGATACAAGGTACCGGCGGCGATTACCCATTCCTTTGTGGGTGAGTATTGCTTCTATTTCGTATTCTTCTTCCCCATTGATGACATCAGGTGGTGGTTCTTCATAGTTCAGACTGTGGATTTCTGTTTCATGATAGGTGGATAGCTCAGAAGCGTGCAATGTGGAGTGGACTCTCCAGCTTTCTGGGAGTTTGATTTTGAACGTGATAGGGGACAAGACTTCTTCCACCGTGAATGGTCCGTATCTTTTGGGTGCAAGTTTCTTTGATGGGAGTTTTGTTAATAGGTGAGCCGCGGATAGCCAGACCTTGTCCCCTTTCTTCCATGGGGTATACTTTCTTCCTTGTGTTCTTTCTCCCATTCACTGTTGAGCAAGGGCGTGGCATGCCAGTGCTTCTTCTCGGATCTTTCCGAGATGTTTTAGCTGTTCTTCTACTGCTGGTACTGTTGTTTTGGGGAATGCCTGGGGCAGGCTTTTTGGTTTGTACCCCATCATGAGGGCAAAGGGTGACGTATTCCTGGTAGAATGTTTTCTCGAGTTGTGGACGAATTCGGCCATTGGTAGATGTTGTGACCATTCAGCAGGGGTGGTTTGGCAGTAGATTCTGAGGTAGGTTTCTAGTTCTTGGTTGAGTCGCTCAGTTTGTCTGTCAGTCTGTGGGTGGTAGGCTGTGGAGAGGGCTACTTGGTAGTCAAGGATATGCCCTAGTTCTTTGGCAAATTTGGAGGCAAATTGCGGTCCTCTGTCGGATATGATTTTGTCATAGAGGCCGAAATGTGTGAACATCTTTTTGAAGAAAAGGTTGGCGACACCTTCTGTGGTGATGGTTTTCTTGCAGGGACACAGGATTGCCCCCTTTGTTAGGCCATGGTTGACCATGACCATAATGGAATCGAAGCCGTGGGAAGGGGGAAGATCGGTGATGAGGTCAATGGAGACCTGCTCAAAGGGGCAGGTGGCGACGGAGGGGATCAGCATCAGAGGCGGGGTGACGGGGTGGGTGTCAGACTTCATTTGCTGGCAGACAGCGCAGCCGGCAACATAGTTCCTGACATAGGTACCCATGCCAGGCCACCAATAAGCCTTCTTCACGTTCCATTCAGTGATAGTGCGGCCAGGGTGGCCCACAGTAAGGTGGTCATGATGGAGGGTAAGGACTTTCTGTCGGAGATCGGCCGGGACGTAGGCCCAACCTTTATAAAACAGGACACCATCGGTAAAAGCCCAATCAGAGAGGGCAGATTTGATGGGTGGGGCACAGATGCCACTCAAAGCCTGGAGGGCGGTCTGGATGGTGGAGTCGGGTGCAGACTCAGTAAGAGTTCTAAACTGGTGCGCGAGGACACCATCGACCAGGCGGACGAAGAGAGAATCGGGGAGGAGGGTAATGTCGGTGTTATCTGGATCACCGATGACATGGTCTGGTCAGCGTGACAGGGCATCCGGGGCAGCAAGTTTTGCGCTGGGGACATGATGAAAGGCAAGGTCGAATTCACTAAGGGTGAGTTGCCACCGAGCTTGGTGGCACGTCAATTGCTGTGCAGAGCGGAAGTAGAGTAGGTTTTTATGGTCGGTGAAAACAATAACAGGGTGGGGGTTGCCTTCCAAGAAGTGGCGCCAACTTTTCAGTGCGCGGATGACAGCTAACAGCTCGCGGTCATAGATCTGGTAGTTACGCTCAGCAGCGTTGAATGATTGGGATAGGTACCCGCAGGGGTGATAGGCACCATTCTCATCTGTTTGCAACAGGACTGCTCCAGTGGCGAATAGGGATGCGTTGGTGGCGAGGGCGAATTGTCTAGTTGCGTCAGGGTTTCGGAGTACAGGTTCAGTGAGGAAACTGTTTTTTAGCTTGTCAAAGGCTTCTCTGCATAATTTAGTCCATAGGAATGGTTGGTCCTTCTTGGTGAGGTCAATCATTGGCCGTGCAATGTCCAAATAATGGGCGATGAAATGCCTGTAGAAGTTGCAGAAACTGAGGAAAGAGCGTACTTCTTTGACCATGGTCGGTGTCTGCCACTGGCTGATTCCTTCCAGTTTGGCCGAATCCATTGCAACTTTGCCCGGGCGGATGATCATACCAAGGTATTCCACTTCTTGGGCATTGAAGGTACACTTTTCTGGTTTAAGAAACAGTGTTTCAGTGCGTAGTTTCTGGAGAATGATCTTCGTTCATTCCTGGTTTTCTTCCAAGGTTTCTGAAAAGATGAGTATATCATCCATATAGACGATTAGCCATCCGGCATCAATCTCCTGCTTGAATGTTTCATTCATATATGCTTGGAATGTTGCGGGTGAATTGCACAATCCGAAGAACATGACCTTGGGTTCAAAGAGACCAAATGACGTAGAGAAGGCGGCTTTCCATCAGTCATCAGGGTGGATCAGGATGTTGTTATACCCGGATCTGATGTCCATCTTGGTGAAGTATTTGGCATCTTTGAGTTTCGCGATAAGGGGGGGTATCAACGGGAGTGGATAGGCGTTTTTAACTGTCCATTCATTGAGGTATCGATAGTCTTGGCAGGGACATAGAGTTCCTCCCTTCTTTCCAATGAAGAAGAAACCACTCAATTGCGGTGATGTTGATGGTTGGATAAAGTCTTTCACAAGGTGTTCGTCAAGAAAGGCTTTTACTGCTTCTGTTTCTTTTGGGGAAAGGGGGTACATTCTAGTGGATTTTGGTATGAATCCAGGTTTCATTTCGATGTGGTGGTCTATGAGGTGTCGGCTTGGGGGAAGTTGGTTTAGTCCATCTTTGGCAAAGATATCGCGGAATTCGTGAAGATACTCGGGGACGAGCTCTTTGAAGGTTTTCTTGATTTTCTCCTGTACGTCTTTCATGGCGAATTTTACTGGTCTTTTGGGTTTCCTCGAGTTGTTCTTGCAAGGATCAGGCGAGGGCCCAAGTGTTACGCA